CACAGGTTCTATAGAACCGTCTCACTGAATTTTATGATATCAGCGAACCAGTTAGTATTACTGAGTAAAAACATGACTTTCTGTAACAGAACCAGCGGCAAAATATGACTTTTGTGATGGAACCGGCTAACAAAAAATTTGAATCTCACCACTGGTTATAATCCGTCTTTTGTGCGGTTTGTCCCAAGAAAGGTCGCGAACACAACGTGTAAAATCACTTTAGCAACGTTAGCGACAATGGTCAAGTTCTGAACTACATGTGTATATCAATCAGGTGGTGATCACTGATACATATAGCGTTTTTTGTTCCAACTGTTCGTAATTTTCAACCTCGTGAAGCATTGTTATGTTTTTTAAGGCGTTTGGTGGCGATAGCGAACTGGAGCCTACTGAAAACGGACGAAGAAGAGGATAAAGAACAACTGTAGTTGATTGGTAGCACAATGTTACTCTGAGATTCTGAGTTTCGGATATGCTAACGAAGAACTAAAAGGCCCTCCATGTGGTTATTTCTGCGATATATTTGGGAACGAATACTCGCGTAGAATTAGATTTGTTTATATGACGAATTATATTATATATTTATAGTGATAATTGTTTACTATTTTTTCCAAGCTCAAAAGCACGAATTTAATATATTTTAAATATGCCTACGTTATCCGTATTGGAGTTGTCAATAGACAATTCATTTAAAGCCGGCTGAGTACCTTCAAGTCAAAGATTCAACCATGTTGAACAATAAATATTGCTCCAAGCTTAAAGAAGTGATTTAGAAAACAAAAACAATGATAGTAAATTATTTCGATAATTAATCTCTGACGACCTACATTAAGTCTACTGTAAAAAAAACAAAAATCGAAAACATTGAGGATTGATCATTTCAATAAGTGTCTAGTTCATCTCTGAACTGATTCATCTGTTTCTGATCGTATTATTTTTCAAGAGAACACCACGTCAGCATTTTCAATAGGCCATTGGAAAGCATATTAATTCAATTCGTTTATTACTCCAAACCGCTGTGGTCCATATAAAAACAACACAACAAATAAACATAAGCAAAACGAAAATAACACAATAAATACATAAAATAACTGGTATGACAATCAGATTCACAGTAGTAAGTCTCAAAAAAGAGTTATAATATAGCAATTTAAGAGGGCAAAAGTGAGGTATAGAATCTAAGGTAGCCCGTAACAAACAGTATCGACGGGGATTGTGTGACTTGTTACTAGATTTTAGTTGAACCTAGTTTAGCCTATACATTAGCCTAAAATCTTTAAAGCAGTGTTACATACAATCTTACTCCCGAGCCTATGGTTGAGTAAAACATTCGCCAACAGATTTACAACAGCATTGCCCACACTCCACGTACATTCAAACAAGAAATGTACATTGTTGTATAAATATAATGTATACAATTTTGGTATCCGATTGCAAATTTCTAGAATCCGTTATCGCAGGAACTGGAACCAAGACCAGGAAAATGAGTATCAAAATAACACACAAAATGATACATTCTTGAAATAACACACATTTGAATATTTGGGCCAACTTATTAAATCTGCAGTATTTTATGTTACAACCACTATTACTATACATTACGGCATAAGTTATGCGTTTGATGGGTATGGAATACTGTATATAGGCCTATAGGTAAATTAAAATTTAAAATACATCTTATTTTATTTTATTGGTTTACTTAATATTGTTATAATGTGTGAACTGACATATTAAAAGAAAAGTCACTGATCATTACAATCTTCCGGGATACATTGTCGTATACAATATGCCATATTATCGAATTAGTGGTTTAAATCCAGGGCTACCCTACTCTTAGCTCACAAAGTATTTTCTTTCACCAAGCGCGATTATAACTTTATGGATGGCCGTAAATAGTATTGAATTATTCATAAACTAAAACTGTTGACGTGCCTTTTGGGACTTTCTTGTGCCATTTGAGAAGATCGATATATTTTCGTATCGTAAGTTCGCGGTGTGCTTCTCGCCAGCCACTCTAAAATATTCATGAAGACACTACAGGCGGACGGATGTTCGATCCAATTTATTTTTCATTTTAACGTGATAGGCCGCAGACTGGTGCGATTAAAAGAAATTTAGTTAAGAAAACTTGAGGATCAGAGCGCAGTGATATTCGATGTAATACTTGTAGTTGTATAGAAGACTTTTTGAGTCAGGGCAGCGTTTGTAGTTATTAAAAAATATTCGAAAACCATTGACAGAAGTTATGAAGCGTAAATAGAATCATCGACCAGCATATTAACTTTTTCTCTTGTGTTAGAATCGAAGTTATTTAGTATGTAACATGAACAGTAAAACAAAAGCAGTTTAGGAATCGTGGTGATCGGTGGTTGGGGTGTTAATTATGCGTTATGAACGCGATTGTCAACTTTGATGGAGCTGACTCTGATGACCGCATGGTCGAATCGCTTCCTCCAGTCTATATTAAAAAAAAAACGTTGTGGGAAATATGTATGAAGGGTTGCTGAAATCATCATGATCGCAATGATTGTTAGGTAGTATATATATATAATAATCTGTAATTTTCACCGCTCTGGAAATACACACAGTTCAAGGAAAAAACATGAATCGAATGAAGAAAGTATTCCAGGATGAAGAGATCACAAAAATTAGTTATCGAGTAACGACACCTGTGACTTTCTCAACGTTCCAAGGCCATGCATACAAAACAATTAATCCGTTATGTAATGATGATTAACCAAGCATTTCTATTTTCAAGGATAAGTGTGGATTTCCAATTATTATATTCTAAATTCTAAAATGAAAAGGATACTGATGTAATTGTAAAATGGGAAAAACGGTTACTGTATTCACATAGCATGTAGCAAAGATGTTGGAGCATTTGGAACTTACAGACTGATTTTCTCAAACAATAAATATCACTATAAATCCTATCCTATAAATAGAAGTTTTAAAATTTGCAGCTGTTATCAGTTAATTAATGTGTTTTAACCCATGTATTCTTACAACCGTAGAACTTTGTGCTAATAAATTCCGTGTAATTAAATTCGACTGAAAGCAATTCCAATCATCATTAACTCCTTTGAAACAGTGATAAGTAATTTACTCCCCAAGTTAGCCAGATTCGTTATGCCCTGCTGGTTACGTCAAAAGTTGAAGAAATTCTTTGGGAAATCCCCGTACTGCCGCGGGGCTTGTTTGCCGATTTGCCCATGTTGTTTGTTGCTGTTTAGGTCGCGGTAGGTTTTCACCACTGGACTATACACGTAATACGAATATAAAGAACAGTTGTAGGACTAATATCTTATTAAGATATATTAGAGTTAGCATGATTGAAAAGTTTCGACGCCACTGCTTCGCCGAGGTAAGCTGACACCTAACAACAGAATGCTGTAACATTATCTTGCAATACTGCAATAGCAGAATAAAGTACGGCAAAATAAGAATTAATATTTAGATTGCTTTCATCTGTTCATAGAGAGGACCATATAAAATTTGATGAACAAGTCAGATTTTATAGTACCTTAGTCTAGTTATTACAGTATAAGACTATTTACAGTGTATTTTACAATATTTTCTGTATTTTGCTGGACAGACTGAAAGACAATTGATACGCCTATTTAAGCCTTAAATCTTCTGTTTGGTAACATGTGGGTGCCTAATGTACGGTAATCTTCTAGCCAATTCTTTGTTCCAGATGCAGGAATATATATTGCTGATATGGTACTAAACCAAAAAGAAATCATTCATCAATATGCATATTTTGTAGGGAAAGAATAGAACTGGACTTATCTTTGTCTTTATTACCGGTAAATGCTTTTTTTATTTCCTTTAATAATCAATTTTATAAGCATTACGTAATTGAACTTTTCAATTCTTGAGCGATTGATGTTACTTTGTGTGACTATTCAAATCTTGTCCCTGGTGGAATCTCTCTCATAATTTTGTTAAATATATTTCCTTTTGTACCTAAATAGTGACGATCTATATCTATGATTTTTGATGCCTACCTGTGACTTTGCTATGGGTACAAAAAGTATAATAATGGAATAGCTTTGATAATGTATATGTTCATATGTAACTAATATTTATATGGGATTCAAGAATACATTTTGTAGTTGAGGTAGATTTTTACTGCTTTTAAATCAACAGTTTCTGTTCAATTTCCTGTGTCACTTAGATTTTTTCAATTTAGTGTATGTTTACTAATACTGAAATATTATGCATTTCACATTGAGTATTTTTGATTTCGCTTTTTGCAAATTCTAAAAAAAACTAAGAGTAACTCCGTGGCACAATTTGAGCTATACAAAAATATGAAAAATATAAAAGTAACATCCTTCTCAGAGATGCTTCAATCTTCAACTACTCAAAATGTTGAAGGGATATGGTCAGTAGTTGAAGCGAAAGATGATTCCGTCCCAACAATATTATTATTAACAATTTAGCAAAGTTTTTCTGTTGGTGACATTGGCTTGCTTTTTGATTGTTTATATCGACCCAAGACGAGGTCAGAAGAAGGCAGTCTTAACTAATAGAGACTGATTTAAAACTAAGGCTGCTATCAAGTATTAATTATTTGAGGACTTGAAGTATTTATTAAGGTAATGAGAACAGTAAAACAATATATTGGTAATACACATGATATATGATATTTTTCGAAAAAAAAAACACTTTTTTTTCTGCACTGGTTATTCTAGAATAAATTCATCTTTACAACGTAATTTAATTCGGTATTATTATTACATACAGACAATTTAAAGAAAATCAATTTTGGAGTTCTTTCATTTGATAGAATCTGTGAAGATTTTCCTACTATTTTCTCCAAATCTCCAAAATCAATTTTTTTTGCTTTACAAATTTAGCCTTTTTAACAATAAGCCACTGCATTAGCATTTGTCTTATATTTCAGTTAAACTTACTTACTTTCTTCATTTTTAATATCTTCTCAGAATTAAAATAATAAAATTAGTTAGGAATGATCATTCCAAATATTTCTGTTAATTTGGTAATTAAATCATAAACACAATATCTCAATGCACAAATGTAGTCAGAAATTTCAACAAATTCACATTTGAACATTGGACTGAAGTAAATCAACAGAATGTCTTCTGTGAAGGTTGCAGTACGTGTCCGACCTTTCAACAGTCGAGAGAAAAGTAGAAATGCAAAATGTATTATTGAGATGAATGAAGCAACAACAAGTGAGTATTATTTACTAAGTGAATATTTTTCACACAAAAATAAGTTTATATAGGCTATTGAATGTTAGGCATTGGGGCCTTGGTGCGTCATCACAAAACCAATAATTTTTCAATAGTTTCTCAAAAATATTTAAATGAACAATAAAAGGTATATATTTTTTAAACCATATCTCCTAGTTTGGGGTTATAATAGTTTTGTTTCATTAGATAGGACAATGTAAAGAGAGAAGTATTTTAACCGCTTTGATGGTTTGGCTCGGAATATCAGACCATTGTTTCATCTCATTTGCTTTCATATACTGGTATTTATATATTGCCAAATATTGAAATTAATATTGAACATTGAATTACAATTAAAGTTTGGGAAACCATTAGAAGTTTCAAATGTTTGTTTCTATGTTAAAAAGTTGAAACTAGATTCATCCACATTTGCACACATTCAGTACCGGGTTCACCTTTCATTTTGTCAAATCAAAGGTGTGATATATTTTCATATTTCCATTACGTCAATGCCATTACAAATTTTTTTTTCCAATAATATCGTTTAATTATATCTGATCAGAATTTTCTATCATGTATGAACTGTAAATGAAAATTGTTTTATTGACAGTTTGATATTATGGCCCATGATCGAACTTGTTTGATTAAGAAATAGCATTCTGAAATGGATAAGCAACTGGTTGTGTATTGCTTCGTCATTCATGCATTTGGGAATTGTGATGCAGTGGCAAGCATTATTAATTGACTAAGAATACATACTGTCGTTTTCCGCCTCCCATGAGAATTGCATGATATATGCTTCGATTTCCTCGCCATATGTATCAGCTTTCTCCATTTGATCATTGTTCATAATTAAAGCCTGTGGTTTATGGAAGGTTCTAGATGACAGAATTCCCATGTCTACCATTTAAGCAATAGTCAATATTTATTTATGATTGTTTTTTCTTGATCAATACGTTTCTTCCTTGTACTCTATTTTATTAATTTTACTAATTATTACCCTTTTTCAATTACATGATACTTCTGCGAATTAGGTTGAATAATTGAAATTTCCAATATAGGCTACATGCACTGATTTTTAATATTGTATCATGAAGTAAAAATTTTTATAAAATATATAAGATATTAATAATATTTGATTTATTCAATTTCAGTTATAAGAAATCCAAGGCAGCCAGGAGACAATCCAAAAAGTTTCAATTATGATCATTCATATTGGTCATTCGGTGAGGTGGGTATCCAGTATTCTCTTTAATTCTTTTAATTCTTAAGCATATGAATCATAACTCTTGAACACAACTATCTCAAACAAGCATGAACTCTATATAAATTGAGCCAACTGATACAGTTTATCATATAATCATATATGTTTACATATACCACCACAGTATGATGTCATTCAATTTTTCGGAAATGTGGGGCAAGAAAAAATGGATTGCCATGAAAAATTCATGGTCTTGCACTGAGGAAAAAAGGTTTTACGTCTAAGTTCTAGAAATATGATATCTGAAAACTGTCAGATATTCTATTTACAATTGTATGTATCCTTATAACTAGGAACTGTGAGTAATAACCTGGCATAAATTATGCTGCAACACAGTAATTCTACTAACTTTTTTGTTTATTGCGCACCTGATTTTTCTTCCAAAATTCAAGACGAAATCTTCAGTATCAGTAAAATCAAATTACCGTTTTCACTACTTTTGTCAAAAAAGTCAACAGTTAACACAGTAAATAACACGGAAAAAAAATCAATTTTCAACCTGCTGTGGGCATTCTCATTCAGTGTGGTTGAGAATGCTGCTGTAATAATATACTATAACATCATTACCAGTTCCTTCTAAAAAGCCAAAATCGATGGTTGTGAAGTTTTGAGATAATTTAATGAAGTATCAATGCTGAGCGTAACTCCTTATAATTTTTTGATCATTGAAGAATACAAAAAACTAAAGCCAAATTTGCTTTTATTATATCACCATGGAAGCATTTTGATACTGTTTAAAATTTGTATCTTATTTTTGTTTTATAGTAATGTGATAATTATGAAATGCATCTGGTAGATGTATTGTTTGAAGATATATTTATTGAATAACTATAAAGTTTTTAGGCCGTTTCGACATATATCATGATTTTACTGTATATGATAAAGCTTTTATAATGTAAAACAAATTTCTAATGATATTGATAGAAGTTTAAAATGTCCTTTTTTCTAAACAATACCTTATTGTCTTCTAAAGTTCTAATTAATGCCTCAATAAAAGAGAAAAATATCTTATAACAAAAATGATTTTAATCTTGGTTAAATTTGTTTTTGACCTGATGCCAATTTAAACTTTTTGACCTGATCTATAAAAAGATATTCTGAATTAAAGTTTACAATATCCAGATATGAGAATTGACAGGGCTGATATCTTGATTACCTTCAACACTGCTATGAATAATTTATTACATGGTGTTTCAGACTTATATATACATTTGAGAACACTTTCAAGTTGAAATTCTCAAGATGATTCCACAACAATTTTCTTTTATATCTTCAATATAATCCGAATCCAGATGATATTTTTTTTATTTTCATACAACACTATATATATAACACTAGTTATATACTTTTTGCTCTGAACAAGGCTCTGCACCCTTGCACATGCAGACATGGGTAGGTAATGAGATACTTTAGTTTGGGAAGACCAGAATTTTTTTTTCAATTTAGTACACTCTGAGTGAGGTGATGGTCATGGGATCTGAATCCGAGATGATAACCTGCGATATAATCATAATTAAGTCCAACGCTCTAACCATTAGGCCAGTGTTCTCAAACAGTGGGGCGCGCCCCGCAAAGGGGGTGTAGACAATTTTATGAAGAGCCTTGAAGCTAATTGAAAATAAAAATATTTGTTAGATGTGATCTTGCCCGCCTTATTTCGAATATTTACATTTCAAAACTTTTTTATTTTTTTTATTATTTACGATCCTGCCACATATTTTCTGCATGTTTTTTGACTAAAACATACTTTGTCTTACTATATGTTATCTGTAGCTTATTATTATTGGCTACTTATTTTTGAGGTGGGCGTGACACGCGAGACTTGACAAATTCTTAAAAGTGGGCGCGGCTTCGAGAAGCACTGCACTAGGCCATCGCACCCACAATATTTTACGGACGTTTACCTCGTGCCCAACCATCTCACCTTTTACATAAAGAGTTGACTAAGCTTTGGCAAACCGAAAAATTATAATTCTTGGAAAACTATAGTATATTGTTACACATAAGGTGCTGCATGTTTAAAGCCTTGTTGGCAGGAAAATAACGAACTTGTAATAAAAATGTCAATATGCTATTCTGTAACCATCATCGTTAGTCATCATCTTCATTGTTATAAAGATTATTGCTATCATTCTCATTTTAATACAATAAATCATTATACTATACTTTTATGAATGTTTACTTAAAGCAAGGTAGGGCACAGTCAGGTATGTTTGCCCGTTTTGATTAATTCAATAAGAATTATCAGGACAAAGAAGAGGTCACAGTGGGCACTTTATTGAGCTATCATTATTGATTATCATTATCAACTCATTTTTATTAAATACCAACTTACCAAATTTTTATTTGTATTTTTACTCACTTCACTACTAACTTCAACCCATAGCTAAAAGCGTCATTGACAAATATCATAAATGTTCTACTAGCTCCTGGTAATCCATTAGTCAATTTTATTTCGAATAAGTGTATGGCAATTTACAGGGTGACCCCAAAAACAGAGCTAATTTATGTTCCAAATGACATATTTTAGACAGAACATAATTTTTTTGTAAAGCATCCCAGATTACTGCAACTTTTCAGTACAATATTTCACAAACAGAAGTTCAAGTGTTTAATAAATTTTCTTCATTTTTGTAGAAGTAAGGAATATTTGGGTTCTTTTTTTTGGTCACCCAAAATTTGTTGAAATATTTCATGCTTTATCATTCGCTGGATTTATGTACCAATATCCGTTATTTCAATTAAGTGTCTATTTCAAAATTTGTGTTTTTAGCAATCAGAAGAAAATTTTTCATCCCAACAAAAAGTTTACGATGATTTGGGGAGAGAGATGTTGCAACATGCATTTAACGGATACAATGTATGTATATTTGCATATGGACAAACGGGAGCTGGAAAATCATATACAATGATGGGAAAACAAGATGGCGGAGATCAAGCGGGAATTATTCCTCAGGTAATATTCCATAACTTGGAATGGAAAACACAGTTTTTCATTAGTTGTACTTCCTACAAGTTAGATCAGTCTGTTGAACCTTGAACCAGTAAGCAATAAATTGTATAGGCTAGATCGCACCTAAACTTTTCTAGTATTCACAAAAACTTAAGATTGTGTCAGTGTTATTCTGAGCCTATTTTGGAGCCAAGAACAAAGCACTACGGAATAAATGAATTGAATGTACTTTTGACACACTTTCTTAACTATTACATTTATGCAAACATGTTAATATTATGTACATTATATGTTTCTTTCATAACACTTTTATGAAATATATAGAGTTATATCCTGATTTAGAGGTACCGGTATTGGTTTATAAATAAAACTGGTCAAGTTTTTTCATCCATTTATTATCTGCTTTCGAGCTAAATAACTGTCTGAGAATAATTTGAATATATTATTAACTGATTAAAATTGATAAGAATAATCAGTTTAGGAGATTGTACCTACCTTGTTTTTTAATCTATATTCGACAAGTACATCTTTTCATATTGCTACTTGTCTATTCGGCATAAGATTAAATTGAAGGATTGTCACGGTATACACAAATTAGATTAGTCTTCAACTTTGTCAAAACTCAATCCTATTAAATTCATCAGAGACGCTAAAGAAACAATGAAATGTGTGAACTTTACATTTATTCAAATACAGTAAATTTAAAGGAAAAAAAAGTTTAGTACATATTTACAGATAAGTATTAAGATTAACAATGAATTTTCATGAAACAACACCTAATTTATTTTTAATTTATTTTATGTGTTTAAATTTTGTTGTTGGCACGATGGATGTCCTAGTGCCGTGCTCTTTAAAATTTTTCATCCTTCCTTCCTCATCAATAACACTGTAAATACTGAATTTTACCGCTGTTTTCAACAAATGCCATTTTATATCTGTAATTTATCATACTGGTAATTAAAATGATGAAGAAAATGGAGAAATATTTTCTTTATTGATCTTACTTTTTGAATTGGATTGGAAAAATAATGACATTAATGTGATGAGCATCATCACAGATATCACACATATGAAATAATATAAAAATGTAAAAATATAGATATTGAATTAAATCTTGACTCATTCGCGCATTTTATGCAAATTTATAAACGGATATTCAATAGCCCATAGATATTTATATTTTCAAGATGTCATTGCTTGAAATAATATGAATGATAATAGGTATAGTTATAAATTTTTTGCGATTGTACAAATTGTCTGGATCACAGAAAAAGTGATCTTTGTTCGGATAATGCCGGATAACACATTGTTTCCAACTATTTAGCTATGTCCAGTGTTAACATTGCATTTGATCTGACCTGGTTACGCTAGCTTACAAGATTGAAACGAATACATTTAGATTTTATATCTCAGACAAATATTGATTTTTTTGAAGATTTATTTTTTTAAGTTGCTGTTTCTGTTTCATTCAATCAATACTAATCAGTGTAAATCCCGTAAGGCCTTGATGCAGTTAGGAAGATTTGATAACCTTATTGTAGGTTTAATGTTCCTTATATTTCATTCATTATAAAATAATATTAATGAAAATTAAGTATGTGAACAACTTTCGGTCGAAGCGATTTTCTAGTGATCAAAGCGTTAGAATTTGATTGTGTTGGCATCGCATATTAAACATCTCAGATTCAAATCCCAAGTTTCAAAAACTTCACAACACAAATCAATTTAAATATCCTTAGAAGCAAAAAAGTAGTTGATAATAAGACAACCTTGAATCCTAATACCATAAAACAGAATTTATTTCCTTATTTTTACAGTTATGTGAAGAATTATTCTGCAGAGTTTCTGGTCATGAAGAACAAAGTCTTAAATTTTCTGTTGAAGTCAGTTACATGGAAATTTATTGTGAAAGAGTTCGTGATCTGCTTAACCCTAAAAATAACAAGAATTTGAGAGTACGAGAACACCCCCTCCTGGGGCCGTACGTTGAAGACTTATCGAAACTTGCTGTGCAATCTTTTTCTGATATCAGCAACCTGATGGATGAAGGAAACAAAGCAAGGTATGGAAAGTTGTTGGGGCTTATGTGTAATAACAAACTAAAAATGCTAAACGATTGCGCTGTGTAGTATGGATAGTATCTGTCTCCAGAGTGAAAGAACTTTTGACTCTGATTACAGCTCTGAACTCAGAATTTTGAAGACAAAAACTTTGTCGTATGTTCTGTTACTTAATTCTTCTTAAGTTTGTCAGAGGTTTTGACATAAATTAATATCATTGACAGTCTAAAACTCCGACTTTGAAATAAATTATATTATATTCCGAAATTTTTGACTTCATCTCTAGACTCTAGGAGTTTGAAAATTGGATTCCTCTTTTCCCTCCAATATTAATAAAAGCATGCCAAACTTCAACACCAACTCATAAATAAATTGTTTTTAAAATTGTTCATTTCAAAAAGTCATTCATGCAGGTAACCCTATAGTTGAAATTTTTTTTATCTAGTAAAGATCCGATGTATAGTAGTTTAAAAAAGTAATTTGGATTTTGTCATTGGTATGTCGAATTATGAATTAAACCAGGAATCTGACTGAAATATACGAAAGGTACATTCACGAGGATGACAAAAATTCACTGTTTTCTTGTAGATGGCCTTTTCATAAAAATACTTGTTTTCTTTTTTGTAGGACTGTTGCAGCTACCAACATGAATGCTACAAGCAGTAGATCTCATGGAGTTTTCAATATTATTTTTACTCAGAAGAAAACAGATTCTTTAACCAGTTTGGAAACTGAAAAAGTAGGTGACTTATCGAATTTGTAACGATTTTTTTTATAAAAAGGATCTAATAACAGAAAAAATAAACCATCAGTATATTTTTCTGATTAAAATAAATTTTTTATTATTAGGTTTATTAGGACAAATGTTGAAATTAAAAAAAAGTTATTTGAAAATATCACAAAAAATAGATGCTTTTATTAAAAATAGGAGTTTCAAAATCAAAAAAATATATGTTATCTTTATTTTCTAAGAAGATATTTTCCAAGCTATACTTATTTGGTTCAAAACCATTGATAATTTATCAATACTCAAGATTTTCACAACAGTATGGCATATAGTTATAAGTACAAAATCAACTTATTATGATTCTTTTTTCTCAGGTTAGTAAAATCAGTCTTGTTGATCTTGCTGGAAGTGAACGAGCAGAATCAACTGGTGCGAAAGGCAAAAGATTGAAAGAAGGAGCAAATATTAATAAATCTTTGACTACTCTTGGCAAAGTTATATCAGCATTAGCAGAACAAGTAAGATATGGAATTTTTCCTGGCCATTTTGAGAAATAAAAATTTATTAATTTAGATTACGGTTGATATCATTCTTATTTTGCTCTAAAAAAGAGAAAATATTTGACGATTTTTTTATTTCTACTTCCAAGTTTTTTATCATCCCAAAATTTTATAATTGCAAGAAGTAAACTTCAAAATTATTGAACGACCATTTTGAAAAATATGACAGCAATGAAACCAAGGTCTTGCACATTAGCTTATCAAACTATGCCCGATCTACCTTATTAGGTGAGTTACAATGATTGATATAGGTCAGTCTTCTTATCCAAATAGATCTGTTTTCTCATGTTACTCCTTTTAAAAAGTTTATTAATCATTTTCTCAACCAAACTATTTTTTGCCATGCTTACAAAGGATATTGGAGTAATATGTGTAAGTATATTTCAAGGTTATTTTTTTCTCTCATAATCAATCAATCAATATATAAACAATAAACCAAGACAAGGCATATCAATAAATAATATAATTTTTATTAAAACACTAGAATAATTTTTATTACAATCAATGTAAAACATTGCAGTATGTATCTATATCAAATTTCAAGATTACTTGTTTAATAGATCAATATTTTGAAATTCTAGATTTAGCTAATGCAATTTATTTTGATTTCAGATATTGTAAATTGTCTATTCTTAGCATGCCACATTTTATTTTCATTAAATATTTAAAATAAATGTGATTTAGCTCTAAATTTGTCAATTTGTTCATCTTATTCAAATAAAGTTTAAACATAATTGTTCAAATTGATTTCCCAAATTTATGAAAATACGGAAGTTTCCTTTTCAGATAATTTTTTTTTAATTCCTATTGCTTTGATCACCAAAAACAGACTATATTTGGTGCGTTATTTTAAATGTTACACCTTGTTTTTTTCTGTGCTTGTCTGAAGTGCAATTTAATTAAATTGAGAATGAAGTTGTCTTTTAATAAAATACTGGCATCTATTTAAAAGACAAGAGTGCTCTCCTGGGATTAACAACCCGTGTCCAAAATTCACCTCTCTTAATTGATAGCACGAGGTTCACATTTTTCATGGTTACAAGTAACACTTTTAGCAATTGTGTTTCAATGTTAAATTAAGTGCTTATTGCCAGGCATGAGACGTTCTAGATAGGAAAATCTGAATTATAGGAACGTGTTCATGCGAACATATCCTAATGGGATAAATCATTCATAATAAATGTTTTTTTTGGGCTTTAAATAATTCCAGTTCTTCTGTTACTGTACAAGCAAGTGATGACAATGTATCGTTATATCTTTAAATGATCCATAGCTGGGGATATGATAATGACATCGTCTTGTGTCACCTATGATAGCTTAACACGAATGCGTGGTAAACAATCAACTCAATTTATTTTTTGTGCACGCCAATAGTTTTTGAAATACATTTTGGCAGTCGACACCTTATTTAAATTTCCACCTACTTTGTACAGGGAAAAAGTAAGAAAAAAAGAGGAGAATATGTTCCATATCGGGATTCAGTGTTAACATGGTTGTTAAAAGAAAATCTTGGTGGAAATTCCAAAACTGCAATGATTGCTGCTGTCAGCCCTGCTGATATTAACTATGATGAATCTTTGAGCACTTTGAGGTGAATGTTTTTGTATTATGAATTATGTTCTTTTCGAATAGCTATGCATTACAAAGATTCTGTTCTAACATGTAGTCTACATTTTGCAACAAAATCATTCTGTAAGGGTGAATTTGCCAAAACTATAATATCTAATATCCAATTCTACAGAAAATTCAATTTCTTGAAAAATTATTTTAGCATTTATTTTGCAATTCTATTGCACTGAACTTATTTGGCAGTACTTCATTTTTTTGAACCTGCACTCAGTCTCGTCATTTTAATTAACCCAGAGCTGTTTTTCAAGTGGATCGAATGTAAATTTTACCCAAATCTGCTGTTCTGATATCAGATTATCATATCAATTTTATCTTTCTTTCGATCCAAGGTATGCGGACAGAGCAAAACAAATCAAATGTAATGCAGTCGTGAATGAAGATCCGAATGCCAAATTAATCAGAGAATTAAAGGCAGAGATTGAACAATTGAAACAAGTATTACGAGCAGAAGGATTGTCAGATATAATGACATCTCGCAGTATGCAACAACTCAGCAGTATTAATAAAAAATTATCTGATAAAGGTAAATATCGTAAATTTTGCAAGTTTGATGAAAAATCCAACCATAAAGACATAGCAAGGCATTAACGACATTTGGTTTGTGACAACCATTTGCAAATTTTTGCATACAAGATTAAAATATTTACATGTATACATAATTATATATACGTTCTAGAATAGTGCTTTTCAACCTTTTCAGTAGAGCGGAACCCCAATAGAGGCTCGAGTAATCTCTATGCCATTAATGTAGGTATATTCGATTATATGATTAATTTTGTTATCATAGAATATGCCAATCAAATATAATGTGAAACGAAAATTTGCGGCAGAACACCAGAATGTCTTTCACACAACACCAGAGAAACACACTTATTATATGATAATGTTAAACCAGTGTATTCGATTATATTTGAACAATATATATATGATAACATAGACTACCAACTAATGATCCTTTATTATTTATTTTTTGAAGGTGAAATGACAGATTATGCAATGGATGAAGTGAGAATTTATGGTAAAGAGAAAGATGCTTTTGAGCAATTGAAGGTACAACTTGAAATTATTCACGTTGGTTAGCCTACTGATCATGGACATTTTTACACATAGAATATTTTTACTTTTATAGGAATCTGAAAAAATTATTGCTGAATTAAATGAAACTTGGGAAGAGAAACTGAAGAAAACAGAATTTATCAGACAGCAGAGGTACGTGTTTATTGAATAAAGTGAAAACAAAAAAAAAATTTTCGAATTGATTATTTTTGGCAATCAATAAATATGCATTTCTTTTGACCAAAATAGCTTAAATTATTTAGAATTTTTTCAATGAAAAGTCCGAAAATTATGATTTATTGGAAAATGTTGTTGTGGCTTTTAGAGATAATTGTGTAGGTGTGAACAATTATTTTGCATAGAGTTCTATGTACTGATTCAGTAACAAAACAAATTTACTGTCAACCGCAGGCTACTAAGTAAATATTGGCAAAAAGCCGAGTATTTCTACACAAATTAAAGATTAGAGAATTTATTAGAGTGATATATTAGAGCAGTGGTTTTCAACTGGGGTGCTGCGGAACCTCATGGTCGCATCAGCACAGTCCTGGGGTTCCGCAAGTCCACAATCAAATCTGAGAGTCTAAATGTTTATATGTCTTTATTGTTTAAATGTAATCAAATACCTATTTTCCACTTTTATCAAACTTGCTACACTTTTGAAGATTATGGTGTTCTGCAAGCATTAGGGTTGCTTTTTCAGACAATTAAACTGGGTTCCTCGAACTTCTTGAATGTTTCATTGGGTTTTCGCTCCACTGAAACACTTGAAAACCACTGAAGTAAAGTGTAAAGATTGCTAAATAATTAGTTTAATCTAATTCTAGGATCTAAAAGTTGAATGGAAAGAATAGTAAAGTATTGGATATTCAATATTTTCATTACTACAAACAGACATACACAGTTTACTTTTGAGTGTTGTAATAAATTTGTTCTGTAACATAATATTTTATTTTACCAGAGAGCATGCACTTATGGAACTTGGTGTCTCATTGCATCAAGATGGAGGAACTCTTGGCGTTTTCTCACCAAAGAGAACTCCTCATTTAGTGAATTTGAATGAAGATGCACTTATGTCTGAATGTCTTCTGTATTATATTAAAGAAGGAATAACTAGGTTTGTGCAGATTAATCATCTTTTGTTAGGTAAAACTGTAAAACAATTGGATTTGGCAATAGATTTGGTATAGGGATCGTTATGTGGTCCTAATTATCATTTAAATCGCCTTCCCTTTAGAAGTCATATTGGGCAAATATTTAAATATATATATATATATACATGAAAAGGGAGAGATCCTTGAGTTATTACTGAGTTATTTTTCGATCTAGATAAATTTTGAAAGGAAAAACATCATTGCAAACTTCTCAGATATTGACACATAAACTGTCCCACGGAATCTGAAAAATCTGAAAATAAAAGTTTAGACAACTGTGTGTCCAGGTTTATTTCAGATATCAGAGGTTGTCGTTGTATTGATTTGATATATTGATTTATTTTCACACTCATTTAACCCTAAAGGTTGATTTCTTTATTATATTCCAGGGTTGGTTTATCATCTGCTAAAGTGCCTCAAGATATTGTATTAAGTGGAGAATTTATTGAAGATGAGCATTGTATCTTCCAAAATCAAATATCTGAGGAAGGACGTGGTAAGAGCTACAAATTAATCTTGTTTATTTGGATGATAATAAATTAACAGTTTTTGTTGTTGGAGATTTTGAAATGCCAATAATGAATGTAATCGATAATGTTTGATTCTAATTGTTGTATGAGGCTACTCCAAACAATGCTCCTGACAAGAAGGCACTGTTATGTAAGGGGTAAAATTTTTGAAAGACTGGAAGTTTCATGATTCTAAGTCATTCTAGGAAATTCATAACAAAAATTGGCTGTCATCAGACAGATCTAAAAGTAGAATTTGACTTATTTCACGATTTGCTTCAAAATTTAATAAATTAGACCAATTAGAAATAATGGGATGGTAATTTTTAGAGAGCCAAATTTTCCTAATATTGACATTATCAATGTTTTATTCGTATTAACTATTAATCCTTTTGCTCTTTTTCCAGCCGTTGTCATGATTGTCCCATGTGAAGGATCACAAACTTTTGTCAATGGTAAAGAAGTTGTGAAAGCACTTGAACTCTACTCTGGGAACCGTATTATTATTGGAAAAAGTCATGTGTTTCGTTTTATGCATCCTGACCAAGGTAATATATCTTCTTTGTTTGGTAAAATGGATATTCAGCAGTAAGCTGTTTTTTTAAGAAAAGTGAGAATCAGAATAACTTATATTACTAGATTACTGAAGATTGTCTTTAACATTGGAAATGTTCTTGCTGGACACATTGCCATCGTAGGGTGATTCACGTAACCGCTGCTTGGTTACTGATTCCTTCATCATCAGAATCCATGCATCTGCAAACATAAATTACTGTCTAACTAATCCCATACCTTACATGGACTGGTAACCGCGGCCCGCGTGAGAGATTGTCTGTCTGTTGCTCGCAATACGATTAAGCTGTCTTATCGACTTTCATCTCTCCCAGGATAAATATGTAAATCCTGTTTCTTACAGTTCTATCAGATAACCAAACTTAAAATGTTATTTTAAAGTAAATGTATTTAGAGGATTCAAAATCGAAATTAATTCCGATACGTAATTCTAGAGTACCAAAAATTTCAAGAAAGGAAAATATTTATTTTGCAGACTTCTAACTTGCTTCAGTTTGTTTAAATTCTGAATACATTTTCATTTGAGATTGTTTTGCATATCATTGACAAGTTATGTGTTCTCTGATTTCAGCTCGTGCTATTCGAGAAAAGGGCGATGCGACCATTGTTGAGAGTCCTATGGAACTCGTTGATTGGAACTTTGCTCAAAAGGAATTGTTTGATAAACAAGGCATTGACATGAAGTTGGAAATGGAAAGACGGTACAAGTCATACTTGCTAATGATAACAATAATACAAAATTAAAATTACCAATTTTTATTTTACTTTCAATTGTATATTAGAACCTTGGTTTTTTTTATTCCAGTAAAACTTTTCGTTAACTTTTTTCTCATATATTGGTGATTTTCTCAAGATGAACAATATCATATATGAATTTGATAGGAAATTTTGCTATTAAAAATAAATTCTAATAACAAGAACAAACCTTTAAATTTACAAAGTGATGAAATGTGTAATATGTAGATTTTGTTTTGTCTAATTTTTATAACTCTCTCAACCTTCTATTTCCTTTTTGCTATAGTAGAGGTGTGACAAAAAATTAAGCAAGTTACAAATATATTTCGAAAATTTTTCATTCAAATAAATGAAAAATGAGTTATTGCATTTTCTATCTGTGCAATTTATGAAAACTATAATTATCACCCATCGGATATTTACATTTCTTTGATCATTTCCCTGACCTTTCTGTTTTTATCAATAAATAAATTTGGCTTTTAGACTAATTGAAATGGAAAATCAATATAAAAAGGAGAAAGAAGAAGCCGATACACTTCTGAAGAATCAGAGACAGGTATTTTATTCTTTTTATCACTATTTTAACATGAGATCATCTACGGGGGTGCATTACTTGGAATTGATTTTATTCTCCTTATGCACGGTCAAGCATGAACCATAGAAAAAACCTCATTCTTGAAAATATTATCTATAGCTCATAGCTCGCCAATGTTGGTTGCTGTTAATCTAAGCTTAGAAAGTAATTTTTTTAAGTGCTGATTTGAATAAACTATAGCCTGTTATGATTAAGTTTTATTTGCAATTTCACTCAAGTCAAGCTTAATTCATTAGATTTGCATTGCAGAGAATGGTGTTTTCCTTCCGCTTGCTTTTATAACACTTGCATTTACATTAATTTACGATATATACCAAATTCATAGACTGTAAAAATTGCAAAGTTCACAGAAAATACATGTATTTACACCCATAACGCTCTTCACATATTTCTCACATATTAATTTCTCAGTTTCATCAATTTTTAGGTTTCAACAACTCCACTATATAACACTCTTACAAATGAAATCTACCAATTTTTATTAGTCGCTATTTTGCTCATGGAAACACTTTTTTTATTATACAAGAAACAAACTTGAGAACTCCAAAATGCAGAGTAGATACAACAATTATTAATTAGAAGCAGTTGGTTTCCAATTGTACAGTAGTGAAACAACTTCAACCTAACATTTTTCGAATTATTTTAACTCTCTGGTATTAAACTATCAATGCACCATGCTAAACTATAAGATTTAAAATGACACTTCTCATATGGATATATTTATGGGCACAAAACACAAAATTAATTGCATGCTTTTCTTTCATCTTGAATCTTTCATTCAAACTATTTTGCACTTTTTTTTCCTGAAAGATTACCGGTGGCTGTGTATTTTGTATTCTGAAGTTTATTCAGGATTCATTATTTGCAGCGATTTATATGGATTAGTGTTGAGTTTATACACATATTTGGGGGATTTTGAAAAACAAGAAGCAGAATTAGAGGGTTAGGCTTTCGTGATACCTTTCAAGAACGGCTTGGCAGATCTCGGTATCGATTTTGATGTTTGTATCAGAGAATTTGCTCGGGTACAAGAATCTACCAAGGCAGGCATCCAGAATGTGTGGCAGATTTGTTCTAGGATATCAAGAAGGGATTGATCATATTAGAATTAGAATTTTTACCGTATATCAAAATCAAAAATGTTGAACATCTGAATATGGGTAGGAATAAAACCATGGTCCGTCGGAAATTAATCTAAACCAGATCAGATATATGAATTCCTGGTCAGGGAATTATCACAGGTGCATTGATGTGAAGGGTGGCATAAACAGTAATCAGTGGTTATGCAATCCATCCTCTGAAGAATATTATAGGATTAAATTCATAAAATAAACGTAATCATCCCGTCATCTGTTTAAATGGAAACCCTTGTAAAAAAATATTTCATTACTAGCATTTGTGTAGCGCAGAAGACAATTATTTTCTGGGTAGTTTTGATTTGACATTATAAGGTTTTGAGTGAACTAGTATATACTTGCATGTCTGTCACAATAGTAAGTATGTTTATAGCTTTTGGCATTTCAGAATTTTGTCTTAGGTGAGCAAGGCAGTGTCTGTATCTCAGTAGATGTAGATTTTGTTTATTATGGATTCGATTGACTAATTGAGAATACTAGCTTTGTATTGAATTTTGCATGTTATTAACATAATACATCGCCTTTGCATCTGGTGAATCATGAATGAAAGCAGCTTTGAAATCTACAGCATGATGCATCTTCTGCAATCTACTATTTTTGGTAATCATTTTCTTATAATTTTTAGATACGATCCTTCACATGTATATTCCATAAGCTTAGAAACCTTCTTAATTAGAGTTCATTGTTGATATATTGGCAGAAAATCTGAATCTTATATATTCGATATTTTGAATAGAGAATTATTAGACTTTGGCCATCCCTGTGTATTGATTATTTTAAGAAGCATAAATGCCTGAAAAGATAGCTTTTATTAATGTAATTCTTTTTATTTCCCTTTCCTCCTCCGAGACTCTGTCCTAACCCTTTTCAATCTTGTCTGTTGATAATGGAAAGGAGTAAAATCAATTTGTAGATGGAGTGTATTTCCAAACCAATGGTCAAAACCTTCATTTATTTGGGTTCATCTAGTTATTTTTACTGTAACCATGTTCTCATATTTCCCTTTTCTCATTTCCGTAGACTTTGTTTCTCAATTCCATTCTACCCTGTGCAACAATATCATTTAGAAAATTATGATCAGCCTATACATCGTTATGCGCCAGTTCTAAACTTATACCTTTGCTTAAATTAGTAGTCAAATTTTTTTTTGCAATTCGTACAATTTCGAAACTTCTATTTTAGGATGACGATGATTTGACTCATAAATTGAGATCATGTGAAGAAAGTTGGAAACTGATCGCAGGATTGCGTGAAAAAGTGACTCCACAAACTTTGCGCGATATTGTTACAAAATGTGGGCTTCCAAATGCTGGTTCCGTAACTGATAGTTTAACTCAAGATCCGGTTGCATATACGACGCCTGCCCAAGGACCAGTACGATGGCTAACAATGGCTGATATTAAAGTACAAGCAGTAAAAGAAATGTGTTATGAAATTGCCTTAGCTGGTTTTTGTTATAATAGCTCTGAGATTGTTTCGCTTGCAAAAATAAAAATGAAAGCTTTGTGTACCCGTTATGGTAAAAAGAATCCAAATGAAGAAGCTTTGTGGCATTCAGTTGCAAAAGATGTTATGGATACTGTTGGTACATCACATGCTGGTGATGATTTATTTCAAATGCAGAGTTGTGATTCGATTGTGAAGGAAACTTCTGAAGATGTGAATGTTGGCGTTGAAGTTAAAATTATTATGGATCAAATGTTGGATGATGTTTGTGAGAAAATAGAAGAAGACAAAAATGCTGCTAAAATTGATGAAGAAAAAAATGGTAAAGATATTGCACATTTTGATCAGGCTATTAACAAGCTTAAACACCTTGTTCAAAAATTGAGTATTTCGCCTGATCAGTCAAATGAATTGTCTGACAAAATAGTCAAAATGATTTTACAACATGTTGATGATGATAACTTGGATTCAAAATCTGATAAGGTAGATAATGGTTCGAGTGAGCAGCCTGATAAAAGCACTATTGGTGATAAAAGTAAGGATAATGATAACGGAAATCTTGATGAAGAAAGCATGAAATCATTGTTGGAAAATGATAAAACTTTATCACCTAGATACATAAGATCCAATGATTTTAGTTGTCCTTCACCTGGTGTTGTTCTGCCATATGAATTTGAATCGAAAGATAAACAAATTGAATGGTTAATGGAAAATGATAAAGCTTTTAGACGTGGAAGACTACAATGGATTGCGCAACAGAAAAATTATGAAAAAAATATGGAGCTGAGGAAACAGAATAAAGAAAAACGAAGGGTTCAACGTGAAGAACAAGAAAAGAAAAAACAGGATGGAAAAGATACGGGTTTCAGATTTAAATTCAAAGGAAATAGTTCGAGCATGAATAAGCTGCAACAATATAGAACTAGACGTCAAACGATCGCTTGCGGGAGAGATCTGGAAGACATGGAGTCCAGTGAACAAAACACCTCTGCAAACAAAGAAAAATATCGATGGAGCGCAGATTTTAGCCAAAATCGAAATGATAGTCAATTTATGGGCCAAAATGGCAATCAAGAAAGACCTACCGGTAAACGTCAGAAATACACAGCATATAGAAGAAAAACGTCTTATAACAGTCAAAGCTGGCGACGACCGACTTCAGATGTGATTGAAGAGACCCCAGACTTTGCAAGACAAAATTTTTATATTATGAATGGAAGTCAACAATTATCAAATAATAATTATGTTCCTCCACAAATGCCTCACTTTCATCGCATGCCACAGCAACAACCATTGTTTTTCGATGATCAATGCATGAATAGAAATGTTAAATTTAACAGCGTTCCACAATTAGCCTTTTCACATCAGCAATCATTTCAAAACAGGCCAACACAAATGTATTATCGTCCTCCACATAGACAAAAGTATTAACCACTTTCTTTTATTTGTCCAATTTTATTCTTTTAGAACAACAAAACTTCACAAAAATTTGAACAATGCTAAAATTATTTAAATTTCTGCTCTTCCAATTATTCAGCATTAAAAAAAATTCTATTCATTTTTACTTCACTTTTTCATAAAACATTTTGACTTTTAGCAATTTTGTTATAATGTAAATTAAGTTTTATGCTTTATTTTACCTAGACATGATTCGGGTATGGTATATTAGATGTTTAGTAATTTATTACTATTACCCAATTTAAATATTTCATCATCTAAGTTTGTTTTGAAGATATTTTCCCAATCACATACAAATTCTATATAGTGCCTTTTTTGTAATGTTTTCCACTTTCATACTTTGCACTTTTACCCTATTGGTGCCATTAAACTATTTGTCTTGCCTTTCAGCATGAAAAATCATCTATCGTGTGTGCCTCGTTGTGTTACCTATGAAACATTCAACTGTAATTTTAATTACATTGTCATACTTTGAAATATTTGTGTTTTTGTGTATAGATTCGTGTGAGATTAGAGTAAGCCAGGAAGTATCTTTTATCAGAAATATTTTCTGCATAATATTTCCTGCTCTATGAAATGCTTTTTTAGACATGAAGTGGGCCTATAATTGGTTTTGGTGTTATGTTGTTGTTGTTCTAATTCTTTTTCTTATTGGTATACAAAATTTCTTTTTTTTTTGATTATTAGACCAATTGCTTTAAAATTTTCAGAGCTTGTACAAGCTCTGGTATAGGCCTTGCAATGCAAAGGGATTGGAATTTCTCGCACGTACCAGATAAACTATATTAAAAACTGGTTTCGCGGGACATACAATGTCACTTCTCTGCAGTCCGCACAGTTTTTCCCAGTGCGCCGCAGGTTGCACATCCCTGGATTAAATACCTGCGCTACTTGTTTTGGTTTTTGTGTCATATATTCGAGCATCGCTTATTGTTTTAATTGCATTGACTTGATCTAATTCAAGTCTTGCGTCAATCGACATTTGCTGACACGTAATGCACCTCAATAATCTTGATATTGCTTTCCCGTAACTTTGTTCAGAGATGAGTCTCTTTAAATTCTGAACGAGGGCTTGTGACTTTGTGCTTTGAGAAGACTTCAAAACAAAGAAATTTACTGTGAATGCTGGTCGCTAGCAATCTTTTCTTTTACAAAATGTAGGCTATGAGAGGATGGTTAATGAGGAGTTACAAGCATGATCTGTGTAGCTGATTTTATTGCTGTTTCAGGAAGGTACTATGGGCTCTTATTTCTGAAATGAAAAACCATGTTGTTCGTCATTGCTCACCTGTATATTCATAAAGTTGCCAGTAATGTGAAAATGAAGATTCAAATCTAATATCTGCATCATGTACACGAAGCATTCTGGAGATATTGTACTTTTGACTGATTACAGATGGGAATATTTGCTTTGGATGAAAGGGTAAATGCAGAGATATCCCCAGATAGCTTGATATGGTAAACTGCTGAAGGATCCCTTTCTGGCTTCCATCACCTTCATTCACATTCTTCTAGCGAAAGTTCAAATATAACTAATAAGAGTCAAGTACTGGTTTGTAAGTCATGGTGATGAAATGAGCAAGAGGAGGACATTGGTAAAATGATGAATATCATCTGAAACAGAGAGGACAGTATGATCTCTGATTGGTTCTTCAAATTTTTAAACTGCTTTACTAAAATAGGGTGGGATTTACATACCGGTATTTATTCCTGGGGAGAGGAGAGCCGGTAAGACAGCCTAATCATATGGCAAACCACAGCCTTGAAAGGCATGGACTTGATGTTTGTGGAGGCCCAAACCGACCAGCGGTACATGAACCACCCTACGTCGACGAGATGTTCAGCAATCTTCTCACACATAATTAAACACCCATGGCAAGCATATTCCTAACACTAAGCACAATGTACCACTCTGCCGACTTTCCTCTTACTACTTGGGTGTGCAAAAAGATATTAGGAAATGTCAATCTTTTTTAATTGACTATCATTGTACCTTGGTTAAATCTGTCTGAAACTGCTAATAAATGAAAGTGGTGGGAATTAACCAGATCTTCTATTTCTCATTTTACTTACAATATGGTATTACAAAGAAATCAAAATAATTTTTAGAATTTGCCCTCTAGTCGGCATTGAAGTTTTAGTACAAATATATTGATGAGAATGTATATATTATTATATATGACACATTTTCGAGTTTTTTTCGTAATCAATAATTCAAAGTCTAGAAATTACTTTTTCATGAAATTTTCAACCATTTTTATAGGACCGAAGGTCTGTGAAATTGAAATATAATCTCTTCTTCCATGTTATTGAATTTTGTGCAATATGACATAATGTTGCGCATTCATTTACTATAAGGCAATCATTTTTGAATAGTGACGACAATTTCATTTCAACATTTTCACCCCAAAACTTCAAAAAAATGTATAAAATACACAACTGCAATGAATAGATAAAAATTCAATATATCATGAATGTGGACAAAACTTAAAAATCAATTTTGAAGCACACAAGAAGATGTACTAAAAAGAGGACAAAATTGTACATATTTCATGAGTATTTTATGCTACAGTATTCTACTTTCTTCATGATTGTTGTGTTCTGTTCTTTTACCTGGTCTGTGAATTTATAACCAGCAATTAATAATTTGATATTGAAATATGCATTATTTGACCTAAAATATTAGATACTTTCGAAAGCTATTACCAGTCAAGGTTTGATTTGAACAAAGAAGTGATATTTCTAATCCAGTTTCATGAGCAATATCTTCCACATGTGAGAGATAATAAGCTGGTTATTGTATTCCATTGTTCAGCACACATTAATCATCATCAACTATTCATTTTTAAGGATTATGAAAGTAAACTACAAGCATTGAAGAAACAATACGAAACTCAGTCTTTGAGATCTTCAGGGATATTTGAAGATATATTGGGTTAGTATTTGCTTCATTTGTTAAACAACATAAATTTTCTAAATTCATATCAAATGGATATTTACCCGATCATCTATTTTCTTGTATATTTCTGTAACGATAACCAATCAGCAATAAGTCAATGACATAGCAAATGCAAGTGTCAGATTTTAGCTGTGTCCACAAAAATTAGTTGTGAATCAAATAAAGTAACTATCAGCACCTGTAAAAGCGGCACATGGTTAAGAATTTTCAATAAAAACGATGGTTTAAACATGTAAACCGATTTGCGAGTGACCACAGGGATAAACACTTTCCAAATAAACTTCAAAAATTTTGCAAAGGTAAAGAATAGAAAGAATTTTTCTGACGTCAAAGGTCGGGAAAACATCCATTATACTTTTAAAAAATGCAAACAAACAACAAAATTGAGAGGACTCAATTAATTTGAGTGTTGTAAGGTTCAATTCCATTTCTACCAAGTCAATAACTTTAGACTGTGAGCTATCACTTTGTGAAAAAAACTTTTTCACACCTTCACTCCAACCAAAGCCCCGGGCCAGCAACTGATAGTATGTAAAGAGATATTATTTATAGAAAGTCCAGAACTTTGCCAGCTTGGCATTGCCTACGTGATTTATTATACTCTTGAATGAATAGATTGTGTTAGCTGTGGGGTTGGGACCAGAGATCTTCACACCTTTAATGAAAAACTGGTTCAGTATAACGCTATTACTGCCAGGCCGGTGGTTCTCGACCATTTTTTGGCCCATTTTTGTTCAACCAGAAATCTGTGGCCCTTTAACTTTTTATGTAATTAAGAATTTACAAGAAAAATGGCCCACTGGTTGAGAACCGGTGTACCTGGCCGTTGTGCCCACTATTCATACTCCAAAAGTTTCCAAGTTTTTGTCTATTTTGTTTGTTTCATACATAAACTGTAAATATGATTGTTAACAACGACAAATATCTTTAGACGAAGAAGAAGAAGAAATAGAATGGAATGAACATGAATTCGAGCTTGCTAGAAAAGCTTGGAAAAAATGGAAATCTTATCACTTCACATCATTAAGAGATGATTTATGGGGAAATGCAATTTTGTTGAAGGAAGCAAATGCAATCAGTGTTGAATTGAAGAAACAAGTAAATATTGCTTTTTTTCATAGAGCAAACTTCATTTACTAACTTCATGATTTATCTCATCAGTGTAGGTGATGTCCTAGTGGTTAGAGCAGGGGTGTGCAACATGTTTTGTCGGTGTGCCATATAACCAACTCCATACATCTAGCTGGGCCACTCCTTAGTTAGTGACTGCCACAGAGCCCTATACAGAGTTAAGTTGTGTGAAGTTTTTTGTGTAACGATACTAGCTGGATATACCCATCAAATTTATTGAAATAATTAATAATGTGAATTGTGAGAATATAAGACTTGCATTCAAAGGCATTGAATTATAGACCGAGCAACACCACACCACAGACCAGACTATGATGAATAATTTATTTCTGTCTCATCTTGCGCTTTTCACAGACAGTCTCTGACAATTAGGACAATCAATTTCGTTTGAAAATAATTCTGCTTTTCTGAATCAATTCCAGAAATGCTGCATTCACTCTTATCTCACTTTTCAAAACTAACCACCGATACTGAAGATATGATTTAGCTCTAATCATCAACTTATAATTCTCAAATTTCTTCTCAATGATAAAGTGTTGATACTTACAAAGTTAGTGAAGGTGATATTCCATGCCCCTGACCAGTGGTGGAAATCAGAGGGTTTGCAAGAGAGAGAGAGAGAATTTAATATTTTGTCAACCAGAAAACACATATTATGAAAATAATAATAATAACATAATAAGTAAATCAAAAGTTTTTGTGTGACTGGTTGGCAACGATAGGATCATTTACGGTCTTTTGAGTCTGTTACCACCCAAGGGATCATGCGAAACCGTTTTTGGAATGTTGTGATAATCAGCGAACTTGTTTTTGTTTAAAATTTTAGACAACTGCAGCAAGTAGGTAGCTTGCACTGCAGATGACGACTAGCGCTTCTATAAAGTTATGTATTAGATTTATGATAAGCATATCATGTTAATGTAGCTTATGTAATAACATGCATATTTTTTCTGAAATGAGCAAAAAAAAACTTTTCTTGGAATTTTTAATCCTATTATTGGTTCTTGTACCATACACAATATTTTGAAAATGAACATTTTCAAACTTTTTATTATATTTATTTTATAAACTTTAAAATAAATTAAACTTTATCATTATGTTTAGGTCATGTTTCAATTCACTATATTGACTGATACTTTATTGTCACCTCTCTCTGCTGAACTTCGACCTTCATGCTTGGATGAGTTTGGAAGGCAACGAAGTAAAACTATCGTTGCCGTAAAAGTATCTGATTTAAAGAATGGTGCAACTCATTATTGGTCTTTACTGAAACTGAGGTAATTTAATTATTTAACTTTTCTTTACAGCAATTTCATGTCTATTATCTCAGAAAGTGTGTATTGAAAGACTGATAATAGTCAGGGATGGTCAAAACTGAATAATTTACGGTAGTATTTTGAAAACATTCTGTAATTATCTTTTCTAATATGAAATTTCGAATATATTCTGAAATGGGTCTGTTCCACAAGAAAAATTTCTCAAGACATTTGTAAATTTGTAGAAATCAAATCTTTCATGCAGAATTGAGATAAGCATTGTTTTAATTATCATTCTCTATTTTATTTGTTCGAAAGTCAATTTTTTCGTCTATCATAGGATATTAAGTGCTCAAAAAGACGTTTTCAAATAAAAATATTCAAATACCAGTAATAATTATTCCCAAAATCAAGAATTTACTATATAGAATATAACCAATTTTGAATGTATTCAAATATTCGATTCGTTTTGGAGATCCCTTATAATATTCTTAATAAAAATTTGCTGCAACTCTCATATCTGTGTTATGTTTCTTTTAGTCTTGACAGTTTAATACAATTGAAATAAAAATGCACTTTATAATTTGGATTTTGGAATGACTTTGCCATTTTATAATTTGGATTTTGAAATGATAATGCCATTTCTTCAGAATGGAATATTATATACCTTTGTTTACTTAGAGTTATTTTGGACTATGTATTTTTCTTGTACAATTTTTTGTGTGTATAAATTATTTTGAAATTTGAAATTTTTTCTTTCTCAAAACCCTTGCCCCCACCTCACCCAAAGTGTGATAAATTGAATAGGAAATGCCAAACCAGGGAAGATTTCTCCCAAATAACAGTAGCTCCTTATTTATCGGTAGAGATTGTTGTCTTCTTGTTCAGGTCCTTGCTCAGGGCTAAAGACTTAAAAAGCGGAGTTTAAAAAAAATTAAACAGAGTTTTTGTAAATGCTGGAATGCCTGGTGGTTAGAATATAGGACATAACAATGTTGGCACCACAGATTTTGATTTGTATTTAAAGTTTAAAAAAAATTAAACAGAGTTTTTGTAAATGCTGGAATGCCTGGTGGTTAGAATATAGGACATAACAATGTTGGCACCACAGATTTTGATTTGTATTTTTATCTCTTTTTTGATAGAAAACGGCTTGATTTGATGCGCAAAATGTATGATCAGGCATCTGCATCTTTATCTGAAAATTCAGGGAAAGGAAGACGAGAAAAATTTTCCGAAAAATTTCCATGGCTCAATATTACATTCAGGTAAATATTTATATAATCCAATATTATTCACAGTAACGCATTAATGAATGCTGTAGAAAATAGTTCAATCATATCGTGTAAAATGAATTTAGGCGCTCCAGAAGTGTGTGTACCAATATGGAGGTAACTAATTTTGTTCCCCTACTTTACATCATGTTGTATAAAGGGACTGGAACCAATGGGCAGATGGTATATTCACTTGGCTAACACAGTCCCCGAACTTGTAATAGAACTAAAATAAGGAAAATCGGAATAATAATATGGCCTAACCCTAACCTGGTTCACCCTCTACGGGAGTACCTCGATTTGTCATTTTATCAATTTGGTTGTAATGTGAGATTTTTATACTTTGGAAACAGTTTCTCTACAAATCGAAATTCATCTAAGCCATATGCATGATAACTAAGTTTTGTATTTTGAAAAATTTAAAGAATTTATTGTGCTTGGTACCTGGATTGGTTTATCTTGTTGATTTCTTTGATATTTTTTTTGAATATTTTTTTAGCGCCTTTAACGAAATAAATATTTTCTCACGATATGAGTCGGTAAATTAGTCATAGTCTTCAATATAACCTTTCAATGTCATCAAATATTGAAAGCGCTCTACCTGAGGTCTGAAATTTCATAAATTTTTAATAATTCAAAGAAAATTAGGTTTTGACTATGCTTGAGTAGTATATTGACAAACTTGAGCTGGAACATTTCATGAAAAAACACTTTGTGTTTCACGAGCTTTACATATTGTATTTAAGTGTGACAATATTCACACATTAGGTTTAGTTTATTGACAAACTTGAAAGTTTTATCAAAAATCACTTTCTGTTGTACGAGCTTTACATATTGTATTTACCATAAGTATGACAATAATTGCACAGATCGTCATATCATCCCAATTGGGTTTCTCATTTTCAAGACAAAAATTTAGAATTTTGATGAAACGTAAAATGAACACATTGGCTGTATTGAACTTCTTATCACATGGTAATATGATAGCTATTAGCAATTATTATACAACTAACCATTGCACTCAAAAGTCAAAAGTAAAAAAATTCAAAGTTATCCATTTTGACAATGTCGATGTGTTTTTCCTAGGGATGGGCCGGGATTCGGATCCGGACTCGGATTCGAGTCGAATCCACGCATTTTTTGGACTCGAATTCGATTCCGAGTCCACGTCATTTTTACCGAGTCTATAATCAATTCTGTTTTTACCAATTTACGCCTATATTTGTACTTTTGCCTCTATAAATCTAACTACATACCTTAACGAGTTAAAATTCAAGGTTAAATCTGTAACAATATCCCTCGTGTGTACTATTAACACTCCTAATAAAAGCGACAACAGATATCCAGATAAGATAACGCATGTTAAAAACTATTAATCGCTTATAACAATGATGTTGCGCCAGTCGCCTTCAAACTATCTATCCTTTTTGGTACACAATAAAATATGTGTTAGCGCAATATACCTCTTTTAAATCGAGTTTATTACAGGCATTCTTTTCTCTGAAAAGGGAGCAATGAAAAGCACGGAGAGTTTTTGAACGTTTACATGAACTACTAAATTGCAAGCAGATGTAGGCTACTACATTGTATTCACGACGAGTGGCATTTCTTTACCATTTGCGCACGTGACATAGTAAATTTAGGGCTAGAAATATCTGGAATTATGGGAAAGCATTGCAGTCAAAAGCTTTATATTTTTCATATTGACATGTATAAATTTCTGGATAGCTGCCCAGAATTGACGCAAGGTGATGGGCTGGGAATCCAGTTCACAGCCAAGGCGCACATCCACGTTTGTATTATGGCCGCCAAAGAAGGGGGAAAATATATTTTTAAGATGATTCAACAGCCATCTACAGAACCATTAGGCAAAAATATGACCTACGACGTATGTGTGTATTGTGAGCGCACGATGTTGTAGCGTCGCCAAAAACGTGTTTTTCTGTTTTTACATTGTGACGTCACGGACTCGGTGGATTCGATTCGAGTCCTTGACCTATTACTCGGATTCGTCGAATCTCTGTAATGCCGGACTCGTCCCATCCCTAGTTTTTCCTAGTCCAACCAAAATTAACCTCTGACTATCCATTTTTGCCTATACCACTGGTTCTCAATGGTTTTTGATATATGTCTCCCATTGCCAGATTTATTTGACTTTCCTTATTGTATCCATGTGTTATGTGCAACTCGCACTCTGGCTTTTTACAGTTTAATGGTTTATAATGTGTCCATAATAACACAAAATCAGCAAAACTTCATGCAAATACAAGCAATATCCCCTTTTTCCCCCTAAAAATAACAAAATTCCTTCTCGTTTGGTAAACGTTATTCTATACATAGCCTGGATGAACAAAATCTTTCATACATTATTCAACTAACTTCAAATTTGAAATCAAAATTACTAATTTATCATGATTCATACATGATCATCTCATATTTCTATTGTCATCATAAAACGGGGAAAATGAGAAAACCCATCTCCATGTTGACAATCAATTTAATTGATCAACAGATTTCCGGCCCCAAGAATGCACTTATCCTGTATTCATCCTAGTCCCGGCGATGTGACACCACCATGCTATGCTGCGAGTCCTGTGAACGAAATATCTCCATCAGTGTCGATCTTGTCTCTGCCATCTGTGGCCCAAGATAAATTAAGTCCGACAGAGCCAGTCAGTCAAGCATCAACATTCGTTAAATCGTCATCAATGTCAGATTTGGAATATGAGTCGGCAATTTATAATCTACTGAGTCATCAGGATCCATTTTATGATCGGACACCGTGGTTTTCCATTGTGGGAAGGTATCAAACTGAACGTCGTAACTTGGTGAATTGTTGATGCATGAATATTGTTCAATTGTTTGTGATGTAAGTAACTGTATTGACAATGTTTTGTAATTGTATGTAATTCATTGTGTTGATTGTACTGTGTGTATTATTATTCTATTTATGATGGTGAACACATTCAAGTAATAAGTTTCATCCTTTTACTTCTAACTAAGCTCTGTATAAGATAATTTCATTTCTGGCATAAGTCACAACTCACTGGAGGATGAATTGACGCTTCGCATTGTGTTAAGTATTAGAAACACTCTTGACATCGTATCTCTGATTACCCTGCATAGGTTTGGTTCCCATGGCATATAATAAATTACACGAGGATTGCTGGACTCATAACTGTAGTGGGGCGAAACATTTTGGTTTCTGCTTTTTCACTTAACACTTTTTAGCCATCTCATTGACTTTTTCCCCACTTCCTTAATAAACACGAACATTTTCAATAGTCAGTCTATGTCTGTCTTTACAATGGTAAGGACAATCAATGAATGGGTGGGTACTTGTTGGTGGATAGGGCATGAGAAAGATTACATTGTTCATTTCAGAAACTCTGGTGTTTTATTTACCCAACTACTTGGCTAGAGCTTTGTTCCTTAGACTTTTTTCATCACAACCCCACCTGTTACAGCCAAATTTTTCACGACCCTCAGGAACTAAAATAAAGTAAAATTTGATGATACAGAAAATGTTGAAAAAACAATAAAATTGAAAATACCTTTAATGAGACCGATGTGCTTGCATATTCTCGCATGAAAGATCAAATCCAGGCTCTATTGTGGGGATAGTGGGTCTCAATACTGGTTTCAAATTTTGATCAATATTTCGAAAGAAATTTTACTGTAATCCGCATTGAGCCCTTATGCGACCCACTGGCAGACCAGTTGTAGCCACACCAATCACTAATTGTACTGTACTACTTTTAACTTTTCTTTTGGTTGTGTCTTGCATGTAAGCTTTTAATACTCATGTTGTTTTTTCATCGCATTATCCTAGTTAATTTTTTAACAGAGGGTTTGTGTATTTGACCAACTTATTGGTTCCAACTTCATTGGTCCACAAAATGGCTGTTATAAGTGAGGATGGTAAAATCGAAGGATATCTTAGAGTTGCTGTTCAGGCTATATCAGGTATGTAAAAAAGGTTTTTAATTTTTCTTTATTTGACACTGCATTAAGTTTGAAATTGGCTTATTTGACTCTTACTAAAACGTGCATAAACCAATTCGGTTTTTAGTAATATTGTTTCTTGATTGCAGTTTTTCTTGTTAATTAATTTTGTTGAGAAAAATTGTTGTTGAGAAACCTCAAAGAAAGAACGTTTCCCGTAAAATTAGCAATTTCTGTTGTCAAAATTTTCAACATGAAAATGGTCATAGTTTATAAGGCTAAGTTTTTTATACAATGCTCTTCCATGCCTTCGCTCCGAAACAAGGCCACTGATATATCTAACGATATACATAGTGCTATTATTTTTGGAAAGACTGGAATCACTCCAGTTCAACATTGCCTACCGAATTTATTACACCCTGGGTGAGATCACACAAAATGTCAAGGATAAAATAATTTTCAATTTCACCATCACATATTTTTTATTTTGTTAAATTTTATACCGTATTTATTTCATACAGGTCATCATAGGAAAAGAAGTGATGATATCAACGACAGTAAATTAAAATATAATAGCAGAAGAAGATCGGCAACTGCCAGAATGCTATTTCGTGATGATTACAATCAGGTGAACATTTCTTAAAAGCATCTCTGGCTAAAATTTGACACAATTATCTATGTGTGACCCAAATATGAACTTTAGCTTGACATGATTAAGTAATTTGGATAAAAATTAATTTGTTCATGTCACTTTACTCAAAGCAAAGTTATGAGTAGGGATGACAAAAACGAATAAAATATACAAGTACATTCAAAATTGGTTATATTCGATTAAGTAAATTCTTGGTTTCAGAAATAATTTAGAATATTTTTATTTGAAAATGTCTTTTTTTAGGCATTTATTATTTTATGAAGGATAAAAATATTAGTCAACTTCTGACAAAATGAAAAAGAGAATGCGAATTGAAACAATGTTTATCTAGATTTATTCTGCATAGCCAAATTCAAATTCTACAAATTGCCTTTAAGAATTTCGCATATACAACAGACCCATTTATTACAGACCCAAAATATATTTGATATTTTTTTTTCGAAAAGACTAATTTAGAACAGGGGTTCCCAAAGTTGATAGAACGCAGGCCAAAATTCGAAGCAGAATGATCTTTGCGGGCCAGAAAAGGGAAGCGACAAAAAGGGCATGACGGCACTGATGGGGTTGAGCAAATTTTAAAAATAGGCGCTAAAATAGGCTTGTGTTGGTAGAAAGATGCTGGAAAATTTTACTTTTTATATCAGGAAAAATGACTTCCAAAATTTGCAGCATACATTCGTGGAAAAATTCCCCTTTAACAAACGGGCGATTTTTTTTTATCGGTTAAAATAATAAATTATTCGGTTTTGGCCATCCCTGGTCATGAGCGTCAGTGAGCAAAAGTATTCCTAATGAATGAGTGGCAAGCAGCTATCGAATTTCTGGAATCCACATATAAATTAATTGTTTTTGTCTCCTTTCTTCATGTGTTTCATTTCAAACAAAGCTCTGTACAATTTGCCAGTAAGATATAAGGAGCTACTTACCGTCCGTACTACCTTTTCGTTTTGGCATTATCTACGCAATTTTACACCTTGAGTGAAGTGATGAGTATGATGTTCAAACCCGATATCTCATGATAATCTGCGATAGCTACATTGTTGTTCCAACAATCCATATAGCAGTGGATACTGATCAACACAAAAATTTGAGGTGTCTGTCAGGGGAGGCCTTTCAGAAAAGGAAATTTAAAAAAAAGAGGTTCTTATAAAAGTAAATGTTGGCTCCAAAATTGTCGGTGGCGAGCGAGAATTATGCCAATGAATGGATGAGAATTAGGCTGCAAAGATTTTATTGTTTTTTTGTCATAGACATATCCAAACTTGCTCTCATACCCACTTCTGATATAGCATGTTAAAACAGTAGTTCTAAAACTTATATCAGTCATCAAAGATCCTCCTCTATCCAGTTATAATTATTTTTTCATTTAAAAATTGAACAACTTTTTCTCTCGTCGATAGGATGAGGAAACTTATGATGAATCTGTGGAAGATTTCAATATTTTTGTTGATACCGAAATAGCAGGTTACGAGAGTGCAGTTTTCTGTTCAACAACTTCATCACAAGATGAAGACAGTGAGTTATCTTTTCTTCTTTGCTATTTATTTGCTCTTTTTCTAAGTTTTTTGAAAAGAAGTATTAAAGTTGTCTTACATCAAGTTGGTGAAGAATCCTGTTCATGCATTTCAATATTGAACATCGTGGAAACTTTCCCAAATCAAATCATTCTATGAAAAACGGAGTATGTGAATCTGCAACTCACTGCCAAAGTCTTTGTGACTCCAGTCAATGTTTTGATATGAATATTGAATCATTTTAAACCATTTGAGATTTAATTACCATTTAAATAGTGGTGCGCAGTGCAGTGTCTTGACAATTAAATTAATTAATTGTCAAGCATTAAAATACTATGATACAATAGGTTTTTTGTAATATTTGGGGTTGAGGGGGTGATAAGATGATGAAATCATATGACAAACTATAGTCTTATTCTCAATTGCATTGTTTTAACATATCTACTTATTGTCAGCTTGTAAGTTGTTGATGTAGCCTACATCTGATGACTTAGGCCTATTAAATTTTTTTCGAAATTTATGAATCATCTGAATTCTTTGCACTGTGATATCAATGTAATTATTGTTATTTACTCCTGTTTTAAAAAGAAATATTTTCTGTTCAGTAAATCTTCATCTTCAAAAAGATTTTGAAAGTTCACTATATCCAAACGACAGACCAAAGATCGGAGACATTTTTGAATTCCGTATCACGATACTGGATGCCATTGGAATTTCATCGGAATATGCTGATATTTTTTGCCAGTTCAAGTAAGATTTTGATAAATTTTTTTTGCAGTTCCTAGTATGTGGAAAATCCCTTTTCAGTATTTTAAGATTGGTTGGTGCACACACCATAATTTATTTTAACCAGGGTGAATTGTTGAATTTATTTAGTTCAGAATAGTTGCATTTTCCTTTCTTGTTTTCAGTTTTATCAACAGAAAAGATGAACCATTTTCAACAGAACCAATAAACAACACAAGAAAAGGAGCTCCACTTGCTTTCTATCATGTTCAAAATGTGTGTATATTTTTCGGAGATACCGATGTCATGAGACATATTATGATAAATGACTTACATTATGATATGAGAGTTTAAATTGTTTTTATTCGCCTTGTTATGTATTGGTTGGTATTCGGATACACCTGTTGCTCTGGAGTTGTCAATTTTGCCAAGAATAAGATTCTATATTATTTTGACTTGTATCATTTGTTGTTTGTCCAAATTATTCAGTCATTTTTAGTAGAATATCTTCTAAATAAAAATTGATTCGAAGATGTATGATTTTTCATTGATTTCAATTGAATTCTTATTTTGAATTGTTTTTTGTTATTTTGTCCCTATACTAATCCATCTTTTATTTCAGTTCTCAGTTGAAGTTACACAATCATTTCTTCATTACATTGCTACACAACCTATATTATTTGAGATATTTGGTCATTTCACTCAACATCCTCTGCATAACGAGAGCAGAAACCTAGAAAGGTATGGTTTTTTTATTAGACAACTCATGAGATATTTTAATAAACATGGTTTTTGCTGCTAATTACAATTAGGGATAATTACACAATCAGCCATAATTGCGATGCAGTCATAATGGTACACGAAAAGCTGTTTTTAGAAATTGAAATTTTTATATTAAATTTATGATTTATGACAATTTTATAACGACTCCCAGAATGTCTGGAAATATTCTAATTTAGAACTAAGTAACTATATGGTAATCTAAAATGAGTTGTCATCAAATTAAGAAACTATTTTCACATCTTTTTACAGTTTATTGAAGAGAAGTATACCACCTTCAGTTACTTTGACACATCTGTCAAAACCAGGTAATAATCAAGTTTTTATTCAAGAAATAAACTAAACTTATCTCTGGTAACCGACCAGTGGTTCGTGAACCACCCTATGGCAGTGAGGAGGCCAGCAATTTTGTCACACATAATTATCTCCCACAGGATTCCAACCTTCCAACCTACTCAGGGTAATCAGAGGTGCAGGGGCGCATTTCTAATGCTCAGCATGATGTGCCACATCGCCAAGTCATTATTTAATATCCGTAATTACTATAGTAAATTTTTTTCCTTTCAAGTTCAAGTTTCAAACTCTGCATCATTTCATTATGGATCTGATATTGATGGTTTTTATGAAGAACCTGATTGTTCGTATAATCTGTTGGCCTGGTTTGAAATTTGTGAAATGGAACCTTGTGGCGAGTAAGAACATTATTTGTAATTTGTATTATTAGTATTGATTTACTGTTTGTATGCTGTAAAATTTGAGCTATTAAAGTAATAGTCAAGTTTATTTTTTCTATTCAGTAAAAAAATACATACGAAATTGAGAAAAAATTAAATAAAATTTAACAGACATTTTTTCTGGGGAAGGAAAGCATGGGGAACCAAACTGGTTATTAAGCAGCGCCACCCAAGGTTCATTATCTAATTAAATTTGTAAGGTGGGAAATAAAGTTTTTAGAAAACTATTATTACTTGTGAGTATGGCTTTAGCAGCTTAATCACCAACAGAATCCACTAGACACAGAGGCTATTTCTCTGCTTGGATGTTAACATGATATTTGAGATTGGATTTTGAGTAAACAGTTTTATGTAGAGCTACCGTATTTTGCGGAGCACTGGCTAATAAGGTGCACAATTAATTTTTCAGAAAAATATAGAATTTAAAGTGCGTCGTATGGTTCATAAAATACGGTAGATATTCTCATTTGTGACTTTGCAGGTATACACCAGTGACTGTTGAACATTCAAGTAAAATAATGAACAACAGTACATACTTATTACATCAAGGAATACAGCGTCGTATTGCTGTGACAATAACTCATGAATCTGCTGTCGAATTCTCATGGAATGATGTTCAAGAAATAGTGATTGGTATGCATTGAAATTATGAATTGCATTATTATATGATTTTGTTGTATAATGGAGCCAATTTTTTGTTGAAAAGTGAGAAATGACAGACTATTCAGATATTTGAAAATATTCTCATGTAATAAAAAAGACTTTTTTTTTTAACATAGTATAGTTTTGCATTTTTAAAGAACTTTTTTGGTAAATTTTTAAATTGATGTTTGTTTCGCCTATTTTACATTTTTTTTTAAATTTCAGGACGAATTCGATACGATAAACATTCAACAGATGATTTATATTGTGATGAGACATCGTTATCTCTCAGTTCAATTCCTACTCAGATTATCAAGACAACAATTAGCGACAGGTGGAGTCACCTTTTCAATCACATCAGCGATAGATTTCATTTAGAATTTTTTCTGTTTTTCTGACTCTCTTGTTTACATCCTTGGTACGTGAATAGGTTGCTGAAGGTCTGAAATATTCATTCGCCATTTTTTATTAGAAATTCAGAAAAACGAGCACAAATTAAAGAAAAAATATATTCAACCCTTTACCGAAATGGACAGGATGAATTCAAAATGACCTTTTGGTCCACTTGACGGCGGTGTATTTTGCTATACATGTCAATTATGAATAGTCCTTTAATCCAAGAAACCAGCAACCTGTGATGCTAAAATAGTTAAAAGTATGCTTTGCCATTTTGCGCCCATATTTCAAAATATAAAAAAAAAAGAAAACAATAGGCCTACCTGCTAGCTGTACAAGGCAGTATAATTCTAATATTAACAATACATATGAAGCTATTTTTACACAACTGGCAACTATTAAGATAGAAACCATGGAATTACCAGTTTAGCATGTAGCTATCCAAATTATCACACCATTAGGTGGATGTTTTCACATGTATTGATGCCAGCAAAACAACATCTGTCATGTTAATGCAACATAGACAATGATCTTATATTGTTTTGATCTTTTTTTTTTTCAATTTCTAGAACACTGTACAGATTTGAAGCTGCTTGGGACAGTTCTCTTCATAATTCATCACTTCTTAATCGAGTGACACCATCAAATCGCAAAGTTTATATAACATTGACTGCAATCATCGGCGTAAGTTTTAAAAGTTCATTTTTCTTCTAAGCATGATTTAAAACTAAATTGGCTATTATCTAAATTCAAAGATAAATCAATCTATTTTCTTTCAGTTGGAAAACTGTGAACGTCCAATTGTGATTGAGAAAGATCTTTGTTTAAAGATTTGCAACAGAGAAGCAAAATTAAAATCACCAAGAACATTGAGAAGTTTGTTCAGAGGTTGTTACTCTACATTGGAAAGGTATGACGGTGTGACGCACCATGCTAAGCATTGGGAATATGCTTGCCACTGCACCTCTGATTACCTTGCATGGGTTTGCAGGTTTGAATCCTGTGGGGGATAATTATGTACTAACGGTACTGCCGGACTTCTCGCTACTGTAAGGTGGTTCACATAACCGCTGGTCGGTATCGGCTTCCTCCATCAAATCCATGCATCTGAAAACAAATAACTGGCTATCTAATCCCATACTTGACATGAGCTGGTAACAAGACGAGAGGCTTTGATTTGCCATATGATAAAGCCAACTTATCAGCTTTCCTCTCCTCATGATAAACATATGTGAATCCTATCCTATTTACTGCAATTTGATTAAAATCAGAAAAAACTTCAGAGCAGTCATGACTAATTTAAAATTGATTCCATAGTCGGTTTTCTACTGCTTTGGCAAGCTAAATAATGTTAATCATTTGCATTCTGATTTGTGCGCTTGTTGATGTTGGTGTAATGAATTTCTTAATCAGCTATGTCAACGCATTTAGAGCAGGGGTACATTCAGAATTTTCAAGAGGTGCATTAGACTAATTATTAGGCTATTCTTTGCATAACTGCTAATCTACCCTAAAAATGTTTTTATCACCTGATGTTGATGATTTGAAGAACTTCTCAGGAAGTCATATTTCCCCCTCACTACAGTATCTAACAAGTTTACTTTAGCTGTTTAAGCCACTTATTTTGACCAATCATGGCACGCAAGACAATTATATGGGTTAACGAGCGACTTATATATTGTCCAAAGGTACTGATGAATGGAAGGGTTTAGGAAACCCTTAACTAGAACATTAAAATAGTGGGAATGGAAAATAGCAGGATGTACGCTAATCCCATCTACAGTATTAAACGGTTCCATTACATTTGAACCCACGTACATTTGAACCCATGACAATTGCACCTGTATGCTATTGCACCTATGGAATTTTTTTTGTTTTACAGATAGTTGAACCCATACTAACCCTAACCCATGGGTTTAGCACCCGCATATAGATTGAACCCTTGGATATACACAAGGGTTCAAATGTACGGTCACCTATTAAACACCATATTACGCTGCAAATCTATCTCAGGAAAACCACATTCTGAGACAGCCCAGAATTTATAAGATTGAAAGTGGGAGCATCATTGTTCAATGCATTGAAAAAGCGGCAGAGAAAGGAAAAATAATATGGCCATTGTGCCCAATTTTTCTGATTTGCTATATAATTCTAATTTAATAATAAATTACTCTTCTTATATTTCAGTAATTGTGTTAGTGGTGTCTACCAACTTTCACTCAAACTTTACAACAGTAGATCTGGAAGTCCAGGAATGCAACGAAGACAGCGTCGAGTTCTTGATACTTCAGCTACTTACGTAAGAGGCGAAGAAAATTTATCGGGATGGAGACCAAGGGGTGACAGTCTAATACTTGATCATCAAATCCAATTGGAAAAGTTCTCAAAAGTTTTGCAGGTTTGTATATCTACCCAGTCATATAGGATAGGATTTCATGTGTACCATAGTGTAACCCAGCGGTCCTCTTAATGATCTGTAATCACTTCCCAACGACCCTCAACACTCTGTGCCGCATTCATCAATACACAAAAACTAAGTTTGTTTTTAACAGTTTTTCATCAGTTATTTTATTCATCCATGCTCATTTAAAGAACCAAAAAACAAAAGTGGAAGAATGAATGCCTTACATTCAAAGAATGAAAATATACACAATTAATCCACTTTTTATATTCATGTAGTAATCACAAATGGTACCTAGTAGTAGATGGTTGTTGTGGGTACAATTTATTTTAGAGGTGTCTATTTTTGAATGAATTAATTTTCAATTACAAATATCAGATGGATAAAATTGTTAAAATGATTGTGTATAGACAGACTATAGCTTGAATTTTAGATTTCATTTTTCATAATCTGTGGCAAACATTTATTGAGTGCTTCATAAATTTGCTCTGAGCAATTCCCTGTACAAGTATTTGGTCAGGCATAATGAGCTACTGGGGCACCCGTTCATATCAGTGTGATAATCAAAAACCAAAATTACTTGTAATAGACCAAACCTGTGATGTTTTTATGCTGGCAGTACTTTAAACGAATTTCTAATTTTAGTTGCATTACACCATTCTCAAATTGTCATTCACAGACATCAGATATGAGTCATACTACATGGTTTAAGTCTACTGTCATCCTTCATTAATAATTCATCACTAAAATAAATGTTGGCCAATTTCATCCTAAAAACATCTGGCATGGGATACCTAATTCATATCACAAAGTGCTATTTGAAGAATAGTACCTGTATTTTCCGACTAATAAAACGGATTTTTTGACTAATAAAACAGATTTTTCTATTAATAAAACGGATTTTTTCGACTAATAAAACGGATTTTCCGACTAATAAAACGGATTTTTCGACTAATAAACGGATTTTTCGTCTAATAAAGATCAGCCTCGTAGACAAAATATTTTATGGATAGTTTTTTAAGTGGGTAATATTTATCTATAAGTATAATGAATACACAAAAAAAATTTTTCATGATTCCAATGAAGGTCGAGAAGTCTCGTCACATTATGCAAGTACGCGACGTGTTGATGATGAGAAAAAGTTTATCAAAAGATAATGATGAAGTTGAATACAATGATGATGAAATGAAAGATTTATCTCAATATGAACAAGAAGAAGTTCCTGAATGGTGAGACTGGATTGAAATTTACTAATAAAGTAACTGGGACTGTATAGCCTGGCGGTTGGCGCAACATGCTGAGCGATAGGAATACGCTTCTCATCGCACCTTTGATAGCCCTGCACGAACTTGGGGGTTTGAATCCTTTGTGGGATAATTATGGGTGTGAGGATTTCTGGACTTTTTGCCATCTTGGGTAGTTTATGTAACTGCTGGCTGGTTACGGTTTACTCCGCTATCAGATCCATGCATTTAAAATAACTGACTAACTATTCTCATGAACTGCTAATCGCATCACAGGTCGTGGTTCATCACATGATTGGACCATTTTATCTGCCATACTAAAATGGTTCTAGTATTCCTGTTTTTACACAGTTCTACCAGACATCAGTTAAATAAAAAAATCGAGTAAAAATTAAAGTAAAATTTTTTTTCATATTTCAGTGATCAAGGCCAGTATGATAAAGATGAGGATTCAGCAAGAGATCAGAAGCTTGCTAGCAAGGTAATTCCACTATTAGCTTTATATGTTGATGGCCTAAGAGTAATTTATTTAAAAAAATGTATGAATTCTATTATCTTTTAAAATAATATTTGTCGTTCTGATAAAGTTACCATTTATACCGATTTTTTTTTTTACCCCTTTGCTTTCAAATAATCAATTTGTAGATAATCCTGCAAATATTTATTTACAAAAAAATGCATTTTTCCATAATTTTTGAAATAAAAAAGTGATATCAAGAATTTGACTAATTAATAGCACAGTCGAGAGAGTTTGAACTTCACCCTTCTACAAAAAATATATTCTGAAATCTAAATTTACAAACTAAAAAATTTTATTTTAAGTGTTTGAAGCTGATGCAATATCGTATACCAAGCATCTTCGACTTTCAGGATTTGGTAAGTTATGGTTAGTATGAACGTAGAACTTTATTCTGTAGCTATTTATAGCTTTTAGAAATCTTCGAATGCCAGATACTCTGTTACATGGGCATTAAATATAATTATAAAAGATTAAATTCATTCACAAAAAATGACCATTTTAGTCGTGCTAAAATCGAAGATTTTTTATTTAATAACTCCTAACGATAGCATTAGTTCAAAGAGTAAAATTAGATGTACATTGGCACATCTTGCTAAAATCTAGTACTTCTTTGTGGAAAATGGCTTCTTTTTTTATTTGAATTCCATAAAAAGATTAATTTTTCCAACATTCAGGATGGACATTTCCCTGACAGTGGATTGCCAGAACAAAGTGACAGTGTTTCACCATCTCACAGTCAAATGCATCAAGCAAACTCTTCTTTTGAAATTTGGTAAAATATGTATAAACAAATAAACATTTTCTCTGGATATAAAATGATAATTTTACACTCCTATTTTTTCATTATGTATTTCAATAAGTGACTCATTTATCAACCCTACACCTGTAATTTTCAAATGTTATTTTTAATACGTATTCATAATCTCCATGATTATGTTAAGATCCACTTGTAGAAAAACTGTGTACTACTAATGAAAATCTATTACCTGGAGCACTTTTTTGCTATATATTCAGATTTTTCTGATTTTCATAAGCCATTTGTAAACGTAACTCCAAGCGCTTACTCCAAATGAGTCTCTGTGCAACTATTCGCTTGAAACATTCTAGATATCGAAATTTGGATTGAAAATTCTGCATTGCTCAAATAATATTTCACTGATATTCAATTTGGTAGGATTGTATTTGATCACTGGACCAAGCATGGTTTGAACTAGGGAGGAGGATTACATATTTATCCCAAGAAGAGGAAAGCCGATAAGACGGCTTAAACTTATGGCTGACAACGGTCTTTGTCCGGTTACCAGTCCATGTCGAGTAGGAAATTAGTTAGCCAGTTATTTGTTTTCGGATGCATGGACTTGATCTATCATTTACCACAGAAGCATACTTAGGCCCAAGGCAATCAGACATTTCATTGTATCAAGTGTGTGTTTTCACCATATTTTATACACAGTTCATTCAGCAGCTTAGCAAGTTCTCCAGATCAAGAGGACTCACAATGGAAAAATTTGAGCTATGTGGCTAATGTTTCTGAAGTCAGCGTCAGGTTTGTTATGTTGCATTATGATAAGAACGAAGTATCTTACTAATTTCCAATATAGAAACGTCAATGATATACTGCTGTCATTCAAGTTTTCATGACTACGTTCATCCAAGTTCCCATGCAGCAAAATAGCATACAAAATTAGCAAAAAGTAATATGGTAAACACTTATTATTGAGGAAGGGAAGCTGCAGAGAACCAATACTGGGTATCAAGCAGCAACACCAAAGGTTTAATAACTAATGAAATTGATAAGTTCAGAAATTTAAATTTTTAGTTCAATTTAGCATGACAACACAAAATCTTAAATCCCTTTCCATTTTCCACCATTGTATTTTTGTCCACGATTGAAGTTTGCCAATCTAGTATTACCTACCTATTGCAATTACTAATTCATTTTCTCATACATTTTCAATTGCAGTCCAGTGATTTCTCGACAAGGATACCTTAACATGCTAGATTCTGATAGCAATAGATGGATTAAATGGTGGGTTGTTGTTCGACGTCCGTATGTATTCTTCTACAATTCACATCGGGATCCTGTGATACGGGCATTACTAAACTTGGGCTCTGTCACGGTTGAATTTTCATTACAACAAGATATTATACTAAAGGTAATACTGACTGGCAAATTCCGGCATTTTTCTTCATTTTTATTTGATTATGATTTATTTGAGATCGTTTTTTGTTTTGTTTTTTGAGATAAAAAAAATGGCGCTTCAGAAGTATGTGCCCAAAGATAGCGCACAACCTGATAACCCTGACCTGGTACACATACTATGTTCAGGTTGTGCGCCATCTTGGTACACATACCGGTACTCAGAGAGCACCAGAAAAATAAATTCAGCTGATGATAATGATGGCATGTATCATCTGCTATCTTTCACTGATCTATTATTGGACTGAATTCCCAAAATAATTTTGCTAGTTAAACCCCACTTTTAAAGTAAAAAAATTCGTTGAAATAGCCTTATAGTAGTCAAAAATTCGAATCCAGGTAACTAACTATTTATTCATTTGCAGGTCCAACATACGTTTGCTGTCTGCACAAAAAATCGGGGATTTCTATTGCAAGCCGCTAATGAATGTGACTTACACAACTGGCTTTATGCATTCAATCCACTTATGGCTGGACTTATAAGGTAAGTTTGGATTGTCAGAATTGATTTTATATGGTTGTTGTGCATTTGTTGTTTATCATCAGGGAATTCGCAATAAAATTATGGGGTAATATCTAATTTTTGTTTAAAAACCATTATATTTCCTTGGCAAGAATAATAAATAAAAATCGGTGCTCCCGAAGTATGCGAACCAAGATGGCGGACATCGGAACGTAACATGGGTAACAGGTTAGGGTTAGGCGATAATTTTTTTTCAATTTTCCTTATTTTAGTCCTATTATTAGTTCGAAGACTAGCCAAGATCCTCCCGTAGTATTTATACCTAAAATTATGGCCTAACCCTTACCTAGTACACATATTACATTCCGATGTCCGCCATCTTGGTTCGCATACTTCGGGAGCCCCTAAAAATCGTTATTAGATACATTATCATATTTAATAATATTGCAATAGCATGACTTTTACATATTGTACATACAAATTCAAATGGCAATTGGGGCCACATCTACGGTCGCTCCGGAAGTATTTGTACCAAGATGACGCACAGAATGCCACAGAAATACATTTGTGTTTGTGTGCAGCAAGATTCCTGAATCATGCATATTTTATTCAGATCAAAACTTGCAAGACGGAACACCTGCATCAAGACGTGAATCACGGTTTCATATTTGAGACATTCTGTAAATATCACTTGACTTTTTCTTGTAATTATTAATATGATTATCATATAGTCAGAAATTGTCCTTTTTCAAGCATGAGCCACTGATGGACCATGCCTCACCAGCATGTTCCATCTGTGATTCAAACATAGACTCCCTATGAATGCACAAATTTTCTGATCATGTTGATATTTTGATTAAAAGAGTGTTTAACTGTTTATTATGTTGCACTGAAGTTCAAATTATATATGTAAAGAAGTTCCTCTCTTATATTTATTGTAGTCTATATATCTTTCATATGATGTAACATAATACGATTTTTCACACTTCAAAGTCTCTTGTTGTCTGATTTTAGAATCAACCTATTTTTTTTGGTTCCGTGCATGCATACCCTGTTTTTGGTAAAAGTTTTTATTATTTTCAGTTATAAATTTTAACTAAAATAAATTTAAGAAAGTGGTATAGTTTGAGACCTCAATGTCAATAAAGATACATTTGAGGGTTGACTCTTGACGCTGATTCCGCAATCCAGCTTCCGTTGTCTATCTCATATTTAAAACCTTTGTTAACATTTCAATCTTCATTACCTTTTTCCTGTTTCCACTTATTTTACGATCAGTATTATTTATGTTGTAGAATCGTTTTTGCTATACCGGGATATACAATTTTATTTTCTGTTTCAAATGTACTGAGGAAATATGTTAGTTTTTCTGTATGTCTCATTGTGTTAAACTTATGCCTGTTGATAGGATTCCGTGTCGGACTTGTGTAGTACGATTTATTAGTCTACAAATAACATAGAGGAATATTAATGTACTTTGCCTTTGCATGACCCGTCACTTCAGCATATCATATGCCGGCCTATCATATACCTAATCATATCATATACCTAATAGGACTGTGGACATATTTTTGAACTGCACTTCTAGCTAACTGCACTAGGTATCAATCAGAGAGGTTTCCCTGTTAAGGGCTTGTTCATGAGTCTGCTCAAATTGTTTAACATTTCAAAAATTACTTTTGATTTTGACCATTCTACTTTTTAATCATTATCTAGGGTTAGTCAATAATCGGCGCTCCAGTGTGTATACCAATATGGAGGTAACTAATTTTGTTTGCCTACTTTACATCAAGTTGTGTAAAGGGACTAAAACCTATCCGCAGGGGTTATATTCACTTGGCTAACACAGACAGTCCCGAGCTCGTGATAGAACTTAAATGAAGAAAATCGGAATAAAATTATGGGCTAACCCTAACCTGGTACACACACTACGGGAGCACCTAATAATCTAGCGTTTGTGAAGTTCAAAATTAGAAAGATCATAAAATTACTACCTTTTTTTTTCGTTATAAAATATGTATTCTTGCAAACAAAATATTAATGATTTTCTTTTGTCACTGTGGTAATTTAAACGCATACAATATGGTGTTAAAAGCAATATTCTTTGTATTTAACTTTTATTGTTTAGGAGTTATTAGTCTGATGATGTGTAGTCTGCATTCAATCTGTGGCTTTTCTCCTATTCTTTTATTTATTTGAAATTTGAAAGTGAAACCTAGATATGCGTAATGCATGTACTGTGTTTGATATTTTATTGAAATATACAGAAGATTGTTATTGTTGTAAATCAATTGAAACATTTTCTGAAAGTGCGGTAGCGTAGTCAACATGTGGTAGCAACATTATGTTAGTAACAGAACATAAGGTGAAACTTAGCACCGTATTAAAAACGGGCAATGGATAAGACATTTTTTCCATTATTTAGCCACGTTTTGGGAAGGCTCCGTGGGACTTGTTGACCCGTCGCCGCTGACGTGAAGGTCGTCTTCCGTTGTGATCTCATGCTGACCCGTTCTATCAAAAACATTAAATATTAACTAGTCATGTAACCGCCAAGCGTGGCCGCTGACGTGAGGTCGTCTTTCGTTGCGAACTCATGCTGCGCGAAGGAAGGTTTTTGATTTGGGTCCAGTTCGGCAGGCAACCGGAAGTTTAGTTGGCTTTGCGTAACAATTTTGGCATGTATCATTTCTGACCCCCACTTGTCATCCAAAACATACGTCATTGGGACGTCAATACGAGAAAAATACCAGGCTCTTGTAGTCTAGTAAGTTCGTCGTCGCAGACACCATTACGGGCGATCGTCGCTAAATTTGGACCAGACCAGCGTTGTGATTTTAGGATGATGTAGTGCTGGGTGTCAAGAATGACATATATAAAATTGTTATGCCACCCTGGAAGTACCGTACTTGAGGTATTAGAGTGCCCTAGACCAGGGTTGTGCAACCTGCGGCCAACGGGCCAAATCCGGCCCGCAAGGAAAAATTATTTGGCCCGCGAGTTTTTAATTTAGTTTATTCTGGAACCCCCATGACGTTACAATGACCTAACAGTAGCTTGTGCAAAGCGGACAACGCATTTCATAAGATCAATAACCCAAATTTTTGCAGCCCGCAGTTTCACCCAATTATTTGTATCTGCAACCCCCTCTGGAGTAAAAGTTGCACACCCCTGCCCTAGACCCTCGGGCACGGTTGCCATTCCACGGTTCCAGCTTCGTTCGGGATGTGATTTTGGAAAAATTGTGCGTAAAATATTTCGTTTAGGCTTCCGTGTCCCCATGTTTCGAATCCTTTTCTTTCTGCATCTTCTCTTATCTAACATCCTAAAAGTCCGAAGGCAATTATAATTGTATACTTTATTTTATTCGATTTATAAACGAGTTGAAAATTTCAAACCAAAAATAAGTACTGGGTGGTTGGACATAATATAATGAATCATATGATCATAGGAAACACAACAATGTTGTTAACATATATTGTAAGTAGTAAAAAGGGCAAATTAGTGACGTCACTGCTTGAATGCACTTGCTGTTTTTGCGACTCCGCTGTGTCCGGCGATCTTCACCTTGCTCTTGTTTTTCGAGTATTTTCCCATGTACTCGTTTACCCGTTGGCGGAGCTGGTTGAGCTGAAATATTAATAAATATTTTTCGTTTAGAGTGGTCGCCTGCAATGCCGATATGCACTGATTTTTTTTTTACGTAGCCAAATTTTGTGCCACTTAATGATAACGTAACTTTGGTCAAACGAAACTTTACCGAGTAAAATTTAGGTATGAATACTTTCAAACTATGCTATATTTGGCTCGTTTTGATTCGTACTACATTATCCTTGTAATCAGCGCAAACTGACCCCTTACTACAAATGAGGAGAAAGGGAGCATTAGTTAAGAATACTCTATCTACTATAATCAACCATATACGACTAACTTGATAGTATAACCAGGGAAATATAACAAACGTTCGATATTTAGAGACATTAAGAGTTAGATATATTTACATCATATTTTTGTCGTTCTATCCTCCATTCCGCATCAATTTTTTCTTCTTCCAATGCATATAAGCTTTCCCACAGTTCTTGGGCCTTGTCTCGTAATCTTGAATATAAAAATATCAATAAGTTTTAAATACATAAAAGTGTTGCAGTATAAAATATATATCACGAAATAAGATATATACTGTTACATTCTTGAGACAATTAGACATACATACTGGACGATCAATTGATCTGAAAATTTTAGCGGATTTATATTGTTTTGAAAAACCAGGTAATGTTATTTTGAATATATACTAAATTTGATGTAACATATTTTGACAAATTTTACCACAAATTTTATATCAATTTCCTCAATCGGGATAATGTCTTTGATTTTGACCATGAAAAATCACGAACACAAAAATACTAGTCAGGAAATTTTTAGTATGAGGATGTCCATACTTATCAGTGCTGAGATGCTCAATGTTGAGTGGTTTTTTCCTGTCCGCAAGAATTTTCTTCTTTTTCTCTCTCTCAGTTTGTCTCTTATTTGGTTTGTTCTTCTCAGCCTGAAATATGCGAACATTAACTATCATAAGGGTAAATATGGAAATAGATATTTTTCAGTTTTGATAAAATTGTTCCAATCTATAGTATATATTACCGCACGTGAGTTTATTCGAGGATAGAAAAAAAACAATACACTTTTCGGTTACTTCTGCTTTTTCAGCTTAAGTGAGTAAAGCGATCTGGGTGCTCTAAACTTATAATATATATATATATACTTAATTTGGGAGCACCATGTTGAGTCTGGGCACACATGACGACTGGAAACGCAAGCGCAAAACCGCCAAGGTTATACAATTGGTTGATGGGCTTGAGATGATCAAGATCTGGACAATTCATGATGTAGCCTGTTCTTATTTGTAGTTAACTTTAGAAGTTCTATCTATTATTTCCCTGCTCGTGGTCAAAAAGATATCTTCACCTAAATGCCTTGAGCCAATTTTATGTTTATTACGTCATTGAAATGTTGTCCGTCGTCACCACCTCGAACTGATTGCTCTTAAAAGAATTTCTAATCAACAACCGACGGCAAACGCACGCTCGCGTAAATATCCCATGGGAGTAGCCTATTTATGAAGGTATATGCATTCATACTCTCAAACACGCCTAAAACTTGGTGTGTCCTTTGGGACAATGGCCCCCATCTTATCAAGCATCATGTTGTCTGATTGGACTGTGAGATTTTGTTTCCGTCACAAGCAAGTTGAAATGAGTTGATATTACCAAATACCTAATAATATTATGTTACATCACAAAAACCTTCCTTTCACTTATGAAATTCATTCCAGCAATTAGTAACTTGCGAAATATATGGAGCGCAATCGGAAATATATATGTTAATTGTTGCGCAGTTAACATTTAGTTAGGCAATGCCTAGTGTGACATATTTCTGAAACCGTCAAATTTCGTTAGTGAGATTACGAGTTTATCCCAGTGTCACATGAGGCGTTACGGACGAATAAGTTAGATAATATGATGTGTTTTACATCGATTTTACTCACTCTGGCCAGGTATCCACCGTAATGAAGAGACATGTTGGCGATTGCTTGCTTCTTCTTTTCTTCCTCTTCTTGTCTCTTTTTCTCTTCTTCTTCTTCTCTCTGTTTTCTCTCTTCCTGTAGATGGCATTATCAATCCATCATTATTTAGAATTTTTATCAAATGGTAAAGTACTATTTAGCTGAAATTTGAGTGAATTTAACTTCTGTTTTGAACATCTTCGACTCGACACCATATAACCATCTCAACCAGTCTGTAATAATTACGCCTATGTGCGCAATAGGTAAGGTACATTCTAAAAAAGGTACCTATGTGATTTTATGAGCTAAACACTTTGTACGTAGCGGACTATAAAAAAAAATGAAGAGAAATAATGAATAAGTTTACTTCTTATAACAATGACGAGAAAAGCGATTTTTTTCAGAACAACAATGACAACAAAAAAAGACGAATAACAACGAAATAATCCATAAACTTTCTGAAGTTTGTATATGCCAACACCCACTGAGGTAAATTTGAAATATTTTTGCCAGAAATCAATTTTTGAATTATGTATTACTAAGGGTAGTGAATATTTTCATTTAAGCGCATTCTACCGAAAATTTCGCAAAAATTAAAAACATAAAATGAAACAAACCCTTTCTTTCGCCACACGCTCTTTTTCCTTTTCTTGGCGGATTCTCAACCTTTCAGCTCTTTCTTCCTTCCTCTTCTCCAATTTCAATCTCAGTTCTTCTAATTCCTCTTCTTCGGCTCTTCTTTGCTCAAAATGTGCATTGATGAGTCCCTGCAATTCTTCGAGATCTTTTTGATGACGTTTGCGCGCAATTTCATCCAAATCAACTTTCTCGCCATCTGGTAACTTGGGTGGAGTGATAGACGCTGATGAATGCCTGAAATATGATTTGTAATATAGTAACTATCAGCACGAAATTAAGTTAGTTAGAAATAAACATTTTTATAAAATTATTAAAACGGCGAAAAAGAGCACTGATAAGATTTGATATGCCCTACTCGCTATTTTTTTAAGATATATTAAAATTGATCCGTCATATGCAAATCGCGCTACAGAAGAAGCTTAATATAATGTCTTATGTATATAATTACAATAGATTTTTGAGCACATTATCACCCACAAGTTTGTTTTTCCCACTGTGATTTTTGAAAACAAAAAGGAGAAGGTCCTTAAAATTGCTATTTTTTCCTAAATTTTGACATCTGTCGATATCAGAATGACAATGATATCCAGACCATAAAAAAAATATAAAATATCCCCCTATAAAAAAAACTGCAATTTTTCACGAAAACGAAAATGATTTGTTCTGTCTGTAGGTCAAATTTACCTTGGTACTGCCTTCTGGGGTGGCTCCAATTGTTCTTGTGATGCTTCTTCCTGCAAGGTAAAACATAAAAAAAAATTGGAAAAAATGCCCTCATTGTATTAAAGATTTTCTTTTTTTGTTCAAGTTCAAGTTCTGCATCAAATTTCGTTTGTACAAAAGAGTTAAGAGTGCACAATGCCTATAGAGTGACCAGCCTACACTATTTAATAGCTAGCCGCCCCTATTGAGACCGTCAAAACCTAAAGCGCCTTTCTCCACAATGAAACGTAGCTGGAAAGTCAAAAGCGACGCAGCTGATGGAAACAGTGAAACATATATATAACTATTACACGACTTTATATTAAAACATAAATGCTGATTAGAACATACTTGGCAAACACTTTGTTGCTACAATCCAACTCAAAATTTAACTTTACTCTACGTAAAACAATACCCTGTAAACACACTTTATGGATCACTGTTTGTGTCTGAACCGTGATATACATAATCGTATTGCTATGGTTGTCAAAAATGTAAATAAATAAAAGTATAATAACCTCGGTTATTGGATCTTCTTCGATGTCCGACATTTTGAGATTTGGTTTTTTTTGTCTAGAAAAGTATGAAAATGAAATTTTTTTGCGTAACAAAATTATACAACATAGATATACATATATCGATACATTTTAAATCTTCGGTACCAAATTTTAATGAAACTTTCAAAGTTGGAAAAAGCAGAATTACTCTTGAGTGAGTGGAAGTAATTGCAACCTTTCTTAAAAAAAAAACGTTCGTCTCAAAAATTTTTCTTTTTTTTCAAATTCGAAAAATTTACCTTCTAGTTTAGTGACATCAATGATAGTATTGCGCAAACTAGTCTAGTAAAACATGAAAATTTGTGAACAAAAAAGATACTTTTTCAAAACGATTACGGATATATTTGCAACATGAATTTCCGCGAATTTTATGAAACAAAATACTTCATTTTTGAATTTATTTGAATTCCGGCAGTACAATGATGATTAAGAAGTATTGTTCCCTAAATTTTGTCAAACATATCACGAAAAAACTAAAGATACCTACGTTTACATACATTACTTACAAAATTCAATGCAAAGCGACTATCCTCCGTAAGTTACCGGCAACTAAGGTCGATTTTGAAGCTTGCGGCTCAGTGTGGAGACTGCTGCATGATATAATAGTAGAGATGACGTATGAACAGCTGCCGTTATGAACAGAAAGGAACATACCAAGTAATCGTTCATTATCCCTAGTGACTTGCGGGTTCGGAATTTCAGATTTGTCTGTCGAAGTTTAACAACATTCTAATATTTACACCATGGATATTTCCAGATTAAACTACTTGAGCAACATAATTTTTTTCAAATAATTGACAAATAGTTAATTTTACACTTCGGTAATTTTCTATTATGGCATGTTGTACCGAGCACTGCAATAGGATGCTCCATTTGCTCATGCTCATGTATGATTCGCCGTAAAAATTCTGACTAAAATATTCAGTGTAAAGTTCAGTGTTCAGTGTAAAGATATTTTTAAGTATACTTTAAGATTGTTGAACCATAAAAGCATAAGTCGTAGAAACGTGCCTGCTCTGAATGGCCTTGATGCAATGTCTCATCCGCAGTGTACTGTCTCAAGAGATTGATGTCGTCACAGCTGTTTCTCAGATTTGTTTAATTTTATTATCGACCAATAAAGGTACATGCTCCAGTTTGGTATATTGTAAGAATTTCTTATTTGAAATGTGACCTAACTTTCTTGTGACCAACATAATGTTTACATTTTAGCATGTAATGCCTTACATTGAATCGTTTTTGTGCCAATTCTGTCTAATAAATTAAATTTAATTCGACGAATGCTTACTCCCAGAACAAATGTACATTTATCTATATATTTTGCATAACGAATTTTGATGGAAACTTAAATTGCACATGATTGCACTACATTTTAAGATATTATCTTATGCTCTCTTGCCGAGCAAGTCTACGGAGAAGCAGCTGCCTAACTTAGTGATGTACTATGTTGAGAAAATCAAAATGTTTTATCAAAGAAGTTTTCTTAGTCCATACTTGCGCACCCGTTTTATAACATATTGAGTCGAATAATGAAAAGAGGCTTCAAGCTAGAGATTTCAAACTAGCGACTACATGATAGTAAAAAAGCGAGTTATGGATATTGTCTGACATGCTGGCTAACTATAGCTACTTTATCATTTATCAAGATCAAGGTCATAAAAACCAATGTAAATAATTAATTTGTCCAGGAAAACAAACTCAGAATACATACAGATGTTTATATGTTTCAACAATGTTTATTTTACGGTATAAAATACCCAATGGAAATGTTAATTCATTGACTGAAAATTAGTTGTATATAAACAAACGAATAATAAAACATGCGTTACCAAATTTTGCTATAAATGAAGGTTAATAAAACAAATAGCAATACTCGCGAATTCATTACCAAAACATAGACGATCAAACATGGTCTATGAATGTATTCTAGTACACAGATCATTCATATTATATGCTTAGTCAGAGTAGATAAGATATTAAAATCCAGTTAAAATGTCAATAATAACGTTGTATATTCTATTTGAAAACTCCGGATTTGGCGGCAACTCCTCCTCTTGGTCCGATGTTCATTTTTCCTCCTGCTTGTCTCTTGTTTTTCGAAAATTTTCCCATGTATTCGTTCACTCGTTGACGAAGTTGGTTTATCTAAAATTAAAGTTTTAATTTGATATAGGTGCTATTGATTTAGAATATGAAAATGAATCGAACATTTGTTGTCAGTGCTTACGTCATATTTTTGTCGGTCAATTCTTTGTTCAAAATCGTATTTTTCTTCTTCTAATTTGAATAGCCAGTCCCACAACTCTTGTGCTTTTTCTTGAAGTCTGAAAAGTAGAATGATAATTGGTAACTGGTAGTTTCGAACAACTAATTTCATGTATATCAATATAAAAGGAAATACTTACTTATCGCTGTTCAAATGATCGATGTTCAGTGGTTTTCTTCGGTCAGCCAATATCTTCTTCTTCTTTTCACGATCTGTCTGTCTCTTGTTTGGTTTGTTCTTTTCGGCCTTCATATTTGATACAGAGTTAAATAAATTTTTCTATTATTATATTAAAACCAGTATAAAGAAGATTGAATAAACTTACTCTTGCCAAGTATCCACCGTAGTGAAGAGACATGTTTGCTATTGCTGCCTTTTTGCGAGCTTCTTCTTCTTCCTTTTTTTGTTCTTCTTCTTCTTCCTTTCTCTTTCTTTCTTCCTGGAATATGGAAAATAATACAAATTAGATATATGAAAAAATTATCCTAAAATGAAATGGAAATAATGCAAAGAATATTACCCAAATTACCCAATTGCTTGGATGGTATTTTACTTACCTTTTCGCGAGCCATTCTTTCTTTCTCTCGTTCTTGACGAATTCTCATTTGTTCCTCACGCTTGGCTTTTCGTTTTTCAATTCTAACTCGTAGTTGTTCAATATCTTCTTCATCCTTCTTTCTCGTTTCAAAGTGGGCTTGGATGAGTCCCTGAAGCTCGCTAAGATCTTTGTCCATTCTTTTACGTTGGATATCCTCGAGATCGAGAACTTCTCCTTCCGGAATTTTTGGAGGTGCCATGACAGGCATGGAAAATCTATGAATAAAAGTGACAGGCAATAAAGTAAATTGATTTACTATTTTATCGCTGCTAACCGGACGAAAGGCCGTAGTTCTCCATATGATTAGGGCGTCTTATAGGCCTTCCTTCCCCCTGGGATAAATAGGTAAATCCTATATGAACTATAACAAATCACACTAGCCGGCGAGAATGTAATTTGATCAATTTATAAAGCATTTGTTCTACTTACTTTGGTGGCGCTGGTTTGTCATTTTTCTCTTCTGGTTTTGTTTCCTCGACTTTTTCGGGTTCGGGTTCAGCTTCCTCCTGCAATTTAAAAGTTCCAGTTAATAATTTCTACAATGAAGAAAGTATGCAAATCAATGTTTATGTAAAACTAACCTGAACGACTTCTTGTTCCTCCTCTTCTTCAATTTCTTCTACTTCTTCCACCTAAAATGCAAATACCAAATTAAAATATAGGCAATAAACAACTCGCAAGATATTTATTCATAATAACATCTCTTGTTTAAATTGTCAGTTACAATATTTCTGTCTGTGTTTCTTTAATTCTAGAGAAAAATTGTACAAATTCAAAACGGCTCACTTACCTCAGATTCGTATTCAGATTCATGGTCAGACATATTGAAAGGGTTAGAAGATCTGAAACAAAATAATAATAATTCAATGTGATCATAGTTTTGTACAACAAAACAGCACAAACATGGAGTAAGTAGACTTTTAAATCTCCTCGTCTCGACCTATTCTGAATATATATCTAATAATTACTAGCTACTAAGCATATTGGCAGTAAAGAAGATGTAGAATTTAGTTTCTTGAATAATAAACTGACAAAAAAGTAATACATACTGTTTACTGTCTGAAGAATGACTGTAATAGAATGAATGAATGGAAGATATAAGTCGAGAGCAAATATAACAACTGCTGTTAGTACATTATGTGCGAATTGATTCGCACATTCTACTATGAAAGCGACAATGTGCTCTCTGTTTTTTAAATGAAAAACGTTCGCGGTACTCGAGCGCTGATAACTTTCATTTCACACGTTACATTTTGTTTATTTGATTTTAAATTTTAAAGGCATCGTTTTATAAGATAAGGATATTAGTCCGGCAGATAAGGGACCTTTTCGACCCAAGTTTGATTTCAGACATAAAGTTTTTTTTATTTGTGAATATTCATCTTTGGGACATTGCCCATCATTTCTACATGGGTGTGGAGTTTGCAGCCTTGAGCAATTTTTTTACGGCTCGATATTTGTATTAGTGTTTTTTTGTCAAACCTGTGCCTCATAATGACGCACAGCCTGAACCATAACCTGTTACAATACTATGTTCAGGTTGTGCGCAATCTTGGTGCACAAACTACGCAAGCACCAAATTTACTAGGAAACAAAATCAATAACTTTTATGTATTTGTTGAGCCCAGCTTTGGGTCGCGACTCATATACAGTATATATATATATATGGAAATACTGTCGAAACATACCCGTAAAATAAAGAGTACTATTTCAAAATACCCGTTTTTGTTGCAATTAACAATACAAGCCTGCTAATGCAGTCGCCAGTGGTTCAAGTGGATATACACCCGGTGGAGAACAGTCAATTATTTGTTAGCGAGAATTTTTATGCAGCGGGATGATCACGACGACGCAGTGAAAGATAATGATATTACGAGAACAAGAATGAGAAAATTGCTACATTTTATAGTATATCCCTGGGAAAGAATGTAGTTCATTCTTATGTTCCATGCCAATGCTTTTCAAACTACCAAAGACTCTCAACACTTTTGCTTCTTCTCTTCTATAAAAATACATTGTTGTTATATATTCGCATTTCCATCTGTTTGTTCGTGCTCCCAGATTAACCGATCGGCCTTCAAGGAGGACGGGGTCCCCTATTTAGGAATCCCTGTCATAAACTAAAAGAGGCGACCGTGCTTCTCTTGCCTGTTGTCATGCTGTCCCTGGAATTCAGCTACAACAAAAATTTCACGAAAAACGAATTTTTAAATTTTCTGATTTTATTAATATTCTCAACAATGAATGATATACGGGTGGTAAAATGCCAAGTTATTCCAACAACATGATCATGTTTTGCAATTTACAACCAATATTTTGTATGTAACTTTGTTTGACAGAGCCCCAAGAGCTCTAACTACAAATATCAAAAATGTGAGGCCAAAAAGGTCAAATGTGTCAAAAACATTGTCAAATGTGCTGTATTTACCATAGATAACAGGTTTACCAAGAAGATTTACATGAAAATAGGTAACATAAAGATCAATTCAGCAATATCTACATGGTGATATGCATCTGTTGATGCTTTTATGTGTTTGTTTCGGAAGTTTAATAACAGAATTATTTGTGGTTGTTGGAGATGTTTTAAAAAAAGGTTGCATGGAAAAAAGTTTTCACAAAATGTCAAGGTTTGATAGTAGTAGAGAAGTAGAAAAAATTTTCTCATGTTTTTTTTTTCATTTGATAACCACGCCACAACTCCTCCGATAAGTATACGCAGCGATTGCAAGAGGCAGAAATGCTAAGATGGGATTTCATCGCATTGCAAACCAATATTAGCAATTCTTATATATATTCGCGCATTCCCATCTGAACAGCGTGGAAAAGATTATACCCATCTACACACTTTAAGAACTATGTCAGATGAGCGTCATATTATCGAATATCAGTAAAAGAATGGTGCAATGGGAAAATACATATAATGCGGAACTTTCAGTAGTATGCAATCAAATAATCTTATCGTAGAATATATATTAAAAAACATTTCGTCACGCCAACTGCAGTCCGAAACTTTTTGTCTCTGGCTGAGCTTAGATACCAATTGGCACTCATGTAAACTGGTAAGACTGTAAGAGGCACGCGATGGAGCAGATACTCAGAGTATCCATCCCCCAGCTGTCATTTGAGTGGGTACTGCTGTTTTTATTGCAGATGTCACTGATCTTTTTGTATTAAAGATTTACTGGCATCACCGATTTAAGGATGTTGGAAACCAACACGCAATATTACAAAACTTACTTTCAACACGCGGTTTGAATGAAGGAAAAAGCTGAAACTAGTATTCTATAGAACAGCATACAAATTCTATGGAATGAAATCATACACAAAAGCTCGTCAAAAACCTATAGCTCAATAATCGAGTGGAATTTGATGCATGTGCGCAAAAATGTGCGCGTTACTACTTACAACCGAAGCACGCAGGAAAATGTGTGTCATGTACTAGTATTCAGAACGTTTGACTCAACTATGTTGGCATAACAGGTGCACATCTCGGTTTCGCATACGCATACCTTCTATCTCCACAAGGATATATTAATTTTGCCAAAGTCAATGCAGCACTGAAAGGTTGCAGTTTTTCCAAAAGAAAACACGTTTCACTGCTTTAGATACCAGTGGATGGTTTTACATGGCCTTGTTCGGAGTGAAAGACGAAGTCAAATATTCCAATCCAATTCAACTAATAAAATATTTCCCAAGTCCCTAAGCTTAAACTAGGAAAACGAAATGCGCGCGGCAACGCAAATGTAGTTTGAAGAGCGCAGTAGAAAGTGGCTAGATGCTATCGATGGATCTTGGCTTGTATTAGTGAAATAAACTACCATTTATTCTACTAAAATTGAATTTCTGACATTGTAAGGAGATCCAATGTTACTATGTATGCAAAACTAAACCATGTAGTTATGAAATAATTGTTTTTAACAAAAAGGCGCTACCGAAGCATTCGTACCAAGATGGCGCACAAACTGAACATTGTATGTTTACCAGGTTAGGGTTCAGGATGTGCGTCATCTTAGACCAAATACTTTAAATCCACCTAAAAAAAATTGCTCAACATTATATACTCCACACCCACCTGGGTATCATATACATTATATCTAAACAATAAAAAAAAACTTGATGTCCCAAAACAATGTTAAGGCCCGATTCTGCCGGACTATACGCTCATTGACGAAATTTAGTACTGTTCTTATCTTAAATATAGAAAAAATGCTATGATGTAAGAACCATTTTGTGGTAAACCTCTACATGTTGTTTGCAAATAATATTAGCCTACATAAAATTTTATGATGTCATAATGGTCCACAGCCGCTAATCGCTCGTGAATGACGCAAAGAATATCATAGAGACAACAACGACATTGGAATTCTTTCAATGAACAAGTGTTTGGTCATTGTCACTAAACTGTCAACAGACTGATCAAATCTATCATTACTCACGTAACAAGTAGTTTAATTCAAGAAGCATTACTATATATATATATATATATATTAGTTTGTACGCGAGGCTGGGCTCGTTGATGAAATGTGAAAATGTTGGTACGTTTACAGAAACTCAAAAACGGCTATTGATTAAACATTAGAAATGTCTTGTAACAAGATGTAGATGTAATAACTTGCTATAGTATGAGCATCGATTAACTGCTACATGTTATTTGTGCATAACGATGTATAAAATGTTAGCTAGTTACCAAGTCATTCACCAATCAATGGTCGTTTTGGGTAAGCGTGAGAACACTACGAGCATAGTTTCACTGTACAAAATAATCTAGCGGTGCTTTTTAAACTAAACAAAATGTAACGCGAGTAATGATAGCGGCATTATACCAAGTTCGTAGAGTACTTGCTTATAAAATCTACTGATCGTACATGAATAGTGATTCTCAACGGCGGCTCTCAATTATTCTTCCTGTGACTATCATTACCCTTTAAAAATCAATCATTTTCCGTGGAAACTTTTATTAAAAATTAATCAATGAATGGAAATTGAGAGACTGAACATTTTATTATGACGCCATAGTGTTTCTTTCCCAATATTTAGCCTACGTTTCAGTACACTGAGAGAGAGATTTATTATTTCGTCATTCAGAAAACAAGCAATGGTACAATAAAATATATACAAAATATGCAAGTTAATTCGGTATAGACTTGAGGGAGCGATACGACCATAATTAGGTCATCAAATTCAGCTCCCCTCAATTTCACTATTAAGATTCACAGTTGATAATATACACGAGCGTGAACTCGGGCTTTGAACTTGAAGGGTTGAAGTTGACAACAGGTCCAGATACCTCCTTTTGTGTCAAAATTCTGTTAATTGACATACCGCCGGAGACTGGAGATTGATTTTTTGAATGCTGATGCGTTTTTCATTGACTCGGTTACTGATAAATTGCTTTCCCATTTTGATTGACAAGAGCAGGTAAACTACACCGGAATGCCGAGTGCCATAGCAAAACTGAAGTTACTAGCATAAATCTCATCCCAATCTCCGATCATTTTCGTCTCATCTTCCAAGTTGACCAATATGAGAAAGAATATTCCTGAACATAATAAATTAATGTTTGTGATCCATATTTATTCATTGATTCCGAGATTGTGTTGTAAAGCAAAATGTAGAATAGTTACCACCAATTCGTTTCGCCAGTGCTTTATTTTCAGCTTCCATTTTCAGCCTCGATTAAATTTATTGCATCCCACATCACATCACTATGAACGCAAAAATTATGAGATTCAGGTGCTGCAAAACCATACAATAGATTTGGTAACTTCGTGAGGCGGGAAAAATAGATTATTTTCTAGTAGAAATCCACGGATTTGAACAGATATAAAACAGAGCAGTAAAAACGCATACGACCTTAACAGCAATCCAACCAAGAGTACATCATACTGATATCATTGTTTTCAGTAATCACAAGCAAGCTATCCGTACACTGTGGAAATTGTCAGTTTGTCAGTTGATAAAGACATAATGTCAAGCAAATCAAAAAATCTATCATTTCTCATAAATATGGTATGATTGGAAAGAGAAGTATTTTCAAACTTAAATAGATTTCAATATGGAGCTACTGTGTTTCCTCGAAAATAAGAAAGTGTCTCTCTCAATTTTCTTTCGAAAAATAACACTAGGGCTCATTTTCGGGGGATGTCTTTTGTTTTCTTTTGACAAAAACAAAATAACAAAGTACAGAATAAGAAGATTTACAAATATAAAAAATATGAAAACCGATATCCAATTACTTAAATGACACGGTTTTCTCTCTTACACGTTTTTATCAATCATTTAAAACGTGTAGGAGAGATTTCTTGCTATCGACTAGTTAAAAAAAAATCGTGTTATTGACCAGGTCTTATTTTAGGGGGAGGGCTTATAATAAAATCATTCTTAATATTCAGACTAGGTCTTGTTTTCAGGTTAGGTCGTATTTTCGGAGAAACACGAGTACTTGAGTATAGTTTTGTTGCCATTCTAATTTGCATTGTTTTTTATTCGGCTCCTTTCAACGTTAGGATTTGAATTTTGGTTCTGACACTAAAAAAGGTTGGAAACCACTGGTATATGAATATTACTTGAATGGCGTACATTTATACTGAGTTGGCAGTATTCGCATATGATACTGACTTTTCTATGAACATGCCACAAACGGCTGTATATGTATATTGAGTTGTTAATATAAGTCTATGACATTGGCTGTGTATGTCATTACTTGAATGGGTGTATCAATATGTGTCTATGTTATGGATAGTGACTCTAAATATACACAATAAGGCCAACTATAGCAACTTTATCGTTTACCAACACCATGGTCACGAAATCTAATATCAATACCTGGTTTATCCTCTGAAACCTAGAATATGCACTGATGTCCACATGTTTCAATATTGTTTATTATGAGATATAAAAGAACCAATAAAAATATGAATTCATTCACAGGAAATTTCACTGAAAATCAGTTGCACATAAACGAACAAATAATAAAACATGCGTTGCCGAATTTTGCTATAGATAAAGATTAATAAAACAATTAACAATACTCGAGAATTTATCACCAAAACATAGATAGGTGATTAAACATCATCTATATATGTATTCTAGTTCGCAGATCACTCATTTTATTTGCCTAGTCGGAGTAGATACGATAATAAATTCAGTCAAAAGTTTTGAATTGTTCGTTTCGATGATATCGTTGTATATTTTATTTGAAAACTCCGGATTTGGCGGCAACTCCTCCTCTTGGTCCGATGTTCATTTTTCCTCCTGCTTGTCTCTTGTTTTTCGAGAATTTTCCCATGTATTCGTTCACTCGTTGACGAAGTTGGTTTATCTGAAAATATTATGAAAATTTTACATGGGCATTATTAAAAAAATAGAAAAAAACAAACATTTGTTGCCAGTGCTTACATCATATTTTTGTCGATCAATTCTTTGTTCAAAATCGTATTTTTCTTCTTCCAGTGTGAAAAGCCAGTCCCACAACTCTTGTGCTTTTTCTTGAAGTCTGAAAAGAAGAATGATAATTGGTAACTGGTAGTTTTGAACAACTAATTTCATGTATATCAATATAAAGGGAAATACTTACTTATCGCTGTTCAAATGATCGATGTTCAGTGGTTTTCTTCGGTCAGCCAATATCTTCTTCTTCTTTTCACGATCTGTCTGTCTCTTGTTTGGTTTGTTCTTTTCGGCCTTCATTTTTAGTACAGCGTTAAATAAATTTCTCTTTTATCTTATTAAAACCATTATAACGAGCATTGAATAAACTTACTCTTGCCAAGTATCCACCGTAGTGAAGAGACATGTTTGCTATTGCTGCCTTTTTACGAGCTTCTTCTTCCACTCTTTTTTGTTCTTCTTCTTCTTCCTTTCTCTTTCTCTCTTCCTGGAATATGAAAAAATAATACGATAGATATAAGAAATATATTTTAAAATGAAAAACTGCAAAGAATGGCTCTTTTTTTTTATCAATTCATTTTTAATTACTTGGATGATTCTACTTACCTTTTCGCGAGCCATTCTTTCTTTCTCTCGTTCTTGACGAATTCTCATTTGTTCCTCACGCTTCTCTTTTCGTTTTTCAATTCTTACTCGTAGTTGTTCAATATCTTCTTCGTCCTTCTTTCTCGTTTCAAAGTGGGCTTGGATGAGTCCCTGAAGCTCGCTAAGATCCTTGTCCATTCTTTTACGTTGGATATCCTCAAGATCAAGAACTTCTCCGTCGGGAATTTTTGGAGGTGCCATGGCAGGCATGGAAAATCTACAAATAAAAGTGATGGACAATGAATTGAATAGATTTCCTATATTTATCATAGTTAATTATTTCACTATTTTTGGAAAGTTAGGTCTTTTGCATTTTAGAAATATGGATTTTCCGACAAATTATGGCAATGAACTGAAAATGGTATTGGCAAGTTTTCTGGTAAACTAGATTTTTAGAAAATTCAACTTCAACATGTTACAAAAACTATAACAAATCACACTAGCCAGCGAAAATGAAATTTGATCAAATCATAAAGCATTTTTTTTACTTACTTTGGTGGCGCTGGTTTGTCATTTTTCTCTTCTGGTTTTGTTTCCTCGACCTTCTCAGGTTCGGGTTCAGCTTCCTCCTGCAATGTGAAATTTGAGTTAGTAGTTTTCAGTTTATATAAGGTACAATAATGAAAGTATGCAAATTATTGCTTATATATATAGGAAAAATAAACAAACGGCAATAACCTGAACTTCTTCTTGTTCTTCCTCTTCAACTTCTTCTACCTCTTCTACCTAAGAGTCAAATAACAAATTGAAATGTAGGAAATAAACAACTCGCAAGATGGTAATTAATATCGAAATTTACTGTTTAAATTATTTGGTAAAATATATTTGTCTGTGTGTCTATAAATTATGAACGCATCAGCTCTAGAAAAAATTCTACAAATTTAAAGGAGCTCGCTTACCTCAGATTCGTATTCAGATTCGTGATCCGACATGTTGAAAGGGTTAGGATATCTAAATATAAAAACAATTTGCTATGGTCACAGTTCACGGTTTCGCACATCGAAACAAAACCAACACAAAGCCTATATTTAATATATGAATCTTCATCCGAACTTTACTATGAATAGTATATAGTCTTAGTAGATATAGTCTTGAATATTACACTGACAAGCAAAGTAATGCATACCTTTTATTTACTGAAGAACGAATGTAAAATTGGAAGACACAAGTCGAGAGTGATTTGGAATACTGCCGTTAGTAATTTATAAGCGAGTTGATTCGCACCTTCTACTATGGAAGCGACAATGTGTTCGCTGATGGCTGAACTGAAAAACGTTCGCCGTACTCGTCGCTGTAAGTTATCACCTGAAGTGTGAACAGATGTCTTTTTCGAGGAGGTTTGCCGTCAGAAGCTTTTTTTTACCAGTTAAGCGCAAAAGACATAGCACAACGTTTTGGCGTTTTTAGAAAATTTCATTTACCTGATAAAACGACGATCCGTCCTATAGGTCTCATAATTGAGTAATTTGAAAAAATGGTCTACATCCCATATGACATGACATATTTATGGAAGTACAGAAAGTACATTGGTTTTGAATAATTTCTGAAGCATATGTCGTGTGTGTCTGTATAGTGTGGCTTGCGTATAGTTCTATTATGTTGACATAAACAAACAATTATATATATATAGGATGTCAATATGAAACGTGCTACACAATTTTTCAGTTTTCAGCCATTGCCCCCGCTTCTTTTTGGTAGTCGCTCATGCCCCTGGAACAATATTCAATGTCATTCAGGCATGGCATAAGGAACGATCCCTATTTTTGTTAACCATTTTTGTGGGTATGATAATAGCTTGTCAGTTATTTTTACCAGGTATAAAGAGGCATGGAAGGTATAATGTCACGTTATTGATCACGTGTTCTGACATGTTCTGCATCGCTCTTTGAGCAATCCATTTTTACGAGTCTTCCGCATAATTCTGAGCACCAACAACTTGGGAATTGTTCAACAATTTTAATAAAACGAAAATGTTTTGCTGATGTGTCTTAAAACGGGACATTTTGTGGTTTGCCATTGCGATGATCGAGTATTACATACGAAGCAACAATGTATTTCAATCATGTTATGTTGCAATACAGACAACGAATTCAACGAGATGCTTGAAAATATTAATTGAAGCACCATTAGGTATAATTTAATTTGTCACCAGGCAGTAAAAGAATGGCTAACGCGGCGCGGGAACAAAAAAATTATTTGTCGAATTTCTATTGGCTAACAACCGGCAACGCGTACCGGTAAAGTAGCATACGGCTGGCCCACTTCATGACGCAAAAATCAATAAATCCACGTTGTAATTATTGAAAAACACATGTTGGAGAGAAAATTATATTGAAATTGGTTGCTTCCTTGGCGAAGGAACATCAACTATGCCATGGTATGCCTATGTTCAGTTTGTAAGTTTGAGAAGTAACAGATACTTTGCAGATTTGTCGTTTGAGAAATCACCATACACTGTTTGATAGAAAATAAATTTGAAGCATCTGTTAAATCAGGATGGAAATTTTTGCGTATTGTTAAAGATAAACTGCGGCCTTACAAAATTATAGAATTTGATAATATTGAGATTTTGGAGAGATAATATTTTTTAATTCGCTATAAGATCGCTTCATTTAGATCTTCATCTTATGTTTCTTGATATGATTCTATTGTTATTATTATTTTTATCAGCTGTCAAACTATTTTTCAAAATGTATTCATTATTGTATTTATGCATTCAAAAAGCTTTTAATGAAAAATGCAATACTTATTGATAATTATATGCGTTAAATATTTATTGAATCGCGCTGCCGGCGTCCCTATGCTTCAATGATCACGACAGATTGTATTTTATTTTGCGATAGTGATTGTCGAGAGTACACGTAGCCCAACATTTTACGATTTTGCGTTCGTGACGATTCTATTCTGTACTGTCGGTATGAAAGATGCAAACCGTGAATTATATTGGTTCGTGAAGCTTTACTTTACTTTACGTTAGAAGGTTTACTCCAAGACATATTTTCAGTTCCTCGGTTGGGGAGATGGTAACTTTCATGTTTTTGCCCAACGTAGGGGAAAACCCACGAAACGACTTTATTTTGAGGCATCTAGTTATGGTGCCAGATGAGCTTATCGTTATGTCACCCGTCTTGTGGGATTTTTATAAACTGTATTAATCTCAATTTCAGAATAGATTTTTATATATTAAAATATTTATACATTGTATTGAAAATGGTGAAATCAATTATTCTCATCTCATTATTATTGGTGTTTACAATTTGTGATGCTGAGGAAACAAAATCTAAATGTGATGGATGCCGAGATCTTTCAAGGGGAATTTTAGATGTGAGTAACTCTTTTTTCCATTTTGCTATTGAATCACCAAGGCAAGCGTTTTAACGTTAAATTATATGGTCTAAAATAAGATGCAGACGTGAGACTGTAAGATGAAAGATGTGATAAATTGCTATGAATATGAAATGTCCCATAGCAGCATAGCTAAAACTCATAGGCCAAGTGTTTATTATTCTGTAATTACTGATTGCTTCCAACATCTGAGCATACGTAGGCTACATATTTAATTCTAGTAAATGAAATATAGACGAATATATTAAATTTGTCTTTGAAGAACATTTTTTGAAATCCAAAATTGTTTTACCCTTTATTCAGTTCAGCTTGATGCAGTTGTGTGAGTTATATTTAATAATTTCAGGGTCTGGATAAAACAAAAAAGAAGAATTTTGAAGGTGGCGATGTCGCATGGGAGGAGAAAAAGCTTGGAAAATATAAAACAAGTGAAACAAGATTGGTTGAAATATTAGACACATATGCTTGTAGCAAAATCAATCATAGATGTAACACTATCTTAGAAGAAAAAGAAGAAAAAATTGAATATTGGTACAAAAACCTGTAAGACATCCTTTTTTTATTTAAATTGTTTTTATTGCAGCCTATGTTGGGCTTAATTAAATTTTTAGTAATTCGCTTATAGTCTAGGTTAGCTATCGCCAATGGCGTGTATCCTATGAGGAATACAGCTGTCGTCATTTTTGTATTTTTATAAGCAAATATCTGAGATTCGAAACTATTTTTTCAGACAAGATGAGAAGCCATTGTTTGATTATCTCTGTGTTGAAGAAGCGCAAGGTATTTGATTCTATTGGTTTTAGAGTATCTATTCTAATTTATAATCATAATTGAATCAAACTGTCGAGTATTGCAGATTGGTTTATTGTTAATAAAAAATCTCAATGCTAGTTTCGAATTGACTACTAGTTCAGCTTTTTGCACTTCCGTAGTGTCATGAATACCAGTATATGCTTAAATTTAAGCAGCTTTATATGCAAAGAAAAAACTGTAATGTGCTCTATTTATTTGAATTCACTTTTAATAAGCTTTATGGATGCTTTAAGGATGTATATTCATAATTGACTCTTCTCAATGTTGAACTTTTTTAATCCACGTCCAAGATGTTATTAATGCTGTTGCATTTTTTTAGTTTGTTGTCCTGATGATACTTTTGGAGCAGATTGTGAAGGTATGTCTATAATATCTGTCATTTATCTATGTCCCACTGATAATCAGTCACTGGAAGCTTGTGAATCAAGTCAATTTTCTGGTTATGTTTGTTTATTCTAGAATTTCCCACAGATTTGATATTTTAAGCAAACTTCACTAGTAATAATAATATTGTTAAAAATTAAAATGAGTGAACACTTTCTTCTATCATTCATACATAACGATGTTTTTCTTTTTAGATTGTCCAAAAGGTACATCCGACAAGGTTTGCTTTGGACGTGGAAAGTGTGAAGTGAGTAATATGAATATTTTTTTGTTATCAATTTTACTTTAGTTTTTATTTTGTTGCTTCCAAGTCAAAATCATTGATAATTCTATTGTAACTGGTTGATAATTTATGAAATGTTCAATATTTCCAGGGAGCTGGTGATCGAGAGGGATCAGGCAAATGTGTTTGTGATGATGGATATTCTGGTGAATTTTGCAGCGATTGTGGAGATCAACATTTTGAAACCTTTCGTAATGATACTTATACTATGTGTGCACGTAAGATTTTTTGTTTGTAATTGAAAAACATTTTGACATTTCATTGAATATTCAGGTATCATATTATTACTCTGAATTTGTCTCATTTTGTCAAATTTTTGCTTTTTAAAGCTCATTCAAGGGCAGACTTGTATAAAGAATACCGGTAATACCTTTTTTGCAGATCATAAAAATAATTCTCGATCGAAGTAAAATTTTCAAGCAAACTAGGAATAGTGTGGCATGTTATTGAAAAAGGTTTTGATGTCGTTATCTAAAATGTTTATTCAATCAGTATTTAACTGAACTGAATATTTCAGAAGTTGTTGCATCCTAATTGTAATTTTTTTGTTATATCTTTATTGCAGTATGTCACAACTCATGTAAAACATGCAAAGGTAATAAATCGACCGAATGTTCAACATGTATGGATGGATATAGATCAGAAGAAAATATTGATAATGAAGATGAATTAAAATGTGTTGATATAAATGAATGCGTTGAACAAGCAAACCTGTGTCCTGTTGGTACATACTGTGCGAATAATGAAGGATCATATTCTTGCGAAGGTATGTGTGCGATATTTTAAACTTTGGTTCATTATAGCTCTAAACTAAAAATATTTGTGTTGTGGACTGTGGGATCACGATGCTGTCGCATGGTGCGTAATCAGTCCTGTATGCATTTTATTTCACTGGATGCCTGCACCGAACTGCAATTCCATAAGTAAATTGGAAATCTTGCTATTTCAAAAAAATTTCACATGCATGCTTTGAGTTTTCGTTTGCGGCCAACTTATAGTACTCGCTGTAATGATTTTCAGTGATTGCGCAGAATAGTGTAAGATATACCATCATTGTTCCTGTAGAAAATTCCAAACCTCCATACCAAGAAAGTTATGTGTTGTGGCAAGCATTAACAGATCATATCAACCTATTTTTGCCATTGTTTAGTCTTACATTTCCATCACCAATGCCATATTGCTAGTTACAAGTTATGAATAAATTATGCCCTGTCCTGCATTAATTATGATGACATCTGTCAGTATGTTTTGGACAATGCTCAAGACAGATTCTACTGTATTGATTGTTTTATTTAATCCTCTGTAAAATATAAAATGGAACATTTTTAAAGATATCATGTGACTTCGTCCATCCTCAGTATAAGATTATCTGAGCATTTATTATTCTAAAACACATTAAATGCCTTCAAACGAATATATACATTTAGAAATGTTGATAAAAATATATGCAGCATTTCATCCTAATATCCAGTGAACACTTATATCATGTCAGATTATGTTAATCTATTCAGATATGCTAAAATTAGTGAATGATCAGCCTATCTACAATGCAGTCTTTTGGTATATACCTACATAAGGAAGTTTGTTCTTATATGTGAGGGAACATTTTTTCTTTTAAAAGTGCCATTTAATGACCTTTTTTCAGCATGGACCTGTCACCCATTCTGTATCAAATGTTATGGCCCACTACACACTAATTGTTTTTCCTGTCGTCCCGGACTGATTATGCGTCACCCATTTATCTGCCAAGGTTTTATCGCAGAACTTGTTGTTGTTTCTGTACTAACGTTTGTGTTGTACTCTGTTTCGTCTGCTGTTTGTAGAATATCTTAATAAGCTTTTTCTATTGCGTTTCAGTAAGTTATTTTTAAGTGGTTATGTATTGGCCTAATGAAAATTGAATATCTTCAAATATAACAATAACAACATACGATACAAAAGTTTTATTAATGATTTTTCATTTTGCAATTTCTTCACTTTGCATAGTTAGGCTTATTGAGATTTTGCTTGAAATTCAACACCCTTGTGTATTTTAACAAATGAGTCTGTAACATATTGTTCTGCATATAACAAACAATAACCCTGCTTGGTCAAAGAAATTAATCCTTAGTGTAAATATCCTGGGATTAAATGATGTTTTGCATTTGTGTGAAAAATTGCATTTTTGCTGTCAAGATTTCACTATTTGCAGCATGTAACCCAGCGTGCTCTTCTTGTTTTGGACCTTCTTATCGACATTGCCACTCATGTAAACAAGGAATGATTATGAATTATCCATATTTATGTCAAGGTAAAATGAAAGCAAAGCATTTTGAAATCATTTCATGACATCTCATCACTTCATGATATACGGTAGTTTCCTACAACAATAGATATTCATGGTGATGCATTTAAACTGCTTCATGGGTACTTGGTATTACTGTCGAACCGCATATAAAATTGTGATTATGAATTTAAAATTAATTTGAGCACAGGTAACTTTCACACATCTGTTCAACCTTGAACATTTCACCTTGGAGTCTATATTCTTATTACCGGTATATATTATTATTTTTATTCGAAATTTTCTATTATGCCAAAAACTCAAAAACTTTTCAAACAGTGATATTGCGATAGTCCATGGAATTTACAAGTACCGTAATTATACAGGACTACGATATGCCATTTCTCACAATATGTAGGAAGATACTTGTCAATTTTGAAAGGAATGCTGAACATATTTTAAAGTAAAAGTTCTAAAAACTGATCATTAATAAAAAAAACTGTTGTAAGCAAATCACATTAAAATCTTTCAACTTAAATATCAAGGAATTTTGATGAATTTTTAGATATTGTAGAATCATTTCAAGGTATCGGTACTGGCTAATGATGAATTTTATCATCATAGTTGAAAACTTCATAACACTTATGAATTTTTTGTCATCAAATGTTGATTGTTCATGTAGTTGTGCATTGTTGTGGTCTGTCTTTTAGTGTTTCATCTGGGAAAATGATATCATTTTGTTCATTTGTGTGCATAGAATGGTTAATTCTTTAAACGTAATTGAAATTCTTAAAACGTCGCTGCTCGCCGGTATTCAAATGCCTTTCGGTTGTGTGCTTGTATAGCTTCCAAATGAAACTGACCTGAAAAAACATCCATCTCCTTGGAACATATAAATGGTGAAATTTCAGGCTTACAATAATTTTAAAACAGAAAAGTATGATTTTGCAAACAAGTATGACATTTTTCCAGTAATTAATTAATTCCAAAAATGCACTTCATTTAAAACACATGTGTCTTGATAGTCGTCATTCCTGCCTGTTTGTGCCCATGTTTTCCGAAATCTGTTACTCCTGAATTGACTGCTCATATTAATTCTCACACTGGCATACTAATGTTTCAAACAAAACTAACATATTTAGATATCTTAGAGTATGATCACTGTGATCATCATCATTATTTCCACAGCATTTGTAAACACGAAACAAAGGAAATTTAGTTGAAGACCAGTTCATAATTGACTTTGGAACGAAATTTCTATATCAGATATAAATAAATCAAGCCCCTTACCAGTTAAGTTGCAAAAATCTGGATAGATTTGATTGCTCTTCAACTATATTTCCTTATCCTTATTTGTCGGCGTCTGATTTGGAGTATTGATAATATTTAGACATTGATGAATGTGCCAGTGGAGCAATCTGTCTTGGTATGTACGAAGTTTGTGTCAATACACTGGGACACTACAAGTGCGCATGTGCACGATATTTCAGGAGAGATCCCGTTTCTGGGCAGTGCCAGCCCGATCCCAACATATACTCAAGAATGGTACCACCTTCTGCTCCTAGCAAGGCAGCAGACAAGGGAAAGGCCGAAAAAGCAGATGAGGGTGAGATTGTAGTTGGAAACGAAGTAGAAGACTCGCTCAGTGATGATGATATAAAACGACTTGTAGTTGCTGTTGTTATATGCATCATCGGTACTGCTGCGGCGGGTGGGAATTTAATCTGGACCGCATTGTTCTTTTGTAGCATAATCGGTGCAGGCGTCTGGTGGGCATCAGATAAAACTGATGAGCTTGCCATGTCTATGATACCACAACCCCATCAAGAATTGTAGCTATTGCGTAACCTTAAACTAACCAGCTATCAAATAATGATTTGATCTGGATACTCGGAGCACATGAGATCATTATGTGTTCTTCTGATTCAAATGGCTCACCCAAATCATTATGGACTCGTGTGATATTATATGTGTACCATGTGCTTTTTATTTATTATTTTGTTCAATTTCTATCAGAGTTGTTACATTAATAGGCGAAATATCACTACTGATATCAACTATTAAGAAAAGAATAAAAGTTCATTTATTTTTATTGACATCCTACACATCTAATGTCCAACATATATGCTGGCTTCACTATACTTGATTGAATTTGGTCTATAACTTAGTTGTTGCGCTGAATGACATTTGACTGCATATCATCCAAGATCCAACAATAATTATTTTGATGCAAAATTCCAAATTTGGTTGATATCCATCACAATTTCATATTCTTGCCACTAATATTTGTCAATGAGGATTTGTCTGTATTGTATAACACCTATTTATTTTATTATGCAACCGTATTTTGTTTACTGAAAATTCAGCATTTTGACATCAACGTCACAAAATTTGTATATTCTCTTATTTATTTACTTTACATATTCATATACTACCAAATTACTGTATTTACCAAATTGATTGGAAATAGTTAGTTTCTTAATTCACTGGCGTTTTACCCCTGTAAACATATACATTATGAATTGTCTGTATGTAAGATCATTGTTGAAATTGGTATTAACATAAATCTGTTAGAGGTAGAACTGGTCTAGCCTGAACTGTTAGATATGTTGGAATTTGACTTGACCACGCCGCTCGTCCTGATTCTCTTTTGATCTTGACCACGCCGCTCGTCCTGATTCTCTTTTAATTTTTCCACTCTGAAGTAAAATGTAGTCGCCCTTATCCATACGAACGGTACTCGATAGTAAAGTCATGTATGCATCACTTGATACTTTTTTATCTCGCAGTTCTATTTATCACTTTTCTAATCGCTGTTATTGTAAATAATTGGTCACTGTGATTTTGTGCACTTTAAATGTATGTATTACGTAGGCTTACGGACATCTGATAAAATCATACCTGGATAGCTTTGCGTTTTTTTTTATCGAAATTCGGTCGTAATACTAGTATAATTATGGCCTTTCATAATTTTTTTCCTAATTTTCCAATGTAAAATTCCATGTTTATTAAAATTGTAATATATAAAAGATTTACTCCCCAAAATATACTCAAGAGTAGTATTCTTTGCTTCTATTATTTACTTAGTACAGACAATTCAATTGAAATTGTCTGAAAATTTTTTTTGTATTGTATTGCTATTAACATCCGTATATAACATATGCTTAACATAGACTGGTGACCAGACGAGATGCAGTGGTTTGCCATATGGTTAGGTGTCTTATCGGCTACTCCCTACCCCGGTGAAAGTGAATATCCTATCCCAACAGCCTTGCATAACTTTTAGTTCGTAGTCAGTGATCGCGCTTGATATTTGCATCCAACCTTTGTTTATGATACGCAGAGAAAAAAGAAGAAACTCCAAAAGAGGAAGATGAAACTAAAAAAACTGAAGAAGATGGCGAGAAGAAAGAGTCCGAGGAAACAAAGGAAGAACTTTGAAGCTGAAACGTAGTCATATACACTGCCGCCGACGACGGCTGATGAAGCGTCTTATTGACTTTTATAGGAAAGTTTATAATGTTCACTGTTTAAATATTCATAATTATGTATTGACCTATCATGCGATACAGGATCTTACACATCGACGGGACTATTATTGAGAAATTCAAATCGCTAATTCCTACAATTTAAGTGTAAGTCATGGGTGCAAAGCGCACCACACGAGGCAGATTGAGCTTCAGTCGGGAAGCTGCTTCGATTTAACATGAAAAAAATTAATTTTCAATTTGGTCTTATTTATTTCGAAAATGTTTGGCATCGCTACTTCACGCGCCATGCTGCCATGCATGCTTTGAATTTGACATACAGTTTGGTTGAGTCTCATTGTGAAGCATGCTTTATTTTCAGTTTTTGTGATTCCAATTTTTATCATTTGCGGTGTCTTAGTTCCTGGTGGAGGTTAGAGTTCGTGTTTCTTAGTTCAAAGTTCAATTAATCTAGCTAGAATTTTGCCACTGTTGAGGTAAATTGAATGCTCAATGGACGTGTTTTGCCAGCGACTGTATCGAATAGCATCTTTGACACTTAATTTCTAAGCATTATGCTAAACTGCTTCATTTGCCTATAGTTTGCCTAGTAGTTAATTTCTTGTAATCGTAAATATTATGAAGCTGTCTTCGAAATTATGTCGAATAAAATTGTTCGTGAACGAAAAAAGTTTTATTATTTGGTAGTGTAGCGGTTTTTCATTATTCAATTTTGTTGCGCCCCTCTGTGACGCGCCTTTTTGTTATCTATTTCAACATCTTGCTATCATTCTGGATAGCATCGTGATATGAAAATCGTTCACAATCGCAATCATTTGTTGATTATATATAGGGGCAGCTCGTTACTCTGACAGTTCATCTTGCGTTACGAACTATTTTTTCACAAAAGAAATTAAATCGGCAAACTGATTTAGTTTCGTTCAGAACAGCAGCTATTTATAGTCGATTAATGTACTACAATGATTCTCAAAATCTGTTACGAATATAAATGCACCTTATTTTGCAAGTATGAAAATTTATCCAAGTTTGTAAACATGATGAAAATATAAAGGTGATATATATATCCTGGTAACAAAGCCATTTCTGAACGATTTGAACTAACGTAACAAGCTGTCGGCGTTCCGCGCCATCTATTAACATCCCAATGTTAGTAGTCCCAGTGAAAGATGACAAGTTCCCTTCAGCTATTTCTCTTCACAAATTGGTTTCGCCATGGTTTGGTGAAGTAGTTTCTAAAAATACAATTTTTTTTATTCGTCCAGCGTGGAGCCTAGATAATTTTTATATGATAATGAGGGAATTACAACACAAATATTCGCTAAATTTCGAGCGCATAAATTTGTCTCAAAAACGCAACAGCGAAATCTCATATGTACGATTCAAGAAGTATCATTTAAACGCTTAACGCTCGGTCACATACATTCTCTCGAAATCTCAAGCACGGTCGCCATTGGATAAAATCACGGCCTGATCATCCAACTTTAACATTTGCCGCCGTCAGCCGCCTGGATCAGGCGAGCAGTTTTTGAATAGACTTGCCAGCGCACTCTGTCTTACTTTTTGTAGTCTCTGTTTTAAAATATGCGTCGTATATCAGCAATCTATGGATACATGAAATGCTCAAGTTACGTGTAGCCTAAAGCAGAGCTACTCAACTATTTTTACCGAAGATCCGCATACAAAACTTCAAAAATATTTGGGTACGGACTTTCCAGAAATTATGTTTAAACACGCACTTCCTCGACAGACTAATGATTATTAGCTATATAAGATTGTTTATTATGGCGTTAGAGTTCTTTTCATATATATATTTAAACCTATAAAAGTGATTTTATAAAAGGAAACTTCAAAAGTGGGGCTAATGATCCAAAATAAAGAATTAGTCGGGGTCCGAATCGAATACCCGAAAGGTCCGGATTCGGACCGCGGACCGCCAGTCGAGTAGCCCTGGCCTAGGGAACTACTCGTGTAACGGACAATGGAATAGGGGATAGCCAAAAATACGGTAATTCTTTAATTTATGTTAGATGCATTGCGTTAACAGGCTAATTAATACTGTAATATGTTATCTGTACCAGTCCTTGTGGATACCGGTAGCTGTCTTCCAGTGGAGCAGTAACTGGTTCCGTCGAAGTAGGCATAAGTGAATGGGCGCTTTCATACCTATTTTGTGGATTATGTAGTCCAGGGTCGGCCAACCTTTTTGGCCGACGGGCCACATTTAGTTTACTTATAATTGCGCGGGCCATTTAACATGGTAATTATTTTCTAGTTTTGCTACACTGACTAAAAGTTAATGGAAAAACAAACAAAACCCTCGCATCAAACTTTCTCAATAATATGAACAATAAAAAATGAAGATACTGTAGAGTCAACAAAGGTATTTCTACGCGTAGATATTTTGGTGTGAAGTTTGGCAAAATTTCAATATTCGCTCAAATGGACGATGTAGCAATGCGAAGCCAATTTTTTTTATGACTGTCAAAAATTAGTGATCACACAGGGGATGCAAAGCGCAAAGCAATCCAAAGTTGTCAACTCATCAATATTTTGCTTCATTGCCAAAACATCAAGGATATCATGCATGCACATACCACGCCTAAACACACAGCATTGGCAATTATCATTTATGCCCCCAGCAGATTTGACCAAGTAATATTTGGTTGGTGCTACATTTGAACGAGAGACTACGTGATAAAATAAAAGAAGATTGTCTCACAGATGAGATAACGTTAAAGAGAGTAGTAGAAGACCCAAGTGTGTAAGCGACTATTTGATTATCTATATCTTCCAGTTGGTTTCGATTCAAAATGGCACTCATTGCTCGTTTGAAAGGGCTAGCAGAGCGCCTTTCAGGAAAATGAACAAATTTTTTGTATCAAATCTTTATATTAACTACATCACTTGAAAAATGGAGGGCCATGCGTTGGACGACCCTGATGTAGTCTATACTCTATAGCAGCGTTTCCGAAACTTTTTCGGCCACGGAACACTTACACTTTTTATCTCGCCTCGCGGAACACTAAAAAATGAAAGGGTAAAATGGATAAAGAAAAACGGTGTAATGTAGCGCTTCCCAATGGGTTCGTCGTGGCGAGTTGCCAAATGCGCCGCAAAAACCAACAGAATTATGTTGAACATACCTAAAATATGATTGAATATTTTACATATTTCATTTATTATAAATGTTTTATTGTTTCTCAATTTGAATGCTGCGTATATGAATCAACAAATTCATTTTACCTTTCTATATCGTTTACTTTCTATACGTAGTGTTTGCCTAGATAGAAGTACTTTCTGCAACTTCGCGAACTGCAGTTTATTTATCTGAATCGAATTTAGCGAACATGAGTAATTTTTTCAGCATTCCAAAGTAAAATCAGACAGAGATGACGGAAGAAGAGTTGACCATTTTTACTTATTCTTAAGACCTACCTGTTTGCCCATAGCAAAACCAAAAGGATTGCTGCAAACTTGATAATGAACTTAACAGTCAAAAAGCTAGGCCGACGGTTAACGAATATGCCCCTACCCTACCTTAGTTAGTCCGCTTTAGGCCAACGGTGACACGATATTGAACGGTCAGTTGGGCGACAACTTCACGATCCCTAGATCGCCATGGCGACCCATTTAGACGTATTTTTGATTTATTTTCCACGGAACACTCGGAAGACGCTCGCGGAACACAGTTTGGGAAACGCTGCTCTATAGTATACATATATATCAACTTGTCAACTTTAGCTGGAAAAGACGTGGCACATTCCGATTCAGAGATACAAGAGCTAAGGTACGGTACAAATAAATGTTTTTGCGAGTTTTCTTATGAATACTATGATTAGCTAGAAACAGAAATGGTATATTAATGTGATATTTGAGTCTGTTTTATTTTATTCTGGCTGTAATTGAGGAGAGACAAACACGCAGCTCTTTCTCAACGCCTCTCGGTTTCTCGCGTTTTTTTTATACGCAACAGGAGTCCAGAAGGTCGGAGGTCGATTTGGAAATTAATAGAAACATTGAAAATTAGCAACAAAGCAATTTTTACTGTTTAATTTCGTCATAATCGCTACTTTTTTTGCCCCCTGAACGTTTTCATATTACCGCCTTTGTTCTTGTGCGCAAGTATCAATTCTTGCCGATCGGCGGAGATCGAAGTTTCATATTTTAGTATAACTATATGCGTTCACATCGGCGACAGATGGTAATGACATTAAGGAGCGATTTTAAATTCCAACTTAATTTTATTCTGATTTTTTATCGACCCAGTTTTAAGCGAATAATATTATCATTATCGAGCACACATTTATTAAGACGATAATTGAGTTTCTTATGCTCCACACTGGTGTCAGTGATATTTCCGAAATAAATCAATTAGATACTGTGATTAGATAAATCTGTGATTACGTGAATCCTGAATGTTAATTTAAAAGCTGAAATAAAGGCATTTCTACGTGGTCATTAGGCGAGATGACAATAAACAATTTTGTGCCCAATTGCTTTTGTGCCTAGTAGAAAGGAAGACGCTGAAAAATATTAATCACCTAAGTTTCAACGTTTTTTTTTTTCTAACAAAACAATACCACGACCATTATCAGAGCTATAATCGTTACCTACAAATTCACAATTTTATTTACGGAATTTGCAAATTCAACACGATTTTGATGATGCCACGCCCTAATTATTACTACAAGAAAAGCTTAAAAATGCAACGAATGTAATCAACTCCGATGATGACTCCATTCATGGTCGAGTATAATGTTCGCATTTTTGAAAACATTATTTGGTCAAGAATGGAATGGATCACTAAAAATACACGTCAAGATAAAGTCCATTAAAAGGGAATATGGCCTGTCATTTCTTATCTGGTTACAAGTTTTTTATACCGACTTTCCAAAACTCTGACTCACCATTTTCAAATCGCTATTTACGTTATTTATATTATAAAACGCTATTTATATTATTCGAATGACGTCATAATACTTCGAAAGAGCAATTTTTCGCGGAACACCTGGAGGTCTCTCGCGGAACACCAGTGTTCCGCGAAACACCGGTTAAAAATCACTGCTATATACCATAGGATTTCAAAGTGGTCCATACGGGTCTCCGTGAGAGAAAGCGGTGGGCTCCGCGAGCTATTCGTATAGTTGTTGAAATACTGACTTTGCTAATTTTGTAACTGTAAGAAGAAGTAACTAACAGTTGAGGTTGCGTGAAACTAACTACCTTTCCTTGCTCCCTATGCCTTTGCGCAGGTGGATCCGTATGCGTATTACGCAAGGATGCTGTAGCAAGAGTGTAAATGGCTATTCTATTCAATTCAAGAGTCTTGCTGCACACGAACATAAATATTTTTCTGTAACGATTCGTCTGACCGAGGTCAGAGTAACAAGCTGTCGGTCTCGGTCAGACGAAACGTTACAGAAATATATTTGTGTTCGTGTGCAGCAAGACTCTTGAATTGAATGTAAGAAGAAGCATGAGAACCACTGGTCTATAGGCTACCTAATGAAGTAACGGAATTTTCATCGAGTATTGCAAGCGCCAAGCAAGACTATTTTAACTTGAATTCATACCAAGGACGACAACCCGAACTGCCATCGATCAAAATTTTAGCCTTGTTAGTTTGCGTTCGCTCCAGTGTGTTATAGAAGCTAGGCGAATGTCAATTTCTCAAGAGGAATGCACACTATCATACCTCCAATTTGGTGCGAAAAAATCTCTCGAATATTTACGATATCTATTGAATGTCTTATTACCTAAAAAAAATTAGTGCTTCACCAAAACGTTAAATGTTAACGAAGTTCAGCGAATAATTCTCTTGGTATTTTAAGACTTGAGATCCATATACATTCCATTCCTAGCTACGGTGATTTATTGAAACATTTTGGTGCTCAAAATTTGCTACCTCAATAATTATCCACTCCACTTTCGTTCTAGTAACTCTAATTTAGATGACAATTGATCTCTAAACCGATTACAAATAAATGTATATTCATGCCTAAATATTAATTAAGGTGAGGTTGATTAAATTCGATGTTACTTTTACAGCTCCAGTAGTAAGCTGTCCTCGTATTGAAATTGAAAAGAGCATAAGACACCCCACCTTCAACTCTTGTCGATCTAGTATCCCCAGATGCCATCGGTTGACTTGAATCGCTGTGTAGTTGAGTGCCCTTTTTGCCCTTCGCTTTGTCTGTAAGAAGAAAGATGAGTTTCCATAAATTCGGTATTAATTCTTATGATGTTATGTATCACAATGTTCCCAATTGCCGTGTATACATGATTTGCCGTATTCGCAGTAAATTTCATGCTTATTTTAAAATAATCGTGCAGCATTGGTGGCTGGACATAGTTTCACATGTACGTTATTTCGGAATGATCGGTCGACAGAAAGTTCTCCAAAGTTGCCTTATATACAATGACTGTATAGTTTGACTACGAGACTTACCATGGATACAATGTCCCAGCGTATTTTTATATATCCAAGATCTGGCAGGGTGGGACTTTTCCCAAATGTAGTCCGGTGCATCGGAATATAAGAAAGGGTTCAGGGCACTGTTGATTGGAATAATGATCAAACTAACGGGAACGTACGCATCCTTTGATATAGGAACGCCTGAAATACCGAAATCAAATGTTAAGTTAGAAACTTATCTTGGCCTAGTTAACTTCAGTATTTTTCAATGAAGTTTGTGAGTCCATATGATACATGCCCGTAATCTCGTTGTTAATTAGGAAGTAATATTTAATAGCAGTTCAAAATAAGTATGTATGTGAGATTCAATCCACATACTTCACGAGGATGCTAAATTTCAAATTTGTTGTTTTTTTGTTTATAACTTCTTTTATGGAAGATATGACTGGCTTTAACAAAACGTCAAATTAGTTTTAATTTGTCAAAAAGTTTTCATAATTGATGTTATTTCAAAATATTCAGTAAAAAAATTGTATTAACAATAATAGCGCAATAAATTCACCAAACATGATTTTCACTTACTACATAATATACGTGGTATTTCTGTCTGTTCACTCTCGTGAAGTGAATATGAAACCCTTCCTACTCTATGCATATATCCAGAGTAGAGATTCAGGGGGTTCTGTTGGGTTCGTATGAAATCGTTCTTGGAATATTTTGGTAATCATCGAACCCGTTGTTGTTTTAGACTTTAGACGAACGCAGCAAACAGTAACGTGCACCGCAGCTGGTGAGTAGCGTTATAGTTGACCCTCAATATCATGTATTAGATTTTCGAAAAGCGTGTCATGTTCAATGCAGTTCACGCAGTGAAATACATTATTAAATATGACGTTTAGGTTGTTCTGATGTTATGTTACGTCTTGTACTGATCAGAGACTCATTACAGTATAAGTTCAACAAATTGAAATGAAACCTGTAGTTTGTGAGGTCGAAACTGAAGAAAACCGATTCTTAAAATTTTATTATCTAGCTATATGCTATGCGGATGCCAAGAAAATGCGGCGTTGCTCGTTTTATGGAAAAATGCTATCTCACCAAAAACCTGTAAAAATCCCATCAGGCAAATTGGCATCCAACAAAGAAAATCAGTAACGACAATTCGAGTGACTTTTCTCTGCATTCGCCCAGCTCTTTCCGCCATTGTTTCATCACTTACAGCGAAATTCTTTTCTATCGCTTTTCTAAAACGATATAATCGAATTATAACCGGTATGATCTGCCTATTTTAAATAACAAAAATAAAAAATTATACCTGTATATTTTGATGTATCCAATCAAAATGAAGAAAAATGCGATGAAGTTTATGATAATGATGAAAAGCGAGTAAGGCCAAGCAGTGTCCAAATGGCGGTCAGGAAACAACGTGGGAAGGCAAACTCCGTGGGTTGAATAATATCCAAATCTTCGCTGAACCTTATATTCTGGATTCAAATCCTTGATCTGAGATTCCAACAACGACCATGTTCCAATCGCACTATTGAAAACAATACAATTTTATTCTCATATTTTTTGAAAAATCAAATTTTGTTTTATTGGCGAGGCGTCGCTGATATCAGCTATTTGAGTCAGCATATCGACGCCTGAGCAACATCTTTCCAACCGAGAGTACGGAAGTATTGCAACGTTGCACCTGTATTGATAGATACTCTTCCACCTGCCACAATAAGTTAATAGAAGGCCTACCATATAACTTCGTTCCTAGCAATTGATTGGCAATTATGTATATATATACTGCATGTTATAAAATTGCTTCTTCGCAATATGACTGATAGCTTGTTTAAAACTTACTGCACAGTTGACTCGTCTTCATACTTCTCTTTAGGTATAAGCCATCGAGTCACACTTTTTGCGTCCTTTCTGTCAATAGTTGAAAACAATGGATTTTTGTCGTACCTGAAATAGTTAAATTATTATTGTGAAAGTTGATCATTTGTCCCAAAAGAGGTAATCGGGATACGATAGTATGTACAAATGAAACAGCAAAAATAGAGTAACGTATAAATTCACACTCAACGTGAAATCACCGTTGCTCAACTAAATGGCTCAACTGATATTTTCATTAAATTCTGGTGTAAAAAGAATGTATTATATACAAAATCTATACTATCATTCAATATTAGACGACAATATTCAGCTGTCACAAGTACGCTGTCACTCTTTCGAGAAATCAGTTTTTCATTTTGTGTCAAATATAAACAATTATGTTTTTCTTACCAAATACTGTCGACAAAAAAGTCCCGAGTGCCAACAGCAATAGGAATCAATCCAAGCAGTATTGAAAAAGTCCATGAAAATGCGATCATGAATAAAACCAATTTCATCGTTGTACTTTTTGCATAAGGACTGTTGAAAATCAAAAAGACATGATTGATCACGTAGCAATCACATAAGCCAAGTAGCGTTTTTTTTTCATATTCGTCTCAGCTATTTATAGGTATATCTCATTTATGTTATACCTTAACACGTACCCCTTTCTATGTACAAGTCGATGGTGAATTGATCAAAGCAATGAAAATCTGAAACAATCTCCCCCGGAGTATGAGCCAGGCATAGGGATTTTAGGTTAGGGGTTTATTCTGAAAACAACTATATGGAACTGGCTGTATCACAGTTTTTATACGGGTTAAATATTCATCTAATTTTGCAGTATAATATTTTCTTAACTGTTAACTTGTTTTGTGCTAGCATCGTGGGTTCAAAACGCGAGTTTTCAATAGTCTCGAGGGTTTAAAAACCGAAAAATTGCCATGCATTTTACAGAAAAATGTTTTTTTTTTACATTTCAAAAGGCGGTTCCGCCCCTAAACCCCAATATTGACTATGTCCCTGTATATCAAAGGCATTTTTTGTAGTACGTTTAAAAATGAATAACACGTTGTCATTACCGGAGTACAGATTTCAATCGGTATCCTGTGATAATGGTCAGCGTGAATACAGAATTTTCTGATCCAATCAAAAGTAATGCTCCAAGACCAGAACATGTAGGCCCACTTCTCCATTCCCGGTCTGTACGACAGTAGCCTTTCGTTATTGTCGCATTCTTAATACACACCGATAGTGTATATATCTGTCAAGCAAAAGTTTTCGGTTACCATTTCACCCAAATACGGCATAGTCTATTACTTTTAACTGTGATTTGGGGGAGTTCAAATGTTTGTTCAAATTACTTCAAAAATATTATATGTAAAATACTATGCTATTCTACTTTTTAGTTTTTAAACTCAGCTGCCAAAGTTTGACGACACACGATGAAGCAACCCTTCGTTTGTAAGTATCTCAATAGGTTTCCAAAGTCAACAAATTCTATATTCATCAAATGATAGAACCGTCACACAAAGCAATTGCGCGTTTCCGTTCACTTGGTTAGTAGTATTTTTTATTATTAATTTTTTCTTGATTATTTACTCACCCCTACGAGTAAATCTGATATCGACAGATTGAATATCAAGGTTTTATTGATTAATTCATTCTTCGAAAGTTGCCTTCTTGGAAAGAAAATATTACGGATGGATCTGCCAGCAACGATTAAATTTCCAACAAGTGCAACTAAACCTGCATGGATAAAAACAATATAGTGATTGTACATTTTAAGTATAATATGACTTGATGCTTTGATTTTTTATGGATTAATATTATCCCAGAAAAAATTCTCATGAAGATGTATACTGATATTTCTCCTTTATAATATATACCTATATTGTGAATATAAAATTCGTTGCTCTAAATGGCATAAGATGTTCCAGGCTGAACTGACAAAGGTTTTCTCCAAAACCAAACCCGAAGTTCTTGTCCGGTGATTACCCAACGATAAGAATTAAAGCGTCTCTTGAACATTTATTTTTGGTTCGGAACGAAAAATGCAGAATACAAAATAATTTATCACAATCCTTAACCTCACTTCGAAAAGAGATCAAGCTGTGTTGCGTGTTCAAATGACGTTGGCGTAAAAATTAGTAGTCCTATCAGTCTACTGACCCTACACAATATTTGTTGCTCTGAATCAGTAAAGATGTCCCAAGGTGACAACGTTTTGCCACAAACTCTTGTCTATCTGAACCCAAAATTCCCTGTCTGTGGATTATCTCAAATATGAATCAATTCTCACAGTCTTTTGAAAAGATATCTAGCAGTATATATATATATACTTTATTCAAACAGCGATTACGTATTAAAAACGAACATGATATCGTGACTTCTCGTCATCAACAGAAGTTTTTTACTAACTTATTATGATAGTAATAAAGTTTACAAGTAGGTCGCACCGATTGGAACGTTCGTTAATTACAATTCTATCTGTGGGATAATAATCTGAGAAAGAAATTATTTTGATTTGATAATGTCGCACAAAAACATATTTCTGAAAACTTGACTTTGCTGCGAATCCATGACTATTATTATCATCCATGTCCATTGGACGTTAAAATAACTAACTATAATCATAACAGACAAGGAATCTTAAAAAATATAGAATAGCATATTTAACCACGAGAATAAGTCATTGCTTTTTTCATTTTAATAAATGTAATTGCTTACTGATAATCCAAGTCAATGCTACGAAGAGTTTATTACTGATCATCAAATCAGCATTAGAGAATACACTAGAAATACATTTTTCAAGGCATTCATCTCCTCCGCCAGCACAATCTTCGCTTCCATCGCAAACCTTATTATAACAAAGAAAATGTTATTTGTTGATAGAGCTTGGTTTGATATCTGACGCCAAGCCATCAGAACAGTGGTTCACAACCTTTTTTTGTTGTTGAATCACTTCCTTTTGCCAGTTTTGGAATTCGTTATCCTTCTCTGTGCATAAAACTACTTTATATATTCAATCTTTATAAGTCCTAAGCTATAGTGTTATGTACAAGGCTAACTCGGGCTTTTGTACAGTTCAAGTAGTTCATAATGTGGGCATAAAAGAGTATCATAGTAATAAAACTAAAAAATAATGTTAATACTACAGCACATACAAAGCATAATCAACCCCCAAAGTGACAAAACTCTTCTCGTGGAGGAATTTCTCCCCAGTCAGGGAACGTTGCTTTTGTTGAATGTAATTCTGCAGAAACACTATTTAATTGGTAGCTATAATTCATAAATACTAAACACTTTAGTTAGTCTGTGGTTATCGAATAAATGAGGCATTTTATTTAATATCGTAGCTAAATATGATAAAAGGTTTTTATCGTCTATACTAGTGCAAACAAACGAACAAAACCTGTTGTGCTGCAATGAATTTTGGTTCCCCACTATCATTGCAGTAAAAATGTGTTTTATTGCTACAATCCATCTCATCACTCGAATCGTCACAGTCCTGAATTATGAAATAATAATAGTCATTTCATACGACTCAATAATAACACTTTGCTTTATTAATTATTTTACGTTTTCATGTATTATGTCGTGATAACGGTAACATCCTTCGAATTTATAACTAGTTAAATTTTGCAATATTTCAAACAGTTGAGATTAAATATTATACCTTTTGTCCGTTGCAAACTGTTACGTTTGCTATATGTATTGTAGAACCGGATTCGCAATAATACCTGAACAAAAAATTGATTTGTGATAATGAATGTGTTTCCTGCATCCTGCGTCATAATGAGCAGCAGATAGTTTGTCCTCTGGTATATTTCTATGTCTCGCATAAAATTCTAAGCCAAATTTTGAAAATGTCACGCATATGATCTCTTTATCGCAATTATAAAAAGTCTGAGTACGTACATTACACATCCAATCGTGTTCTCACAACTTATCAAAATTATGCTATCAATAAATTAGGACATTATGACACCAACAAAAATAGATATCACTCCTCTTGACTTTTTTTTCAGAAAACTTGAGACTGAAACATTTCCCGTTTTATTTTCGTCCTTATATTGGGTACAAATAATGGCGTATAAAAGCTGGACTCACAGTTGGGAATTATCTAAATAAAGATATATCAGTGGCCGCTGCCCGCTAGTATAGGGGCAAAAAGCTTGTGATTAAGGATTGAATAAAATAATTAATTAATAAAATAACTCACCTGCGTGTACAGCCATTTTCTTCTTCTCCATTTGGACAATCTTTAATTCCATTACAAATTTTAGATGCGTGAATTGTTTCTCCTGTTTCACAATCATAGTCGTTTGCCCTGTTGATGCAACACAAAGGCAATGCTCAAATATATCGGAACACTAATTTGGCCACCGCAATGTCAGCGGAACTTTCGCTTAGGAATGCCATATAAATGTGTGCTCGTGGATTATTAAAACAAAAACAGTAAAATCTTGAGCAAAGGTCACGCCCCATATAGCTTTAGTACACTACTTTTGATAAAAATGGGTATAAATATTGAGGGTACTGCAGAAAAGACTCCGTGATTTAATTATGTAGCTTAAATTATGAAGTCTGAAAAACAACGAGGTATTTAATTTCTTCAATTAAATATCTTGTGTGACACGCTATTTCGCCTAAAATTTCAATTTGAAAGGAACACTATATATTTCGTCACGCTTGACCGCGGATCATTTTGGCAAACTCGGTGCCATAAGGGTTAATGTACTTGTTACCAATCCGCATTGATATCTTATATTATATAGTAAACGGAAAGAATAAGGAGATTTTCTCAGAATTGTAGAAGAAGCTTGAAAAGAGGTAAAAACATAGTAAATTTAAGTTTGGTGAGTGGTAATGTTTTACATAAAATGCTTTCTATAGCAAGTTTTCTGGTAGGATCTTACTAATGTTTGCATACCAACTAAGCCCTGAACAAAATTCCGGCCGATTTGAACATTCGTTTACACATTCTTCCACCATTGACTGTCGACAAGTGAGTATACCGTCGCATCGCACTGCCATTTTCGCTGGATGCAAAATAAGAAATAAAATTATGTTGTGAAAATTGAAAAGCTTTCGATTTATTTAATGAAAACTTAGGGAATGTTTTTTGAAATTCATATTAAAAGATATTCATGTTTTTTGTATGAGTTCGTCTAAGATAGTATTTTCAAACCTTGATCTAAACATTGGTAATCTTTTTCGCAGGTTTTCACTTCTTCAGCGTCCACTGATGAGCCTGAAACATAATGTATATTTTTGAAAAAAAAACTTTGCGCCAAGATAAAAAAAAAAGCATTTGCTGTATTATCAATATTTTCACAAGCTCCGGAGAAATTGGAGAAAACCTCATAATAGTAATGTCATAGAATCCCACAGCAATTTTTAACGAGGCGTCGCATGTTTAAAGTGAACATACATATCTTCTATCATCTGAAGCACACACCGCGTTTAAAAAAAAAGTTATGTTCTGTTCAACAGATGATCTAACAGGCAGGTCTTGTCTATCTTTTTTGGTCTTTTTTTTCAAAGCCCATTCGGGCTGATAGAGTTCGAAAATGGCAGCCTTCGGCCACACTTGTAATAGTAAGATGTTTCAAGTGATGTGTTTTTACCTGCACAATCATTTTCACAGTTTATTTCGTCCAAGGAGTCCTCACAATCTATGCTAATAAAAAATGAAATACATTTGAATTCATTCATTCATTAGAAAATTATTAATCATTAATTAAATTACAGCAACTTGGACAGAATGTGTTTAATGCTATGGAATATAATAGTCATTTTGTAATAGATACATGAGTAACACGACAATTTTAATGAGAAGAATTCAATATTTCCAGCAAATTTGATGGGATTTAGTATGAAGTTTATAACAAAATAGGTAAAGAAAAACTACTAATGAATATATCTGCAATTACTGCAAAAACCCATACTTTGTTTCTTGTATTGAATTAGCTGACTCAAAAAGTTTTTTTTTTGCACGCCACGAGATCAACTGTGTAGCTAAATGCAATATATGCTTACTTACTTTTGATCACATATTTCTTTTGTAGTAATTACAGCTGAATCATTACCGGCACTGCATTCCCATTGCTGGGTAAGCGAATTTGCATTAGCTTTTCCTGGAGAAAAATAACTTTATTACGATTGGCCAAAACACAGGCCCAACAGAGCATTAAATTAAAACTATGATTTAGGCCAAAAACTTGAAATAATTCAATTAAATATTTTGTTGTTGTCTTCATTAAGCACTAAATTTTTCATTGAATATTTGAAATTCGAAACAAGGTTGATATACCATACAGGTATACGCTGACGGATGTCTTTTTCATAGTTCGAATGAAGTCAAATCTTTACTTATAAGGGTTGTGTGTGTGGTAATATCAATTTATATTGCGACTTAGAGAATCGGGAATTTAAAACCATGATTATATTCTAGTATCTCACCCCAGTTTACGTCAAAGCATATAGATGGTATATTCCCACTTTTTCTACAAATGCATTCGTCAGATAAATCAGGACAATGAAATGTTCCATCGCACAAATATCCAAACTTGATTATAGTCGGATGATTGAGACAACGAAAACAATGCTCATTTAACTGCACATTTTCTAAATAAATGACTTAAATATTAATGAAAATTTTATTGATGATAGGAAATATACCAGAAAAATCAGAAAATGTGAAGTTTATGAAAATTTGTATAATCTCTGGAATATAGACCGTTTCAAAAAGTCACTGTTCTACGTTATCTAATGTAAAAAAAACAGATAAGCTGATCTAATGTTTAATTTTTGTTCACATGCCAAAACAGACCGAATGGTGTACACTGTACAGTAATTTTATCTTTCAATTTCATGAGCGTAAGCACAAGTTTGTTGTAGTCACATAAAAGCATTATAATATCAATATGCTGTTCCACACAAAAAAATTGAATGTACGGGCAAGTAATTATATAATGGTTATTATTGACAACATTTTTATACTTGAAATTATGATTGTAATTTCGAGTTCCATATTGAAATTGATTTTATTTTATTAACTCATCGAAAACTTTATAAATATATATAAAAGATTCATTGCATCAATACGGACGACCCTCATATTTTGGTATAGATAGAGTTGGAGGTGTTGTTGAAAAAGTAGCTAAATTTGAAGTTTATATTTTAGTAAATTGTGTACCCTCAATTGCTGGTAGAATATGGAGGAGAAATTGTACTGGGTTAAGTATTCACAGCTGGTGGTTGTAACACCCATCATAGCTTTTAAAATACACATTCTTACGTTTTGGCAGCGACGGTGTCTCACTTTATCACATCTCGTTATTTAAGATAATTGCTAAATAAAAGTATTACCCACCTCCTTCTGTATTGTTGCACATGCATTCATCAACACCTGCAATATAAATGTAAAAAATATGAAATATTATTAAACAGAATATGATAAAAACAGATTTCGCATTACATCATATTCGAGAGGTTGCCCACGAAGAGTCAGAATCGGATAATTATTTATTTATGACTGTTCGTTGGAGTGTACTCCTATTGATCCAGCACTCAATATATGGTAGTTTTACCACTAACTTACCAATACTATTGTAGCCCAATATTTTGTTGACTTTTGATACAATTCAAGAAGTAAAACCGCCAAACTACAAGATACAAGACCTCTGACGAAATGTTTTAAAGTTACAAACGAACATCACAGAATAAATAGCGGCAAATGTCTTCATTTTTTGTTTTGCATGAGTGATGATACAAAATGCCTTTTAAAACATGCTTATTTTGTTCACCGAAGGTAAACCAGCCCCCTCGCCAACAGACGGCCTTTTCCTATTTCAGTGTATTGGGTTATGAAATGTTTCAACCGCTTTTTAGCAAAAAATACCCTTTCGAGTATATTCGTCGACAATCGCAATCAATAAGATAAATAGACTGAGGCTACCGTATCACGAATACTGTCAACTAAAATAGTAAGCAATGTATTATTTTTTTGTCAAAAGGAATAAAATTTAAACAAATAAATACTAAAACCGACAAAACAAACTTTTAAATTATTCATTGTTTATTAAGTGTTTAAAATGGTTCCAAATAAATTTTGTTTATAAAAGGAATGTCCATTACGCATTCAAATGAATTGTGCATTACATTAATACATAATTAAATAAGCGACATATGCAATTACGCCTTAATAAGCAGGAGTAAGAAATTGGAAAATTGCCAACTATAAAAATATAGTCTAGTCAACTGCTAAATGCAAAATGTCCGTTCCATAACTTTGCTAATATAATATGGACTAGGGCCAAAGAGGTAGCATCTATTGGGAGCAGCTGTCGTAATAAATGACCCAAATGCATATCAATAAACTAAATAAAGTACTAATAATAAACAACTTTCATGAATAATTTATAAAATTAGAATCTTCAATTACTCAGAATAGAGAGGCAGAGCTCAAATCAGAAAGAATGTTGCAAGACATCGCAAACATTTTAATACCTCAATAATTTAATCTGATTCGAAATCCCTATTCAGAGTAGAGCATGCTCGTTAAATAATATTTTTACAATGGTTTTAGCGAGAGATATTTGTTCAATTGCATGAAAATTTCTATTGCTGTCCTTCGTATTTAAAAAAATTTATCGTACCATCAACACAATGTCTTTTCCCATCACAGACATATTTTGTCGGCAACAAACATTTTTTATCGGAAATTTCAGCATCGAGTGCGTCGCACACTATCTCTCCATTCAGTTGTTGGTCGGTGTAAACCGTTTCATCACTGCCATCGCTGTTCCGAGAAAAAAAGTATATTAGTATAAATTAAATAGGTAATATATTTAAACATGCCGCGAAATAGCAGCCTATATCATAGCTACTAGCATCAGATGTTGTCTATTATAGGTGTTTACACAATTTCAGGTATTTTTTTGTAAATTTGACTTATTTTGTTAACAGTGTTGTTTTTCTATTTCCGTTCTCACTCGCAATCAGACTTTTCGTCGCAAAATAATGATGCTGGTATGCACTTCGATCCATCATGACAGGCATATTCGTTTGCGGCACATTCATTTCCTGCGTTGAAAAAAATTGTAACAAACGGTTAGCGATGATCAATATTTGCCATAGTGGCGCAAATCCAATAAGTTGCATGCAAGCATACACAAATAATAGGATCTCGATGTGATGTGGCAATAGCAAATTATGACGACACAGTACAGTCACTATTTCTGCTGGTTGATGGCTCATTGTGGAGTTTGATACAGTTTTTAGAATGGGATTTAAATTATTTTATTTGCGATATTTCACTCACCCTTCTTGCAGATGGCTGTGTTTTTTTGTGTTTGGTTTGTTTCTAACAAACATATTTTGTTTTCATCGCCTGTTCGACAGGGAATTCCGTCTATTGAAGAAAATTTCTTTCCATAAGTTATTTCATCACTTCCATCACTGTAAAAACAACCAATATTTATTTCGAATTTTAAAAAATTTCTCAAAATTCATAGAACTTGATATTTCAGACTGATCCATCATCCAAATATTTCATTAACCTAAATACTTACAGGCAATCCATCACCTTATTGCAAAATGTTGATGAAATGCACCCAGATCCGTCTAAGCATTTGAATTCATCTTCGGTGCACGACATTCCTATAAAGCAATTATTATATTTATATAGCGGATTTACAATAATAGCATAAGTACGACTGTGGAGAGGAACTTCATTTAACTCGTAATTCGAACCATTTCAAAATTAGCTTCTGATCAGACTGAACTTTCTACTCCGAAATTTGTTCCGCACTAAAAGGGGGTCGACTCTGACTTTAACTTCCGGAATAATAAAGTTGCAATGATGACAACTTTCATATACCAGAATCTATTGTTTTCCTATCAATATTTAGATTTCGCTTTCTACCTACTGTATCAAGTAAATGTCTTTACTCCGAATTTTGGAAGTCTTAAATTTAACTGTGATTCCCTACTCCGGGGAATTCATGACACCCGACCCAGGGAAACGAAAACAAAAGACACCGCTACCCGACTGTACTTTCTTTTACAACAATAAACTTCAACCACAGATACCGTATCTGGCTTCAGTGCGAGAACAAAAAGAAAAATGATAAGTATACAAACCAGGTGAAAAGAATTGACAATTTACCCATGGCACATATTTGGTCTTTTTTCGATTTTTGATGAAGTGGAAGAAGGCATATTCGATGGTAACTTCTAGATCCACGACATGGAGTGCCATCCGATTCGTTGTATGTCAAATCATTATATATAAGTTCATCACTATCGTCACTAAAAAACAACCATTTTAACCACTTCGATATATTTCTATAGATGAAGGAAATAAATATTGATTAACGGTATGGATATCAGATTATAGAAAGGATTTAATTTTAGTTGTAGTAACGATTCGGGTTCTTCAAAATAAAAACGTCGATGGAGCAAGTTTCTCAGATATTTATACTTATCATGTAGTTTGAAACAATAAAACATAAAACAGATCAATAAGTACCTGCAGTCGGCTTCTCCATCACAAAACCACGACATTGGGATACACTCCTTGTTATCAGAGCACCGGAATTCGTTTTCTTTACAAAGTCCATCTGATATGAAATTAAAATATTTGACTTGGCACAATAAGCCAAAAGAGCAAAAAGAATAAAGGAATTCTTGTGCATTTTGCATACTTGCAAAATGAAACGACCTACCTTTCATACATAAAACAGCATGTTTTGGGGCGTTAATTTTATCAAGGAGACAAATTCCGAAATTAGTGTCTCCGCGACAGGGAACTCCGTCATCTGCCGTATGAACGTTCACATCAAACTGTACTTCGTCGCTACCATCCCTGGGTAATAATATAATTAATCATAACTATAATGCAAAACTAGTGTAACCACTATATACTAACACTATAATTTGTTCCTTAAGTTCCTTAAAGAGTTTTTTTCGGAACAAAGCCAGCACTAAATTAACGAGGCTTTGGCATGTCAATAAATACGAGAAAACAACATTTATGAGTGAGCAAAATTTTTGCATGTTCGAATTTAAACAAATCAGGACTGACTGCTTAGATACATTTTGATAATTCAAGCATTCTGGGTCGGTTTAAAAACTTTTCGGTCTGAAACTAAAAATCGAACAATCCCAAACAAATGTCACCTGCAATCTTCCCATTCATCGCAAACTCTGTTTTTCTTCAAACATGCTGACCCATCCAAACATTCGAATTCATCAGCTGCACAAGTTGTTTCTACAAAATCAACAATCGTAAAAGAAAACAATCTAGGCAAACGTTGTACTGGATATTTATTGCTAGAAAGTTACAATGAAAAACGAGAGAGAATAATTCTTACAAGATGCCACCAATGTCGTAATGGCACGTGATAGCAGGACATTTTTGATGTAACATGACCCACGTGATCTAGATTCTAGAATTCGTTAAGGTCGTGGCGATATGAATTGACAATGAAGTGACGCAAAATCTAAACCTTCAGTGACAGTTGAACTGCGCTTAACAAGACTTTTACCTCCGGTACAAAGCATTTCCTTTTTCTTTTGCTCGTGAAGAGGAAGTTTGCAAATATGAGACCACTGTCGACATGCAATCTCATCCTCGGAGGAAGTCAGGATCATTTCATCGCTTTTATCTCTGGATGCAAAAACCAAAATTATTTTTTGATCGCACGAGTAAAAAATAGACACTCACTCCAATACAAAAAAAAACGATAAGAAATCATTGTATAAACGTTTCACAGTTATTTATATATATATCAATAAAATAGTTTCTATAAAAGGGAACTGAAGCCAAGCTTTATTAATGTGTAAAAAGATCATTTTCGATGCGTACAAAATTTTACTTTTATTTTTTGCGATGATCTTGACTTTTAAATATTTAATCTATCAAGTATCTTTATCTACCCGCAATCTGAAGTTCCATCGCAAAATTGCCCAAAAGATAGACAAGCACTTCCATCTGAACACTGAAATTCCCACATTGTACAATTTTGGCCTGAAAATAAAATCAATCAAATCTGAACTAAAAAAACAAGAACAAAAAAACAGGTTGCGTTACTTTGAATATCATTTTTAGCCGGATATTTCCCTCGTGTTCAATTCGCTTGAAATATATTCCCTACTTTAAATCCCCGAATTTTTCATGCTTATTTCCAGTGTGCTCACAATTTGGTGACACGTTCACAGCCATCAGTTTGATTCAAAATATTAAACCGCCTGATATTCAAAAGCACTGAGAGTTATTTTAGTTTACTCAGTTTATCACACCTTTTTCGGGACTAATTTTGTTCACTGCGAAGAAACATAAACTAATCAGAAGACAAAATGACCATTGAGTTATATAATTCAAACCTAAAATTTTAGAAACACTCGCAAACAAAAATTACGAAAACGATCTGTCTGACAAAAAAAATGTAGGTGATCAGATGCACAGATTTCGAAGGTTACATAACCCGTTCATTGGTTTTTATAACGGAAATGAACAGAACAATATGCTCAAATAAACATTCATCGGTGATAGGACCAAATGCTTCATGCCATTTAAAAGCGAGCACAGTGAAACTTGAGTTCGACATATGAAATTCATTGAGATTTTGTCGTCTTAATTTCCCCGGATAGTTGTGAAGTCCTATGTCATTTGTATCCTGGAAATGGCTATAAAATGTAAGATTTGGATAATCGAAATCTAGTTTCCATATTAGATCATATCACTCACGACGATAATCAATAACTTCAACTTGCGTTGTTAATGCCGTTTTTGAATAAAATATACCTATACACTATAATAGTCTTTGGAATTGGAATGCTAAAAATAACTACAGATTAAAACGTACACGAAACACCGACATTGGTTTTGTCTGCCTGCAAATGAGACACAGAACCTGATACGTTTTTTCAAAGAATTCTATTAATAACGTAGACCATTGGAAAGCTTTGGCTTTGTGAATGATTACATGTTTGCCTGATGTAATTGCAAAAAATAACTATACCGTATGCTATCATCGTTTACTTGCACCAAAATGCCAAGAACTTACCTATATTAACAAATAATTATTGTCCCTATTTAGCCATCATTTATATTATTATATTTAATATTAATATATCATATTTATTTAGAATGTTGCACATGTACCGTACTTAATAAATTGTTTTGATATCCTTCATATACCAGGGATGACGAACCTTTTTTAATGAATGGGTCGAAATTTACATTTTTATTGTGGTAAAAAAGACCGTTGGTCATAGATTTTTATTCAGAGTTTACCTCAATGAAAAACTTGCGGCCATCTTTCCAATTATTCGTGTAATCTTTAGTTAGTATTATTTAGTTTTGAGCTCCACTTGCAGCGCTTATGTTATAGGATTGAGGCTATTGTCGACTTTTTGAAACTCTACTGTACGAAAACATGGATTCGCAAGCATACAATTTTTAATGCTATGGATGTGAATAATTTGATGCTATATGGTCTCAAAAAAGTTTTGAAAAGAATTCCACCCTGAAAGAATATTTATATATTATATGTTTTGATTGGAGTCACTACTATCCTGCTCCATTGTTTTTCCGATTTCTGTGGTCGGTAATTTAATTCAATAAAATTTTCTCTTCCAACCGGCATTTATGCAGTAAAAAATGAAACTACAAAGTATATACCTCCATAAAATTTAGTATGCGACCCCCTTTGGTTCGTGCACCTACGAATGGGAAACCGCTGTTGCAAATCGATTGTATTATGTCATGAACGCTGTGACAGCTATGTTGGCTATAGCTGCACGCCGGTATACTAAAGTAGTTCTCCTTATTGCTAGATTGAATTATTTATCACAGTAAGTACGTTTTTGCATTATTTCGTGACTTGGTGAGTCGCCGAAACACTCGGTTGGTCATTTTCTGGCCCGCGGCTTAGTGGTTAGCCATCCCTGTCACATACAAAACGCCCCGGAATCGATCTAATTTTCATGACATAGATCAGGTAAAACTAAAATGGTACGAATATTGTCCAAAATTCCTCATTCTAATTTTTGAATTAACCAAAAAATTTTGCATCTTTTCTCATTAATATAGAACTTCAGTAATCTGCCCAAGTGATCCTTTCTGATATATACTAATTTTTCAGAAAACATTTTCAGCAACATAACACATGTAAAATACACTTGATTGAAACTCAGGATGTAAGAAACGAGATATAGTATCGATTTTAACAGAAAAATTATACAATTTTAAATAATAGCTGTATTGAAAGCGTGATTTCGTTTGGAACGCGTATGCTGTGGTACTGGCAGCCTATTTTTCCGTGGCGTTCATATTCAAACGTCTATGTATTAACAATATACTTTAATCTTGGGCAGTTATTGGTTTATAACCTAGCTAGAATAATTTTTTTATTGAAATCATAATACTTGCCTGATTTACGGCGTCGATTAGATTTTTCTTTGCCTCGTGTTAAATTACGATTACGCGAGTTCTTGAACGAGTTCGTAAAAAAATAGAGGTAACAATAAGAAAAAGAAAAACAACATCATAATAACAAAACGACCCATAGGTTCACTTTGTGTCCAACAAGTACCAAGTTTTGCTGTGTTGAACTTTTTTTTTCATGTTTTTTTATTTTCCCAGAGTTGCTGCAATTGAAAGATATGATATTGAAAAATGAGATGTCTTACTTTTACTGAATCTATAGCATCCCAAAACCCCCATCAAACCTAAACAAAACTACAATTTGAGCACTCCACTCATTTAATTCTTTTTTTCACTACAGATGACAGTTCTCGAATTGATGTACGTTAACTTGCGTGAAATATATTATGTTTTGATTTTTTATTGACCAAAGAATAGCTATGAGAGAATATTCCCCAACACAGTGTTTCTTTATTGTTTATTTTACATTTGATATTGAAGTGTTGCTCAATAGTAATTGTACATATGCAGGAAGTATCAATTCGTAAAAACTCCGCAGCATTCATTTTGCTAAGTGAAGCCACACCCCCATTTCAATTCGCTGATGACAAACAAGCGATGCCTTTTCCTTTTGAGGTAATTTCTACTTGAATGGATGTTATATAAGAACAATTGTTTTATATTAGTCATTATTATGTGTTGCCTTAGTACTACATGCCGCCCAGTATTTGAGCATATCCTTAGGTCGCGATATTTTACAAAATTTATTTTAAAAAAAGTGGTCGTTAGAATAAAGGTTGCAAACCACTGCGGCCTGACAGACAACTTTACTTACCTCTGACTACATTCAAGCAATATATTGTGACCGCTAATACAACAATGCTTCTGTCCATCATTCCGAATAGTTCCATACTTTTCCAGGTCTGTTTACGACAAAGACCGTCAGTCGGTTTTACCACATATATTTATAATTAATGATCTGAGATGCATATTCAGATATTGACAGATGTAATCTTTTACACAATATATCGAGATACTGTTTTAGGGAAATATTTGAAAATGATTGAGCCTATTCGGGTAAATAAAATTAAATATTCATTGCAGTCTTGTTAAAACTCAAAAAAAAAAGGGTGTATCTCTATATCCATTTCGTATCTATTGGAAATAATTTCTTTCATTTATATTTATCATTATGTTTCCAATGATGATATATATACCTCATTTATTACTTTTCGTAGAAAACAAGAACAATTATTTGCTAGATGCAGATCGTAAGCTTGAGGCAAGACAAACTCTATACAACTTTTTTCTTTACGACTCCTAATAGTTACGCCACACCAGTTGTCTGCTCAGACATTGGTTATGCGCAGAAATCAAAAATAGTGAAGCAACCAAGTACAGTACCGTAATGTGACATCAGCTATTTTTATTCGAAAAGCCTACTTCCATCTCCAAATAACGCATTACATTGACCGTTGTTATAAATCTTTTCAGACAAAAAATAACATGTTCGTTTTACTGAGTAAAAACGATCGATTAACAAAAATTCTATAATAATAAACTATACTGCTCACGTTCTAGGCTAATACTAATCAAAGGGAAAATGTGCTGCGCATGGAAAGCTACTTAACAATCTCTATTTGCATGACCGTCGGAAAAATATTTAATGCACCCAGTGGTACCAGTTAATATTTAATGATTTTTACCAACGTTTTTGACGCGGTTTTTCGAACTAAGTTAACTCAATGCGGAATAATCAATACAACACGCTTGCCATGCCACAGGAAATGATACGTCTTCAACAGCACTTTTCTTGAAATAAGAAACAATGGGACAGCTTTTGACATCCTGGGCATATTTCTCGGTATTATTCACTAATATCCATATTAGTTTTAGTTGGGTACGACCAACTTTGACACTCTGTATAAACAAAATGCATGCTTCTAAAATATAAATTCACTGTCTATTTTTGCATAAATTGCTTCTATTCATGTATTACCTTAAAATTGAATCTACACTTTTCGTTCTTTTAAACTTAACATTCGGCCCAAAAAATATATATACATATGACGATTTTGGCAACAGTACCACATTAAATGGAAATTGTGATCATTTTTAGACACCACGGCCACGCACTGTCGTGTGATCTTCGTATAGAATGCTTCACATATTTGACATTGAAAATACGTGGAATGCCGTAATCAAAAACTATTGCGTCATTTCTTGGCACGCGGAAACTTGAAGCAGGAATGCGAATGAATATAACACCACATTTATATAAGGTTGGATGATCGATGAACCTCTTCAGTAAAGACTGATTGCTAACGTCAATCACCAAGAAACATTACAAGATTTATTTAGGTTATTAAAGCAAATATAATGGGGAAAACTACAACTTCCAAGTTTCATGATAAGGCATTTTAGGAGAGCTGGCACGCTGTTGTTACTTTGGCCCGTTTTGTGGGTCGAGTTAAATTTTTATTCGCTCCATTCTAACATGTATATATGCAAAATAACCTTTTGTGGTTGGCTCATAGTCACAGGATAAGTTATATTTACTGTAAATATATATATATATGTGTGTGTGTGTGTGTGTTTGTGCGTGTGTTCCAAGTTTGGAGCTAAATTCAGAACAAAGATGTGTTTTACAAAATGTGTTCGCTATCTGTGACTTTGTTTGTGTGTACGCACATTGAGACAATTTTATTTAGTCTGCGGCATCAGTTTATTCAGTCATCGGCATCAGTCATTTAACCGCACATTCGGTACTTCTCATTTCCAATTTTATCATATTTAAAATAGGATGAGACTTATTGCATATCCTGTAAACGCCAATTCATTTAATCCGTGTTATAAACTGAAAAGATATTGGTATTGTAAACGTGGCCTAAAAATATTAAAACATATATCATACAGCGACGTACGCTCGGTGGCGTGACTGAGTAAATTCTTAATACAATAGACCTTAAGTCTTTTCCGAATTCAAATCCAGCCCACTCGGAAATACAAGTGCTATAAGTAAGTTTGCATAATGTCTTATTGCATGTACGGTCAACAGAACATAATATTGCATTGTTGTAAATTACGTCTTTTGTTTGGCAGTTTGGCGATGTTGAGGATGTTTTCGATGTTTTTTCTTAATTTTAATGATACAAATTTTTACAATACAATTTCTTTGAACCTATTTTATATAATAAGACTCGAGAGCGTAACGTTTCGACACAGAATCCGACTATAAAATTAGGATATTTTGCCAATATCCCGAAAATATTTTTGTGGAATTTTAGTTGACTCGGGATATTTCGGTTTCGGCTGTGGCATTAGGATTGGATGTCGGTCACTTTCTATTTTACCGCATGGAGAAGGTATCAAATAGATTGAAGCCCCACATTGAAGGTTTATGTCTATTGTAGATTTTCTGCACCAAGGGTTGCTGCGTCTTCTATAACTTGCAACACTCAGGATTCCGAAATAATATTGATTGAACTGATGATGGGTATGATGAAGAATTAACCTCATGAACTCCAACCTTTTATTATTATTTTATGGTTATTATACACCACACACTGATGCATATTTATCTAATGGGTCGCCTTTTGATATAAACAATCGATCCGATTGATACGTTTTTTTTCCTTGTGATAAGTTCATATTTAGCATATTTCAAAATGGAAAAAGATTATACTCATCCAAGTGTTGGACAGCCTGCCAATTTCTTTTAAAACAAATAGCATTCAATTATGTACATTATTGATGAATGATGATATTTCAATCTGGATTTGTAGTAATTTTTCTCAAAAGTAATCTGGGCTCTTAAACTCGTGTAGTCAAGTGCAAATTTACACAAGATATTTTCTCCTTGATACAATAAAAACCACTTGTCAATCAGACTTTGCTATTTTTATAATCGGATTTGGGGTACTTTCCTGTGGGTAGACATAAGAAACTGCGTCGTCTCAAAATGTGTATTTCTCTCACTGACAGGAAACTCGATGTGTGAAAATTACCCACTTCGAATTTAGAAAGAACAACACACACACGCATATATATTCACATTTGCAATGTTCATCAAACAGTATGTGCATTGTTATCATTTTCACATTTTATAGTTTATTTTACAACCCGAAAGCAACTCACATGTTCAGCTGGTAATTCCCCTGCTCATAGTCATTAGCTTACTTTTTAGTTTAATAGAACGATTCAAAAGGTTGGTGATAAAATGAAGACATCATCACAACCTATAATATTGTTACGATATCTACAATGACGATGCAGCCACCTTTGAGCATGCTATACAAAGATTTTAACAAATGCGATTGCTGCAAAATTTTTCGCTTGATCTTGGCCCAACAATTCCTAGCAAAGAACCGGTTTCCTTTTTGTATGCTGTTTCTAGAAATATTGATTCAATCATAAAAATGGCACTAAATTCTAAAGCTAAATAATATTTGAGTCCCTAAGCCTTTGAAACCATGCCTGCATGCCTATCTATACTTAGGCAGTTTAAATATATGTGAGCATCGAAATTAATAATTGCTGCGTTTTTTCTTTATTTTTTCAGGTGAAATAAATCACGTTCTACATGGTTTTAGTATATTGCCAAAAGAACTTATCCGAGACACTCTGAAGAATGGTCGAGTTTATTCGACCTTGCTTTGAAATAAATGGTGCATGCTGTTCGAAAATATGTAAGTTCTCAAGTTTTATTCACTTTAAAGTTGGAATGGATGCTGCGGGAGTATTATTAAAACAGATATTTATGCAAATATGCAAATTGGAACAGAGCAATTGGTGGAAATTGCTGGAATTTATTTAAATCACATATACTTTCCATTATGAAGCCCAAATAACAATTTATATAAACCGTTTTGTGTTGATATAACCGCACCATCTCACTTTCTGATGTCAGATTATGTCATAGCTGAGGTATTTATTTAGATTTGTTATGACTGTGATTGTTAGAAATGTTCCCTCATTTTAATTATGGGCACTGGGTCGTGTTATAGAAAAGTCCTCCACAATATCTATTTTTCGCAGTCATGTCAGTCTTGCGATATTCGTTTAATTTTATAGGCGTAGTACAGTTATATCCGGTTAAATGAATTGATTTCATAGCCAAAATTTGATGCAAATAATTGATTGCCTGTATTATTCCCATGCCCAAAAGCACACGCGTCCCAAATATATTAAGTCGAGCCAAATTGGTTGTCTATTTCGACCAATAATCTGGCATCCGTGAAATTCTTCCGCACGTCGCTCTCTTCTTTCCGTGTTTTTAGTGAGCGCACCTATGTCATTCAGCTCCGGAATTTGTTATTTTGTAAGTTCTATTTTTGATGTTTTGTATTTGTTTAGTTAGTTCATATCTGAAGTGATGGTCATCTAAAATTTTAAATAGATTAAATTGCGTGTAACTCCCGGAACCAACTGACTGACTGATGTCCATCAATTACTACTGCAATACCACAATAAAGTCAAAGCAACAAATGTTGGATGGTCTATTTGGGATCGGGCTTTTTAGATATTTCTGGTGTTACTCGCACATTGAATCACACTATATCACTCCATATCCATAGTTAGGTGATAGCACCAGTTATTACCTACTCCTACAGTGATCACAGAGCAATAATTGATTGAATCGCGCGACTTCGCAACACCATTTAGGTAAGAAATTCAAGTCGTCAAGTTTTATATGGCCAGTTATTTCGTGGTCGCGATATTTAAAGATGGTGGGCACTAGTCTAAGAAAAGCTTTAATAAATCTATTTTGTATAAAAAAATAAAACGCAACTGTGGCATAGAATTCTCCCTGCGTGTTTAAAACCTTGCCTTAAGCTTGTATTCCAAGAAACGAAGTATTTTTAAATCTTATCAGATTCCCAAGACAAACCCCAATTTTATACATACATAAGCATGGGTAAATTCTGAATTACACAATGTAGATTGTGTATTTGGAAAGTATCTC